AGCTTTGGAGCTGACGTAAGCTCGGTGTGTAGGTCAGACAAGTTCAGCCGACAGTGTGGTGGTGTGCAGGCCGGTTGAGCATAGCGAAAAACTAGTAGAGAAAGTCTGACGTATTTTTGCGTTTTACGATATGTACCTATTAACAATTGCGTGGATTTTACAAGTCCCAAGATGCTACTGTTGGGGGCTATATCCAAAACCGCACAAACTCTTTTAATCACTTTACATCTCTAAGTTAACGAGGCTTTAAGGCTTTGCTACTAAAATTTCCTGCTAAAATAAATGGAGCCTTGGACGACTGCAGCTAGACAACGAGAGGGTTTGCTTCCGCTCTAGATGGAACTAAAAGGGGAGGGGGGATAAATGCAGAAAACAACGCATAAAAGAATGTAGCACTTCTTATGGGGCCCTGGAATGTCAAGAGAATGCGGACATGCCGCATTCCTCGGGGGTTATGTTTTCGATTTGCAAGGGAGATCGCGGCCTTGAAACAGCCCATATTTAAGACATGGAGGGCTTGGATGTCTGAATGAACAGATAAATGGATGCATGCATGCATTGCAAGATGGCACTACTACCATCAACAGGGCGGACGTTTATGTTCACAATGCCGCTGTCTTCCCCCCCCGTCTTAATATCGGCACACCATCTCCATAATCTGTTTCGGGCGCCTGATTGGCACTTAAGAAATGTGCGACAGACTGCGTCGTTATCGTAAGGTTTTGTGCCTCCCTCAGGGTCTGATTTGGACGACAATGAGCCGGCCAGAGTGCGGTGGTGGCCCGAGATGGCTAACTCACCAATTGGATGAACACCTCGGATGTACGGCAGTCCCTGCACACAGGCAGACTTAGAGGCAGGATATAAGAGCGGGGAACGAACACGTGTAGAATTAGCGACTTTAGTTACCTTCATTATGTGTAAGGATATGCGTACGAGAGGAGCACATTAGTATAACCAAAATGCAGAGGGGAGAAGAGGAGGCATACCCACAACTCCCTTTTTGCTTCGCCTAGTATGGCATATTTGAATCTTTTGCGATAGGGGAAGGGACAATAACACATGATGAGGGCAGAAGTACAGTAGAGGTCAAAATTGGTCCAAAGGGATGAAAAGAAAAGAACAGTGCGAAAGAATTTGCGTCCCAGCCAATGGTCAGGGTACACTGTTGGAAAATGGAGGTCCCCTTGAAGTTATGCCTGCCTGTATGTAGAGTAACTCAAACGCAGCAACTAAACGCTACAGGAAAGACCTTTCGGTAATGTCCTCAAGCAAGTGACCTTTTGCAACTGACTGATAGTATCACAACCTGTCCTTAAAATGGCCCTAAAGAGAGAAGCACACGTCGACATGGTAAATAGGCAAGTGCATGTCATTACATTCGAGGTAGTACGAGAACACGGCACCGTGTAATGTATGGCCCAGAGCCATGAAAATCACGAAGTGTGCGGGCGTTAATAAATTCGAATTCGGGACATCAACAATCGTGCAATAAATAGGATGATTCACGCGTTTACACCACCGATTCGTGTGCCATGGAGATGGCGAGAAACGCGACTGATACGGCAGACGTGCAAATACGCAGTACAACTTGATTGCATCCACAACTGTTACCCGATGAAAAGATCGTTTATTTTGCCGCCTGTACCGCCACCAGCCATCACCACACATTAACTGGGTGTGATTTAATGCCGAATCGAGCGTTCATCACCATTGCAGGTAAATTTGGGTTAAACAATGCAAGAAGAAATTATGATTATTTCAACCAAAGAACTAGCAACGTCAAATCGCCTAAAACAAGCCTCTGCCACTAGTGACTTACGAGAAAGAAAGCTCAGCCGTGGAACAAGATAGATGACATGCATTTTGTCAAACCAACTCCATAAATAGCAAGTCGAGTCAAGCTTTTTTTGAAAAAAGAAAATGAACTAGCATAGAAACATAAGCTCTGATAAAATGTCTCATGTTTCGTCGGCGGTTGAGCTGTTTGCCCATTAAAAAGCAAGATGGCAGCAACCACAAGACTTTCTTAAGCTTTTTCAATGTCTGGCATGCGCACACACACACAAAAGCCGCGATTTTCGCGTAAAAATTTGGGCGGTTTTCTGCATTGATGATCCATCAGGATCATTATTAGTAAAACCCAGCTCCGCCTCCTGCCGTAGTATGATCCTGGCAAAGACATTCCCCCGCGGCATCACAATGCCATACTACGGAGTCCAACCGTGCGAGGCTGTACTTTACCTTATCGGGCACTCTTTTGTCACAAATTTCGGACCATGACTTCTACCAACTAGGTACGTATAAGTGCAGGAGAGCTGTAGCAGCTGACCGCGCAAAACACGAAACCATAGCGAATTGTTTACCTTGGAGACTAGGATGCAGCAACAATAGCGGTGGTGAAAGTCATGGCGCCAACTGTGACCCACAGACCTCGGTCACAAAAAGGGGTAGCAAGGAGTGAGATAGCGTCGACAAAGGCCTCACATCTATCCGTCTATCATAACCACTGAATGTGCAATGAGAAATTTCAACCATTAATCATGTGGTACTTGATCCCGTAGGGCATATGAGCAGAGGCAGCAACTATGACTGCTGCCAATTTTCCTTATTAGCAAGTCCATCAAGGGAGAACACAGCTTGACGCTCCCGGCGGAAAAAGACACTTTTGACGTTGAAAACCATTCAATTTTGAGGCTCACACACAGCGAATGAAGAGGTGTAAACAAAAGGCAACACAATGTAAAAGTGGGTGAGTGCTCGTTCGTGCACACTATGGTAGAGATAATGCGAAATCGCCACCAAAGGCTGCAAGTTTGACAAATCAACCAACCGACGAATCACTTGAGAGAGTTTTAGGATATACTCCATGTTTCTGAATGGATGTGCGCGTGCGTATGTGTGCGTACGTACCCGAACCGACTAGATAACTACTGTCGAGCATGTTAATGAGGTTTCTTGCTAATTTTTTAAAAAAGGAGGAATTCGGTAACACATTAACAAGGCGGCCTTGTACTTATTCTCACTTCTGGAGGAAGGTACGGCAACAGCAACTGCAGATGAAAAACGTGGGTAGTGAAAATTAGTAGTAAAGGCTAAATTATAATGAATCACGCAAACACGAGGGTGTGCACACACTGTTGAAGGACTATTTTGTTAAAAAAAATTGCACACATACTTGCGCAGATGCACGCTAGGTGGGGTGAAAGACGGAAGCGCACAGTTCCTAAAGCGAGAAGGGGCTGAGAGAGTGGAATAAGGTGGGACGAGGTCGTGTGTGTGCATGTGTATCACGGAAGTGGCAGTAAAAAACTACCAGAACAACGACAATGAAGACGGCTAGGGATATGAAAAATTTAGCCTCTTGGATTCACCGTGACGCAAAGCCTAGCCAGTACAATTTGTCTGCTATCGGGAGCGGACAGAAAATTCCCTATCAAGCTTTTCACTAGAAAAAAGACTATCATCTGGACAATAAATAACAGCGATGTGCCAAGGGTGCAAGCAGGAGGGAGTCCAAAAAGAGGGTTGAAAAAACCGAAATGAGAGTGGCTGAGATCTTTGATCGAGTAAGAATAGAATGTTCCCTTTACTTGAACTAAAAATTAATATGGTGACATTGTCATTCGACAACAGCAGTTACACTGAGATGTTTGTACCGGTATCAGTCATAGACGCACCTGCACAAACACACACACACAATTGCGTGAGCCGTCGCCATGGAAGTCGACGCGAAAACAACAGCACAAATGCGAGCGGACAAGTCGAAAATGCGGAAAATCGATTTGTCAGACGACGTGGCAGACTAGCGTGATCCCATCAAGGAAACCAAGGGCGATGAGTGGCAAAATTGCACTGGCATTGTGCCAACCCTTCTTTTCTGGGTAATGTCAGTAGACAGCCCAGTATCTAAGTGCAAGTGATTAGTGTAGTAGAATGACAAGTGCCAGTGTTGGCACATTAGCTCAAAACAATGCGGCATTTAGTAATCGGCACAAAAGATAGCAAAGCACGTGAACAACTTTTTAATAACTCGATAATTTTCATCAGTTTCGTTCACACGGTGACCGAGTTAGCCACAGACAAGGAGAGGTTTCTATGGGGCTGAATATGGTCTCTAGGGTTGTTAACTTCTTCGTTGGTTTTTCAAGCAATCAACATTCATCTTTTGAGGCAAAAGCATTCTAGGCTTTTACTAGGCCTAGTTGCCTTAAAAACAAACACCAATTTTGTGTCCAAAGCGTTCACACTTCAAACACCAAACCGCGTTTACAAAGGAGAGCTGACTTGAATGTATCGTGAATCTTTAAATGGTGTACTGTTTGAAAAGGAATGTAGTGATAAGACAGGCACCAATCAGACTGAAATTACACGGAAATTTCACAGAGAACACAATCACAGCTTTTTATACCACATGAACGCATGATAAACCAAGTGCGTGTCTGTGAGTAGGTGTGTTAAGAAAGCAGTTAAAGTATGGGCTTCGATTACAGATGATACAATCAGCAGTAGCCAAAACCTCCTTGCATGGCTAACCGCCTCTCACTGAGTGGTCCCGTAAACCAGGATAAAAAACCAAAGACCTCACAGCGCTAATGGATAGCGCATACAAATAACGAAACCATGAAAGCCGACGGCTTATCCTCCTGAAAATAGGAAGTGGTGATGAAGATGCATGAAGGGGAAGAGATAGTGGTGTACGTACTTGGGGACAGAGACCCCAGCGTGGGCAAAGACCTCCTGAAGTTGTGAAGAGCTAATGCCAGGAGGGCAGTTCCAGAAGTGGAGCATGCGCGAGGGAGGGTAGACGCGATTTTTCGCGGCACTGTCGTGGGTGTACCGGTTGTTCCGGGAGCCTGTGAAGTCTTTGAATGAGGGACTGCCATCAGGCAGTATGTAGGGCTGACTGACCTCGACTATGTGCTGTTGTCGGCTCAGCTGACCCTGTCAATGGATGAATGAATGAGGTGATGCATATCGAGGTAGAGGGGCGTGAAAAAGTCCACGATGTATGACCAGTGGGTTCGGTTTGATGCCTTGATGGGTGTGCTATTGCAGTGGATTACACGACCAGGGCATAAAATACCCCTGTCGGAACGAACGCTGCAACGGAGGCAGAAGCTGTGGCTGAAGGAAAACTACACCATAGTTTCAGATCGAGGAAGTACGAGGTAACCATAAAATACGCATTTGTTCAAAAAAGGTCATCTCACACAGTCGCAGATTGGGTTTAACCCGAAAAGTGGGACGCGCGAAAAAGCACACACGTGTGTGAATGGGAGTGCAAAGTTCACTGCTACCGCTTCAGACATTGATCACCCACCTAATCAAGCTGTCGAGTCACCTCATCGACTGACTGTAGCAAAAGCAGCCCTGGTAGTAGGAGCACCCTAACAACGAGATCGACAATAATATCCTGGTCTTAATCAGCTATCCATTTCTGTCATGAAAAGTAGGTATAAGAAGTGACAACAAATGCCAATAGACCACATTGGAGACGATGAGCCGTACGACATTCATTGCTAATGTGAACTCCACTCTACTTTAAGGCCCGCACTGTCGGTACGTATAAACAAAACTGCCTCTAGAAATCAGGTAGCGAATGTGTTAGAGGAAATGGAGAGGTCTTCATTACTCAAAGGCAGTTAAAAAGCTTAATTACGGAAAGAATGACCGGTTGAAAAAACCGCCCTTTGGCCACTGGGAGAACAAAAAAAATTCTAAGGCAGTAAAAAGTGAGCGCACGATTCTGTTCATAGCATCCTAACATAGCCAGCATGATACAAGTATATGCATAGCAAAAACACACTCCACTGCAGCTATGAGACTGGACAACATACCAACTCTACAAATGCATTTATGTCCTTTTCAAACAACTTGAGGGTGCGTTTGCAATAGAAACTGTCCCACTACTAGACGATGTGCATCGCAAATACGCACACATGCTTGGGAGCCTTTCCTCTTCATTAACCGCGCACTTTCGACATGAAAATATGTGCCCATTCTCCTCGAATCCCACAGCACCCAAACAAAGAATGAGCAATTGCCTTGGTGAACACTACTGTAAAGTTTGGCATGGCATTGGCAGAGAGAAAGTTTGATAAGAAGAAATTACGGGTATAAGGTAATACCTGAAAGTGTGTAATACTAATTTAAAATTGCACACCAAACCAGAGAGTTGAACTCTCGAAACCTTTAAGGAAGTAAGAATGTAAAGCATTTCACTGACAATCAATCCAACCTCGGTGCATCAGAAAAAAGGATCACAAAAAATGTCGGTGCAAGGAGGTTGACGAGCGATTCGGGGGAGAGGGCGTAACGAAGACCGCCACGACCCAGTAAACAGCGCATAATCTTTTTCCACATACTTATGGAAGCAAATCGACCCACCTGAATTAAAAAAGGCATATCCCTTAAGATAATTCACCATTGCATGACTGAGAGAGGAAGGCTTACGCTGAGTCGTTTTCCAGCGAATGAAATCATCGGTAGGTTGACGAGGGCACCGTTAGCGTTGGCGATTCCGTGCAATTCAACCATCGCCGTTCCCTCCTTCGAGCGAAGGAATTTTATTGGACCGACGTCTCCGTAAAGGCAGAAGAGATTGAACAATCTAAAAGCACAAAACAAGTTCAGTAAAAAGAAATTCCAAATGGGTATGAGATTAGAGGAAAAACCCACTGAGAAATTTATCACGACAATCCCTATAACAAAACCAGAGACGAGTACGAGCAGTGGTAATAAACACTTCAACGGGTGGGTGGCTCAAGTTTGTAGAAAAGAAACGCACCTGTCACAATTGGCATGAGCCATATTCAAATTGTAGACCATAATGACGGGAGTGGCAGATCTATCGTTCATGTCAGAGTAACCACCACCGAAAACGCCCTGTTGTTGTTGTTGCTGTCCTGCAGCTACCATTGCGAGTGCGCTGATGACGGAGTTAGGTGAGACGGCCGCGAGGTTGCCAGGCAGGTAGGCATCAGCCCGCTTTCCTAACTCGCCATCGAATTTACCTAATAGAGAAGCGGCTGCTGCTGCAGCCACGGGTCTTCCCTGAACACCCATCCCAGTCTCATCCATTAGAGTAGGATTTTCATAGTCCCAACTATCAAGACAATTCCGTGTCACCTTCAATCGTGTCTGCTTTGCGTACTCGACCTTGAGAGAGCAACAGCCTGAGTAGATGTCCGCACCGTTGATATGACGCTTGGTTTCCCGGGCGTCTGCGACTGTAGCGAATTCAACCATGGCTTGAACACCGGTTTTGCGGAATATGACTATTCTCAACACTTTACCATGACGGTTAGTGACTTGATGAATAACATCTACTGTTATAGGATACTGAGCATTGTAGATTGTCAGAAGGAGAATGTTATTTTCCATAGGAGGTGGCCGATCACTTTGTATGGCACTGTCGTCAAGACGACCACGGAAAGTCAGCCGTTTCGAGGTGCTGTATGCCAATCGAAGACGCTGATTGTTGACCGTAAACGGATACTCGTTAGATCTATCAAAATAGTTTATTAACGTTAAAACGACATATTTAAGCACAGTGGCCAGCAAAGAATAGCCTGCCAAAACATAAATGGTATACACCCCTAGTAGCAGGAAAATCACTGCCATCAAAACTCGTAATGGTAAACGTTGAAGATGGTTAGCTTAAAATTAAAATTTAGGGACGAACGGTACCTATGCGCGTTACTTAGTAGTAGACTGAGTAAGGTCATAATCAATCGCGTAAAGCATAGGGGATACAACCGAATAACATGAGACATGGAAGAGACAAGCAACTACCTTTGAATTACACGATCAGCATCGTTCTGGTCTTCGAACTCTACAAGAGCTTGCCGCTTGTTGGGCAGCATGATGATCTCAACTATGCGACCATATTTGTCAAATAACTTTTCCAAATCGATTTCTAGTGTATGTTCCGGCAAGTCAGTAATGTGAATAACAGGAGATGGCTCGATGTCACCCCATTCTTCTGGACGGTTGCGCTTACGACTCATGTCTACACACAAATCCACCAATCACGCCAATTCCAATAAACCGCTGCGACTATACAAAAATTTGATTGGGTCGTGGAAATGCATTTGGAAGTAGCTAATTAAAACTACTGCAGCATTCATATCCCATATTATACTGCCTTCAGATTCTCACGATTCTAATGGATCAGACGAATAACATCTCGTTTTTAAGATGATCGAGTGGTAACTTAATTAGATATGCCCCTCTTAGGGGCAATTGCACCCGCATCACCTTGTGAATAATAAAACAACGTTACAAACCCCATGACCAACTGCAACGGTTTCTGTGCCCCTTCCCCTTTCCCTCAAATTTTACACCCTTGTAACATGAAGAATGCGTAGAGGAATGCGTCTTTTACTTTAATAGTGACATGGGGTTTACATACTGTGATGGTTTAAAAGAATTGGTGTTTATTCCCTCCTCAGGAGTTAAACGTTTCCACCATGTCACTTGGTTGGCGCAAACTGACCTCCTAACCGCCTTAAGTACTTCTATTATAGTCCAACTTTTGTGCCATGACATTACGTTGGCTGAAACCGACTGTAGAAATACGGCTTCATTTCAAAGCTTTTGAGACTAATTCCTTCTCTACTTTCTTCTGGCCTATAACAATTACAATTTCCAAAGCAAGCTTCTTAAAAGATTTTTAGCTCATGCGATTGTAGCGTCTATTCTTCAACGTAATTTATGCCACTGCTTTACCCATGTTTTCACAAAATGGCTTTTCCATTAAAGGTCATAATATGCAGCCATTGTCTTATTTGCTATCTGGTTATCTAGGATTTGTAATTTGTTATGTCAACCCCTCAAGTAGCTCTTCTGGGCTAGGCTTCCAAATGGGAGTTCTGCATGCAGAGACTCTAGAGACCACGTGGTTAAGCACACACCTAATGTCCCTACTCCTTGTCATAGCGAAACTTGGGTTCATACAACCCTATTTTTACGACCTTTTGATGTCTTGGTAATCATAGCAAAGTTAAGTCTGCGTAAAAGTAAAGTCGACATGCGATCGATTTTGCTTGATGGGATCGTAAACGGAACGTATTCAAATTTGTCTCTAAAAATGGGACGTCATGACACCTTAACTTTGTAATTTTGGGGTCTGTGCGGACCGTATCACGTAACTACAGCCGATTCCAAATAAAGGGACATATATTAAGCAAAGTATCGCATGCCTTTTCCCGTAGTTTTAAAGTCGGATAGTTTCGATAATCGCACTTGGAAACGCAAGGGGGTGCGAAGTGTAACCTCAATTGATGGATTAGGTGCTTAAATGCGCATGTTTTACGTTAAAGTAAGCAAAAAAGTCATCTTAACCCTAATTACTACAAAACTTAAAAACCAGCTATGGCTGTTCAAAGTTGATCACGTGGTTGATGCGCCTGCTCAGCCTTTAACGCCCTCTTAATACCTTGCCAAAAATGTGCTTTCGCATAAAAATGGACGGAATAAGGTTTGAATGACCTCCTTTGTCAGATTGCTGTTGTTACCAATGCTTGCAACAGAAAAGTTCACCTTCCTCCCTGGAATTGTAGTAATATAGGGGCTTCTATTTGGTGTACTACTTCAAAGTTACTTGGATTGAGAGGCAAGTTTTACGAAGATCTACTCAAAAATCGTAATCGGTGACTGACAGGGCTATTAACAGGATTGACTCCTAGTAAGGGCTTGAGGCTGGGAGTCACAATAACCTGAGAGCCTTGTAAAGTCCTTCTTTCTGGCCTCTCGCCTTGAAGGTCAGCCAAACGCCCAACTAACACCACTAACACCCTATCATCGGCTGTGATTGCTACTGAATGGAATATGACATGAAACATCAAGTCTTGAAGCGCCAGCCAGCGGTAACCACATCAGTGGGAATGTGACAGCACAAACCCAAGTTGGATACTTTGGTCGCCTTCAATAAACTCGAACGTCGCACCACAATGATACGGCATCCTGCAGTATGAAGTTCTTGGTAAAATGGTTGCTACTTTGCATTTAGCGACACCTCTGTTTCAACGAGATTCAACTGCTTCAGAACTTTATGCTATTTTCAGCTTTCCAACGACGAATAAAGTGAGGCATCGGAATGCACTTTTCAATTTTCCGATTTGGTACATTTCCTTCTAAAATTTCATGTGAATTTAAGTGAACCCTCAATTAGCAGTTCTGGGGCATTTTACAAAGTTTCAACGCTATCACAATGCACTGCCTCGATGTCATGGGAACGCGAAATCTGGAGTGATGGGAGTCAGACATACTGCTGATATTATGGTCAATAAGTGAGGTCAGTCAAATTTTCTAAGCAGTCTTGTTTGTAGAAGGGTAATGAATACGACACGACCAAAGGAGGAAGTCATGACTTCACGCTACTCAATTTAATCGATTGCGAGTACCCAGGAGACCTCCAGTCTGCATAAAAGGCGACAAGAGGAGACACCCATCCGATGAGGATCAGCCCAAAATAGAAACTGAGGGGGGCTGTAGAAACAGCACCGATTGGGACCTTAACGATGACAGTGAAGCCTGAATGGACAGATTAACAAATAGTGAATTCGTTTCAAAGGAAAGTGAAACCAGTAGCTCTCTCTTTCAATTCTGGCACTCCGCCTGCACAGACTCTAAATTGATAAGCACAGGTTATTAGCATTACCATTCTTCTTCCATTTAGCACTTTCTTCCACCTTTTCAAAGCGCTTTGGACAACACTAGTTCCCTTTTTCATCGTTTCATCGACGCTAAGCACTATTCATAGTTGGTTTTTTTCTATTTTCTACTGCTGTGGAGGGTTGAAATGGGAGGAGATTGCTGCATAAATTCCACTGCCAAACAGTACATCTTACCTTGAAACGAAATGATTTGCATAAAAAACTTCATTCTGCAGAGGACTTCGGGGAAATCCAACACCCTTGCAACCCGAAAGTCTTGGAGACTACTTCACCGTCACTGCCACGCAGATTCTACCACTATTCTAACACGACGTCAGTTGTTAGTATTATCGTTTCACACTCCAATTAGCTTCCATCTCCTTTAAATTGGAGCGGCATACATAAATGATGCTGGCAGCGAGCTTGTCAGCAATGTTTGGCGCCAAAAATTGGAGACCTAAATGGCAGTCTGGTCTCAGCTTTCCTCGTAAAATAAGTTCGTATCACGAAGCTGTGTCCTCCTCATAAGCACTTGGCTTAATCCATCCCGGTCTTGCAGCAGGAGCATGCAAAACGAATCAGGATGGATTGCGGATCTCCTCTACTGAATAACTACTTGGCTTAACTTCAGGTGCAAACAGTAACTGTCAAAAATGTTACTGTACTCTCTCCGTGTTTCAGTCTAAACAAAGTGTCACAGCGAAGAGTGGATCACTGTCTCTTTATGGACCAGAAATACTGCCACATAATTGGAGGCAAGCATACATGCGTACGTCAGAAGGGCTAATTTTTGTCAAGGACGGAAACAGTGAACACCGTGCATTTAGCGTCTACAAGACCCTCCTAGGCGTCTGATGAAAACGAATAGGCGAAGGTGGTAGAGAGGGAACTCAGCACAATCATATGTGGGGACAAATAAAACTTGCAAATTGACACAAACTAGTCATTCTTTTACAGAAACAACCAACCTTCCCTCTCTCACCCTTTACTGCAAAGTCACAAGTTTCTGCGACGCGATCGTCTTCTTCTAGGTCCTCGAAAAGGTATCCTTTCTACAGGAGTGGATAGAGGTGGTCTGATGTGGTCTACTTCTACGGTTGCTGGATATCTGGGAAAGTTGCCACTAAGAAATTCCGAGTAGTTTGGTGGTGGCGGTTGAAGTACTGAACTTCCCTCCCCACCCGCCGCCTCTGGTGTCAGCGGTGGTTGAGTCGTAGGTCGAAATCGCACGATTTGGAAGCCAGAACTCACCAGGGCTCTGGTTCGAGAGACTGTACGTCTCAACGCGACTCGCAGTTCAACTCCAAGATCAATTCGATGAATAGTTCTACGGAGATGCTGTGGCAGGGGTTTAACTCTCGGCGAAGTGCCACCATGTCCTCCGCCTGGACGGGAGGTGAAGGAACTCTGGAGGCTCTGAATCTTCTGTATAACTCCTTCTGGTGCCACACCAACTTCCTCATTCACATCTGAATACGAGGGTGGTAGCTGATGGCCGGATTCAGCAACAACCACGGATTTCTGACGCCGCCACTGGAAGCGGCGTTTAGACCGTCGGGCGAAAAGATTCGTCTTATCAGCTTGTTCCACACTGGCGTAGGTTGGTGGGCTCAGAGGTATCTCGAAATCAGCACTGCTGATAGAGTTTTGACGGAACATGGGTGGTCTTCCTACTACTCTTTGACGCCATCGGCTAGGCAGACAACAGCATCCATAGCGAAGACATAGCGACTGAAGGCGCAAGTAACGGAGTGGTGAATAGCGCCTCAGCAATCCCACATAACTTATCAAAAATAGAAGTCCGACATTAATGACGCTGAAGAGGATAATTACTACCAAGAACCAGTTGACGGTGGGTGCATAACAGATGAGACTCCTCGAATACTCATCGGCGCTGCTTTGAGGGAGGGATGCAAATACTCTGTTGGCTAGCGCAGTGGGACCTCTGGGGCAGTTGACAACACCATCACAACTAAGGCGATAATCAATGCAATAGGCTACAAAACGATAGGTCAATTTTAATCCAAAGCGATCAGCGACCACCGGAGTTGTGCAAATAAGCCAGCCGGGATGAAACATTTCGTTGAGGTTAATCAGACTTATATCATAGGGGTTGCGGAGGTTTGTGTGAGATCCCCGAACCTGGAACTGTGTCAGCACACAAAGGTACGTCGGAGTGAGGGCAATATCCAAATAGAATTTGGCATCTCCACTTCTCTCTCCGATAAAATCATGAATCAGAAGCATATAAATGACAGTGGAATTCTTCGGCCAGGCTTGCGTATCCAGGTAGAAGTCACGCTTTACTGGGAACATCTTTGTGAGTCTTACAGTGGCGAGATGAACAGTCGGGTATGCGTTCCCTATGAATACTAGACTCGCTTCTCCACCCATGCCGGCAGTAATATTTAGTTGAGCTTGCTTTATGTACACAGTGACAAAATGAAACTGGGGATGTGTGGGGGCAGCAAAGGCAAAAGCACATGCGTGGGGATGTGTGGACTTTGTATGCGGTTGTCCGGTGAGTGGGATATCTTCGCCGCGTGTCTTGAGGGTATAGGCAGCTCCCGAGTACATAGGTCGGAGCTGAGTCCTGTGCGTTGGACTACTGATGCCGAAGCATGGCTCAATATCCACCGCCACGCTCTGGCAGGCGGTGGGCACTATGGAAACCGGGATCACGCAGAGGCTGAAAAGAACTGCTTTGATTAGGAGCATCGTAACTCTCCATAGGGCGGCATGACTGCTCCAGCAGTAGCATTACCATCGCCCCGTGAATGGAGGACCTCGCATACCTTCCGCCTGAAATCAATACCCTCCACGTGTCGCTGCAAAGTGATGAACTACCGATCTTGGGGTGACGACACAAAATTACCTGCCTTACTCTACAGTTTGATCGACATAACTTTTCTTAATAATAAATTACTTTTGCACTAGTGGTTACCTAAGCGAAATTGGTCCGGAATACCGGGTGGGTTGTCTCGACATTAAACTAGCAGATTCCCGCAATGACAATAGTCGCTCCCATTATCACAGGTTAATGAATTCCCCATCTACGTAGAAGTGTTGCCAGCTGTTGCATTCTTTGAAGCGTTCACAACGAATTAAGCGTAGAGGTGAGACGTTACTCCTTTCCATCAAAATGCTTTCCCTTTAATTATTGGTCATGAAGAAAGGGGGGAGAAACGAGAAGACCTTTTGTGTGATGCAATATGTCGTGACGTGTCGTGTCGTCGTGTCTTTTCAAAATTGGCAATGAGCGCAAATGTGCACGCGGATCGGCCCAGCAACATGACGGCAGAGGTTGCGCTGTTTGCACCGTGCAGGGCAGTTGCCGACCCTCAAAGCGTCTGTGCCCCACATTCCACAAAAGGTTTCATGGCCAAGCACATTGCGGCGTTTGGGAAAGTTGTAAAGATTGATTCTATCAAATTGTAGGCCTTTCAGACACGATGTGGCGTAGACACCGCCTTCCACGTCACGAACTGATAATTTCGGTCGCTGAAACTGTTAAAGTAGGTGTGACTACACCCAATAATATTAGCTCCTTCACGCTCCCCAGTCCATTGCTGTGGCATTAATGCATCATTAAAAATGCAGACATTAATGTAATTTTCTTCTGACAAGCGAAAATCAACACGATTTGTCAGTGCATGTAGATATACCCTAAGAACATCGGATCACCTACCCAGCTCTTTCTTCTGAAGTAAAACACTGGGTGACCACCGAGAAGCTGTGTATGCTGACGGAGACCACAAAAACAGAACAGAGGTGTGATAAACAAGCCACAGGGACCGTTAAGGCGTATATCCGTGTCAGGCGGTGTTTAATGTGACCGGAAAGTGGGGAGCTCGGACACTGGGTTGGCCTTTTCGCGCGGTGACAGTGAGGGCATTTTGTCTAGCAATGCATTGTCGGACACTGGTCGGTCTTTGCATTTGGGCGCTTCAAACCAGGCGACTTTCTAAGGCGTAATTTCCGGCAATTTGGTTGGTCCCTTAGCGGGACGGTTTGAAGTTACACCAGGAGAAACTGTTTACATTCGTCGCTGTAAGGATGATGGTTATGATTCGATCACAAACATGCATGATGTCGTAAAACCAAACAAATCCACCGTGTTGTTTTCGGTTTCGGGTTTCTGAAAAATGAGCATGCTTTCAAAAGAGGTTACTCTTCCCTTCATATAATAAGTCAGCTTGGCTTAATACTACCTTCTTGTTCATAAACCATGAAAGATCGTAGAGGTTTCCTTTTCTTACTCCATAGAGAGTCAACATGGCAAGGATCACCTAGAAATCAACCTCCAGAACTCTCAATCTACTAAATCATGTTGACATAAGAGACGGAATTTAGTTATTCAATAAGCATGATCAAAGAGTTCTCGTTACAGTCCCTCTATGGCCTTTTAGGGTGTGACAGTTCAAACAAACAAATGAATCACAACCAATTGCGCTAATAATTTGTTTATCCAGTTCTTTTAAATAACTGCCCAAACTCACTATAACAAATTGTCGAGAATGAACTGCGCAGGCTAGAAGGCGCCCAATGAATAGGTAAATAAATGAAAGGTAATTGACATTAATTAATAGGACCACCCATTAAACGCCAGCCCAGTGGACAACAATGCTTCCGGTGTGCATCTTTCACACCGTATCACTCATCAGCCAATCCCACTCCTGAACCTGAGCACAAAATGGTTTACGGAGAGGTGGGAGTGGTTATTTATGGCTCTTCTGTGGTCTGTCGCCACTCCAAGCGCGGATTTGGCTGGCGTCAACCCTATCTGACGACAAGTTGGCACGAGCACCACCCATCCTGGCGACACAGGACACCACTGCCTTGTGGAATGTTTACAAGGCTATTCAATGGTGCCCACCGTATGCCTATGTTAAATAGCAATGCCTATTTCATAGGCTCCATCTGATAGCGAAAATATGCTCAGTGTTTTAACATCACATCAGATTTAAATTTCACCACCAAAACTTGGTAAAAGGTGATTAGTAGTTTATGACACATTTCTATGGGTAGGCCTCGACTGCTTTAATGGCCTAAGATAAATATTAAATAGCTAGATTGCGTTGTAAACGGAGTACTATCCATTCAATGCTAGCTTATAAGATTTGCAGAGTCAAGCTGAACTAACTCCGAAGAATACACAGCGACACGAATGGAAATGAATTTACAGGAATGAAGAAATTTACCCCGCCCTTTATTCCATAAAAATACCAGGGAGCAGTCATTGCGATACCGGATGCCACTTATCATTCAAGCCGTCGCAGACCATAAAGTCCAAATAAACGCTCGCATCAGCACTTGACAGACGGTGCAGTATCTATTACTGGACCTAAAGGACCGTCATAAGCTCGAGGTCGAAACCTCCGGGCTGATTGCGAACAACAGCTCCGGTGTGAAAAAAACTGACCCCCTAGAGAACCTCGCAAAAAAACCCAAAACTCAGCCTCAGGTGGGTGAGGTAACAAAAGCGTCATTTTAAAATGCTTTCATTGAATCGGTCTGCATACGTGTGCCCACAAAAGAACGTGATTTTCGAAAGCACAATCATTACAAAAGAACGGCCACTAGAGGGAGTTAGGAGAGGGGCTTGGAGATTATGTCTTCGCGACCCTGTCCCACACCGATCCATCGAACATGAAAATCGCAGAGTCGTTCGATCGTTTCGACGTAATTACGAGCATTCTCTGGCATATCTTCATATTTCTTGATGCTCATCGTCCTGGTCTTCCATCCGGGTAACGTTTCATAGACCACTTCCACCCGTGACAAGAGCGAAAGATCAGAGGGGAAGCATTGAAGCACCTCGCCAGTAGTTGGATCAATATAGTCCTTCGCAATTTTAACCTACGAAAGATCCCCATAAGGCTTTCAAGAATGCGGGTAGGGAAAGTAGTGATAATCATGAGCGGCCTACCTCATCAAAATCGTCCAGAACATCGAGCTTGGTGAGCGCAATAGCAGTGAAGTTGTTTATCATGTGGGCGTAGCGCAGAACAACTGTATCTAGCCAGCCAACACGACGTTTCCTGCCCGTCGTGACGCCAAATTCATGACCAACTGTCTGCAGTTTTTCAGCCAATTCGCCAGTCAATTCAGTAGGGAACGCGCCGGATCCAACACGAGTTGTATAAGCTACATTTAAAAACAAAAGATTTTACTAACGATGCTAAGGCCGGCGCAGGTAAAGAGTGAATGGGGCTACCCACCCTTACAGACTCCAAAAACACTGCCGATGCGAGATGGAGGTAGACCCAGGCCAGTACATACACCGCCAACAGAACAGTTCGACGAGGTGACGTAGGGATAGGTGCCGAAGTCGATGTCCAGCATAGTGGACTGAGCACACTCAACGAGAAGACGGTGTGTATCGACCATCGCGAACTTATTCACCAAAAAAGCGATGTTCCTGACCATGGGCCTTAGGCGATCACGGTAACTAGACAGTTCCTTAAGTACACAGGTATGGAGTAAGTGAGGTAAAACATAAGGGGATTGACATTAAGAGATTACATACTTCTAGGGATCTTTTGACATCAACATTGAGAGTAGGATAATGTGACTTGTAAAAACCAACCAAAGATTCATATCGTTCACAAAAAATATTCCAATCGCCGACTAAATCAACAACACGCAGACCCCTCCTTGAAACCTTTGAAGCATAAGTCGGACCGATACCGCGTTTAGTGGTACCGATGATATAACGACCTCTCGCCTCCTCTTCCAACTCATCGACGCGACGATGAACATCGAAAACGAGATGTGCACTCTCAGAAATGCGTATACGACTCTCAACATCAGGAACACCTTGCTTTGTAAGGGTGTCAATTTCCTGAAATAGAATTAGTAGAACATTGGATCATGCCTTAAATAAGTCCTGGAGATAAATAACAACGCCATTGCCAATAACACACATTGTATCACTCCTGATAATGCCACTGGGAACAAGGTGGAAGAAATATTGCGTGTCATCGACAACAACGGTGTGTCCTAGATCCTGAAATACAAATAGATTCAAACATACCTGCATTGTTACCACCTTGGCATCGGCAGATAACATCACAACGAGCAGAAAGCATATCCACTATTTTTCCCTTTCCTTCATCACCCCACTGGGCACCGACAACAACGGAAACACCCGACATCAGGAGAATGCGAGGATAATTGTGAGACGGACACACGAAAAGAGCTAATGTTATAGCGCCCAATATAGCGCCAAAGATGCGGCCTAAACAACTAAAGTTTGCAATCAAAATTGTAAATATTTTCATTAATCCGTAAATGTTTCTCTTTGAAAATATTTTGTTTAAGCGTTTAAAATACAAAGTAACATTTTGAAAATGTCCTCACAGTAGATCGGTTTTCGTGCTCTGCGATGTAGTGCGTGTAGGCGGTGCACATTATGGAAAGTCTTCTAGCAAGACTTGTAACATATAAGTTTATGGATGGCCCTGGTCTGGTGAATGATTTGTTCAACCAGCCTAAGGAGAAATTGCTGTTCTCACTGCTGCTTTTCATGCTCATTATCGGATCCTCCCTTTGCATTGTGTATCGCACCCTTTTTCAGCGCGGCTCCTCAGTTTCCAAAAGCAGTACCCATAAAAACATTGATCCACAGCTTTTGGTTAATTTGTGGACTGACCAAAACCGAAATCTCTGTACGGGTATTGTGGATCTGTGCGTTGCCTTCATAAATACCTATACTGACAGGGTTAAGGTGCTCTTCGTTTTTTATCTTACCATTCGCTGTAGGTTCCAAACGGAGTGAAAAATGTTTTATATTTGCCTCGTGTATCTAGTCCCGTAATATATTCACAGAGATCTCCCCCCACCGTATCTGCTAATATAATGGTACTTGCTGTCAAACCACTTTTGTTATCCTTTTTAGAGCCTACCCTTACTTGTAACTTCTAATCGTCTTTCATTTTCTGGTGAATGTCAAGGAAATCAAAAAGTCTCTCATATTAGATTTTCACTTAGTAATTTTTCACTTGAGGTAAACTCTTTTGAACCATTGACTCTCAAAGGTTATGCTGAATTTGTCTTTCAATAATACCAACTTGATTGCTCTCCAAGGAGTTTCGTCACATCCTCACTTTTCTTTATCAATCGAATCTCCAGATCCAGTAAGAGTTATGATTTATTCTCTAACAGTTAAGTTGGAAAATGCCAAGCAGGACCTTTTGTGCACAATCGAAGATATTGTCTCTAATTTGCATCTGATATGGAAAGACGCCGGTGCATTGCTCGACAGTCAAGAGATTCTTAAGAGCTCGAAAGGATGTAATGAGTTATTTTCGGACTTGGTATGTCTTCGTTTTCACCACTTTTATGTTATTTTTACATCAAGGACTCAAAAGTGACGGAGGATGAGGGTGAGGACTTGTATCCGTCCACATTTTCACAAAGCTTCCACTTCGAATCAGGGATAGCTTCAAAGGGGAATACCAAAACAGCGATTGAGCTCAATGCAAATATTTTAACAGAGTCCGTGCATTCACTGCCTGAGGCCGCCAGTATAAACCCTGTTTTCCTGGACAGTCACCTCCACATGGCAAATATCTTCGCGCCCAGCAGTGAAACGGACGACTCTACGGAGGCTCTACCTGAGCCTATGGTACTGGCATACAACCCCAGCCTGAAGAAGAAGCTAGGCGAAAGCATTTACCGCCGGCACCAACGCTCTGCGTCAGACTTCGTGGACCAAGAGGTGGAGGACACTGAAGGTACGCTTAATGACACTGAGCCCGTTCCTCTGGACCCCATCGTTCACCCCCCTGAGGAGCAACATCCGACGGACCAGAATGAAGGCAAGCCGGTCTTCTCACTGCCCAATCAGCGCTCTCTCAAGAGAGTCATCGATGTATCTCCTCTTCATGAGCGTGTAACTCCGAACCTCGCCTCTAAAAATCTACTTGTGAAGGTGGTCAAGGCAGATTTTATTGACCTTAAAAGTATATTAAGCTGTGCTATTTAATGGGGGTTTAGGCTTAATCAGATAAACTTAGGGGCTTTTTTCCTTGGGAAACAGGTTCCTCCGATGCTTACTGTGTTGTGGAGTTAGATGAGCCGTACCAACGTCACGCCACACATGTTGTACCACCTTCGGAACAGTTATTTTGGGATCAGCATCTACTTTTGTAAGTCTTTAATCTTCCTTGAAATAAATATGCACAATTTCACCACTAAAGAATTAACAATGGTCCCTTTGTAGTTTTTGTCATCCTATGAACGGGGTTCAAATTGGCATCCTCATTTCATCTTTGGAGCAGCTGTTTGCTCCCATTTGGCTTAAATTATACATATTTTAATTTAGCGCTGTCGCCTTGAATAGTAAAATTTGTCTTTTGCTAGGTTCATGATATTTTGACTTGAAATCGCTTTACACTACCTTTTTCCTTCTTAAAGTATTGAATTATACAATTACCCGATGTTGGATATGATCTGTTGACTTTTTTCTTTATTTGTATTTTAGCGGGCTTAACAGCAACTCAAAACGTGCCACCTTCGAGGTTTTCGAACTGTCAAAAAGACGAAGTGAGTGACCTGTATGTAGTCATCGGTGATTGCTGAATGATGGTGCATATCGGTTTTATTTGTTGAATCACCAAATGATAGTTGATGCAGCGCTGGGAGATTTGCCTCCATATATTGTATTCAACATTTCCATTTTGAGGTAAAGTCCAGGAGCAATGGTTTTGCTGAATAAATTACCAATTTGCCGCAAAACCCCATTTGGTTATGAAATGTGGATAGAATATGTTTCATTTATGCCTAAATAATCGTCTAATGTAATTTGTGATAATTAACATCGTACTCAGCATAAACTTCAACCAATGTGTACTTTACGTAGGCATCACTTTTTCATTGTTTCCTGCTCATAAATTCAGCTGTATTCAGCGTTACGGATTCTAAGGTTCCATCTTGGTTGGGGCCAACTCTCTGATCCACAATATTACGCATTACACAACAGAGTGGCGTGCGGTAAATGGAATAACGAAACGTGTATTTGAAAATTAGTTATCATTTTAGGACTCCCACAATATAGCGCTTTTAAGTGTAGCGTAATGATTGACCTCGTCATTCCTTACAACGGCGTCCTTCCCCGCTTAGAGTAACTGGCCTATTGTCGCCGGCATTTGACGACGTGGGTTTTTGAGAGTAGAGGGTGAAGGGAGAAATGCAACACACTGGACGATGTCGTGTTATTTCACGGATGCTACTCTCCAGTGTTATCCTACTTACTTGAGAAAAATCAATGGAAGGCTCTAAAATGTTTTCTGGGTTTGATCTAACCAACTGTACGTCGAAGCGATTATCTCAACCAGAGGGTAGTGGCTGAACGCACATATGAAAACCTGCGGTCAATCCTCTCTCTAATGATCTTCAGAGTGGTTCTGCTCGAATGAACAACCTCCCCCATGGGAGCCATGTGTAGCCTGTCGACTTCCGCATTTCCCCTTGCGCGTTTCTATCGTGTCATCATGCCATATACCCGTGGCATGCAGGCACAGTGATCCCACTGCAGGCCGCGCCTGTTTGTGTGCCCGTGCGTGCATTAATGTGCGTGTGTGTGCCATCGGTTAATTGGCCGCTGCGTTTGGTGTGTGCTTGTACGCACACACCACCCTCTTTATCGATTTGAGAAGTGCGTGCACGCACGCAAGTGTCTAAGCTTTGGTGGATGGCATGTGGACTGATAAACGGGCGGGCAAACGAGCGCTCCGGGGCTTGGGGAGAATACACACTTGCAAAACAGCACCCTGAAATGCGTGTTCATGTGTGCGTGTGTGTGTATCCCGGTACCCAGGCGTCTTCGGTGCAAAAAATTTTAAATTCTCTTCGCACTGGTGCCTGGGAGAAAAGTACCATAAGTGGTCTTGCTGGCTAGATCTGTAGTAGTTTTGTGGGCCGGAGGACATTTCTATCTGAATTCAATGGTGCAATTATTGTCTATTCAGCAGAATAAGTAGAGTGAATATTCGCATAGTGATTATAAGTAGCTGATAGTTCATAGGATGTTCTTATGCGACGTTTTATTCTACTATTCGATCATGTTAATCCTTCTTCAAATAAGGCGACAAACTAAGTGATCCACCTCGATTGATGAAGCTTTTTTCCCGGGTTCCCGTTCATTACAAACCATCAAATTCTTGCCTATGATGCCTCCAAATTGTGCAGTCATTTCACCCCAATATTTTCCATAAACAAAATATTAAGGTATTTCGATGACTCACCGCGGGAATTGCCTATGCCAAGCCTTTGACCCATTAATCATTTCAAGTCGCCAACACATTTATGGGTTTTGGTGAGGCAATGAAAAAAATAAGCGGAATTTTCCCTATTTTGCAAATTACCAAGTTCCCTCAGTTATGCATAGCGTCGGGGGGCTTATTTAAGGCTGGAAATCTACTTTCTCTCGACTGTAAGTCAATTTCAAGCATTTCGTAATTGGGATCGAAAAGTGTTATATGATGTACGACCAATGTGGGATTTAAAAGATTGTGAATGAGCAGGAGGAGTTTTGGTTTGTTTGCCCTCTTTTTCAAATGCATTTTGGTAGATGGTTCCAATCTATATTAGCTTTTCTGTCACCTCGACGAGAACCCCAAAGTGAGGGTAAGTATGCCGTCTGGTGACTGTTTTCGATAGTCGGACTTAGTAGCCGCAATGCATCAACACTTTCCTATGAATTGAGTCTGACAGCTCTCACTTTATAATAGTGATTTTTGAAACTAAATTAGCCTTTAGATCTAGTTCTCTGGCATTTTGCGCCACTTTAATGCGTTACTCGTTTCACACTACTATTGCTCGCACAAATTTCGGTATCCCAATGGGAAAATCAAATCCTTAGAAAAGTACCTCTACCGTTTAGCGGGGCTGGTGTTTGCTTTTTGTGTGATCCAATAGGTTTTGCCACTTTCTTTTTTGAAGTCAATATTTTATCCGCAGTACTTGTTAATTGGTATCGCGTTGGATCTTCCGCCTTTTTTTCTAGTGTAGTAAAGGCATCGGGGCAATCATTAATTCATGTCCTTCCTCACATCACAGAGTCCATTTCACGGGGCTACGCGGAGGTCTATCTGCCGGAATTGCTGACCAGTTCGGTTAGGGGATGTTTGAGCGAGCTGTTGCGCTGCATCCCCTTGGACCCCAAACAGCACTCCTCCTCTACCCTGGGCATGGCCGTCGGCATCGGCGGAAGTGGTGGAGGAAAATGGGACCACACTTCCAATCCCACCTCCAGCTCCACCTCGCTCACCATCCGCAAACCCACTGTCACCGCTGAGGTGCTTTTAATTTTCTGGCCTAGAGAATTGATTTTTGATAAATTTTTGTGTTTACTTACTCTTAAGGTTCACTAAAAATCTTAGTTTTCATGGTAGCTCTAGCTAGGTTAACATTTGGCAAGTTGGAACGCCAACTAGGTTAAGCATTTTGGTTAATTTCGGTAGAGTATTGAACGTGGCGTGTGGAACTTTTCCTCTAGTAACAAGTACTGAAGCCTATTGTCAATTGAACTGGTAGCTGTTTTCTGTTTGACGGCTTCGATCATTAAATGAATGAAGTTCCCGATAGCATGACATGAAGAGTGAGCTGTTCATGCCATGTTTCAGCAAGGTCCATAAAGTTGCTGTGGACTTTTGCTTACTTCATGTGACTGCTTCATCAAATTACCGTAGCAACTGTTTAAATTTGGGAATCTACCGGACTTCTCACGGTATTCTTGGGACGTCTTGACCACACAAGTGGGGGCTGCCCTGGGGCAAGGACAAACTAATTTAATTTTTGCAGCGATCTAAATTGCTGACAAGTTATTATTTATTAAAAGTAATCCAATTTATTTTATCATTTAGTGCACATATTAACGCGATTCACTTTGCCTTCCAGTAGATTTAAGTGGGTTTTACCTGATTTCATCAGGAGCTCAGTCTGTTACCTGCTAGTTGGCTAACATAATCTCACCCCAAGTAATCGTTAAAGTAGTCGTTTTTGTATTTTTCTGTTTCACTACGGGCAAAATTCTCACCTTTTGTAACATTATTCTTTACCGCCACCAGTCACAATTTTGAGCAAGTAATGCTGCACTGCGTGCAGTTTGCGATATTGCCCACGCCCATCTTCATTCTGATTTGGGCCCAGCGAGATAAGTTTCCATCCAGGGATGTCATTTGGGCGTTTTCCACATGGCCGTGACAAATGTCACATCGCTGTTCATTCGTCTGACAAAAGATTCTACTTTAACGCATACATATACGTCTACCCACCTCCGCACTAGCATTTGAGGAAACATGCTAGCTACTTTTTCTTTTGCTGTTGTGTGACTTCCAGTAGCGTAAAAAATGCATCGTGTCTGCAGTAAATACCGCTTTAAATCATCACTTAGGCTTGAAGTGCCAGGGTTGTGGATTGAACACACCTTCGAAGTGTTCCTACGATTCCGCACTTTTACCTTTCATTATACATACCAGCTATCTCGTACGGCCAACGGCACAACTCAAGCATGCGATAAAAATCTATGATAATTATAGTGAATCTCGATGTGCCTATTGCACAATCAGACTTAAGAACATTAAGTATTCACTCGGACTTTAGGGTGAAGGGTAGGGATGTAGCCTCCTTGTCAATTGAAAATGAGTAGGAGTTTTCGCATGTCCTCGAGGCAGCACTATTATACAAATAACCTCATCTGCTTTAGTTTTCGGGTGTTTGTGCGCAAATAATAGGTATTTTGGTCTCACTGGCCTGTGTTTCTAATCGCTGCGCTGTGATGTTTGAAATTTCAGTTCCACTTTATGGAGCGGTTGATTGACGATCCCTTCTCGGTTTGCAAGGGGCGTTCAGGCGTTAGTTCGCCCACGCCATTGTCGAAGCTGCGCGCCGCGGCCATGACCTCTCCTGCCTCCTCCTCAGATTCCTCCCTCAGCCAGACTGCTGGTGCAGCCGCCTCCGATTCTACTGGCACTGGCATCGGCGCTGGCGCGGATCGCTCCTTGCACAGCTCCAAGGGTAAGCAATCCCCTGTCAGCAAAACATAATCATCATTGCCGCTCCCTGCATGCAGCAGTTGTTTCCTCTAGCGCTGACTAGACCCTGGGCTTTGCATAGGACGCAAGCGTGCATCGATTGCTGAGAGAGAACCTTACACTTCATGCATCCATGCTTTTATTCCTGCTGACTAGCTAGTGGCCTCCAAAACTCACCCCTACCTATTATCTAGTTCGGCGGCTCTTTGTGGAAGGAGCTTTAAACACGTAGAAAAGACGAATTTTTTCAAGGGTACGAAATCCGCACATCCCGTCGGGATTACAAGACAAAAGATGACGGTGTCCTTTGAGGTACGAAACTGAGTAAGTCTTGCTATTCCTTTCGTGGCACCTAGGCGCCTTTCGTCTTCGGAGGGCAGTCACTTTCAACGTCGGTCGACAAGGTAAGCACCGTCGTGCATCAGTGACGGAAGGAAGAATTGCACATTACACCTCGTCTCATTGTTGCCATTAGTATCATCATCGTCAATTATTGGCATGAACGCATGACATTTCATACATATTCTCCGTTTCCGTTCCCTTATTATTTAATGTATAAAATCAGTGTAAAACTTTTCGCTGATCAAACCTCAAAAAGATGTGATGTCACTTATTTGGAGAATGAAAAAAAAGATTATCAGAAGTTTACCAAAGAGATTTTACCTTAGGCTAACTTTCCAAGCATTCTTTTAGTATGTGTCACTTAAAAACACATACCACCTGAGATTTATAACCTAGCTTGCTATTATCAACCAAATTATCTACAAAAGGATGTTGTTTCATTGCCAAAATACGGATCTATCCAACTTTGCTTATCTGGATCTTCACGGTATCTTTACCGAGCCCAAATATTGCGAGTTTAGCGGTTTTTTGGACAACAAGGCTTGATGCCACTTGTTCGAAACTTAGATCAATAGTTAATTGTGGCTTCTGTTTCATTTGTATCACTTACTGGGTTCACTTCACCACTGTTTAATAAACGCGGAGCAGATGCGCTTGTTGCACAACGGATAAATGAAGATACATAATTTGGTATCATCTATTCCTTGAACTGCGACTACTCCTGCACCATGTTTCGTTCCACCTACGTAGATGGAAATCACGGATCGACTAACCATGGGTTTCGTAGGTTCCCGCGCCCTCTTAGCCTTCATTCCCATCCCACCTGAATGAATGTCCTCGGCCCACACGCGCTGCACTTCCCATCCTCCTCCACTCCCTATACCAAGGCGAATTAAACCATGTACTGCCAATGGTTGCGTATTACGCTCTCACTCTTTTTCCTTTTTCAGAGGAAATGGAGGACAACAAACAGTTGGAGGTTGGTGCTTTCTAGGTGTTGTTGCATATGCACGTTTGCGCGTCCAAAGGGGGGTTCCTACATGACGCCAACCAAAACGTCCCACCACACCCTCTGTAAAATTGACCAATATTCGTGCTGGATGCTGGCGTGCATGCCCTTGTGGGTGTTTGTTTTGATGTCTTGCAACAGACTTATAACATGTGCGTAATTGCGGCGGACGCACGTGTGCTTGTGTTTTCTCTTGGGGCCTTAGAGGGAGAGAGGAGGGGGGCCGAAGGCGAGTGCATGCCTGCGCATGACGTCATTGGCACACCTACCTCCCCGATTGCCTTCCCCACTCATTCCTGCACCCTCTGCCACCAAGGCATGATGTGTCGTCCTCTTTTCCTCCCTCCCACAGATCTCCCAGGTGAAGTGGGTAGAAGGGGTGATCGGTGCGGGTAATTACTTGCTCCCTCCTATTTGCGGTGTATCTAATGTAGGCCAAAGCGTCTCCCAACCTCGTTCCCAGGGTATGTTGGGTGCATTCTCGAGGGTGGAATTGTGTATATGTGTAGTTCACATCTCGCCTTATTTAATCCGATGTGGGAGTTGTATTGTAAGGGCTTCCTCGCAAACCTCTTCTGCTTTGTGTCCACACTTTTTGGCTCAGTTGAAGGTGTCTGAGGCTGCTGCAAGTTCGTGAGTTTATTTTCTTTTTTTATGACGATTAGTGAGCACGAATGGTATCCTACGTTTTTGGCGACTGTATAGGGGAAACGAGAGTGAACAAGTGAGCGGAGTGGAACGGATGTGCTTCCTTTTCCTAAACTCAGTCTGACCTAAAATGCATGTCTTGCGGATGTTGAGGAAATGTTGGCAGGCACCTAATGGGAGTTCTGAAAGTGAAGGAAACTTTTTTTATAAGTGGAGGAACCTGATTGCATATTTTTTTTGATCAAATTCTGGGAAAAGTAAACACTTGAAATGTCAGTATCCATCTGTTTAAAGTCATTTTAACAGTGTTCCCAGATGATTTATGGGCAATGCCTGCGGTCATGCGAGCTCAGGGTTTTAACATTGACGCGCACCAGATGCCTACGTCTTTTTGACATACGATTCCTCTGTAAATTTCTTACAGTCAGCGTCAAATTATACTCACAAAATTGAGGTAAATCCTTTAGAGATGATGCGATTGCGCCTCTTACTGTGTTGGGCGGCCGTTCCATCGATGATCACGACCTTACGAATCTCTTTGGTTGTGGCTATGGACAGAGGCAAATGTAAGCCCACGGACTGGCGATCTGAGCCTCCCACATTGCATCTATGCATGTGCACATAGTAGGCATGTGATCGGATCAAAAGCAAACGACTTAGGAACTCATCCGTCAGTTGCTCACTTTGTAATTCTGTCCGGGTAATTCGTGCTGTTACACTCGTTTAAAACCTATAGTTCCCCTTGTTTTCCAACTTGGTACACCTCATTTAGATGTCTGTACCTTGCAACACGTGAGTTTCTGTCAATTACGTCTTTGTTCTCCTTAATTAACATTTTCATCCCAAAGTCCTACCTGAAGTGTAAAAATCCTGATAAAACAAACTACATCTACTCTACTTTAATAGTTACTTGCACACTGGGTCTGAATGCCATTTCATTATGTGCTCAAGTAAATTGCCTTCCTTTTGTAGCTTGAGACGCCCAAGGACGTCACACCAACGCCTCTCAGTAAGTGCCTCCAAGACACGCAAACATTCGTATATTTGGTGTTTCGAAAAGCCCACCTTTAGCTGCTACTTTCCGATTAGCGATAACAATGGTTTGTTCATCACTTAAATGAGGTTAGGTGAAGCACTAGGTGCTGCTTAGTTTTCCTTTGTCAGGATTGATTTTACAGGCTGCCATGTTTACAGAACTTCCCAATTTCGACCACGGATGTTTAGCCAGGCTCATTTAGTACATCATTCATTCATTTGATGCGACAGTCATCAAACAAATTTGTTACAGTCGCTTTGCACATATTTCAAGAAGCCATGACTTGAAATTCACCTTTCATCTAGTGGAGAGCGGCAAACAGCATGAAAGCCGCCTTCAGCGCTCCACTTCGACCCGTGGCTCACGTCTCTTCGAGCCAGCCTTCGAGAATCTACGTCTAGCAGATACCAACGCCGCTCTGACCAGCCGTCAACAGTACGGACACCGCGCCGGTGGGGGTTATGGCGGCTTGCGTCGCAAGTCAGTGCCCCGTGTCCTCTCCACCGGTCTGGGCGGCGGTAGTTCAAGTACCACCAGCGGCTTTGGTCTCCTCGGACCGAGTTCCCAGCTAGCCGCAGTGGTAGCGGGTCTTACTGCCGCCTCTGTGGAGTCCTCCGATGCCTCTGTTGATCCATCTACCGCTGCTGCGGTTGCCTCGGCGGTGGCAGTGGCCGCTGCCACCGGGCGCTCCACCTCCTCCTCCGCGGCTCTCGATCGCAGGGTCATGGCGATAGGGGCCGGAAGTGGTGGAGTTGTGGGTCCAGCGGACAGCCTCTTTGAAGGCACTGCTACCTCTATGGCCACTCTCGGCATCTCCGAACATGAACCACGCAGTGATACTGTGGTTCGGTATGCCGCACCCGCAGCAAATGTAGCAGGTAAATTAAAAGGGGAAAAAGGGAGATGATAATTGCTACCAGGGATTTTTGTCAGTTTTTGAATTTTTTTATTCTCCTTCTCCCTAACATTTCGTTGCTCCTTTTCAGATCCTGTTGCTATTTGCTGGCATTTTATGCCAATCACTTATTTTGCCCTCGTGTTGTATTCAAAACTCATTTCTTAGCCATGATTATTTTCATGTAATTTCGTGCTATGATGTTCATCAGTCCGAAATATCAGGCACTGGAACACAATTAGTTACTGTACTTTGATGTTTAGAGAGTCTGGGGACATATTCGGCCCAGCTGCCTCCAAAGCGATCAGACGCAACAGGAGCAAAGTTGATTAACCTCTTCAAGTCCAAAAAGAAACACCAGCAGCCATCCGGTAGGCCGTTTTACCATCAAACGAATGTTGTTGACTGGATTTGATAAAAACTGAACCAATTTTGGTTAAATACTTGAAGATTAACTGTCTTTGTTAAATTTGTGATTATTCCTACTAAATAATTCAAGTAGTACCATCGCTGTCTTGCAAATATTGAGATTAAGGCTAATTCCGGAATACGCTACTCTCAATCAGGTATGGCGCGCCTGCTTTACTTGCAAGACCTCGAAGGTTCCGAATTCGACGCAATTTCGACAGAGGGATATCAGAGAATTCTTCATGGTGACCAAACTGAGAAGCAATAAGATTTTGTGCTTTACTCACCCCTTCCTTTCCACCATCGCCTGTCTGTAAAACCCGGGAAAACCGATGCTTTCAGCTTCCAGAGCCATAAACTTCCCTGTTTGTGCTTGCCATCGGTGGTCTCGCTCCAAGGTACACTTATTTGTTGGCTGGGACAGGTAGACTCACGCGTGCACTTCATTTTCAAGCCTTTCGCTCTTTCGATCGGACTGTGCGTTATTTCCTTCTCTTATAAGGGAGAACCGAATCGAATGCACTTTCTTCTCTTTATTCCTCTTCTTGTCTGCACTAATCGCATGCCCGACCCTCTGTGGCGCAGCGCTAAGCCTTCAGTCGATGGAGAATTATACACGCTTCGTGCCGCTTTTGCCTTTTTTCTTGATAGAGGGTTGGCAATATGTGTGATTTGAGCAGTACGCAACAGTGGTAACGTGAAGCAGTGCGAGTCATGCGTGTTGGGAGCTTTTAGTGTGTATCTTTCAACTAACTAACTGATGAGTAGCCGAGGCGCATACTTCCTCACGCCTGGTGAGGAAGGTACCGAGGTTTAGCACTGACCAGAGGGGGCTGTGTTGAGCTAATTGAGGAATCTGGAAATTTCCTCGTTTCTGGCTGTTTTTGTGACAGGATACAAGTTGTAACTAGGCGTAGAGAACACGAGGTGGGAGTTGGGAGTCACATAGTGTTAGTTTGGATTAATTTATTTTGCCTGCGCACATATTCTGAAACAACCTCATGAGGGCGATTTTTTTGGACTTATTATGCGAAGGAATTAGTACGCGGAACCAGTAGCATATATTATCCGGTAAAGTTTTACAGGTTTTCATCATTGCTAAGCATAAACTTTTAAAACAAATTGAGATACAAAAATTTAGGATCGCTTTTGAATAAACATAACTGCTACATTTGAACTACTGGCTCTTTGTTTAAGCGCATTGGCGCGACATTAAATGGGTTTGCGTATAAAACCCCAGTGTTTTCCTGTTCCGCGGACTGGAGTGCAACATGTCTGGTATTAGGCAGAGCAAGTTTAAGCATGTTTTTGGAAAACCTTTAAAACGAGATGAGTGCTATGATTGCATTCCAATTACGAGAAGCACGCATGATACGTCATTTTGTGCAGTTAATCCCAAGTATCTTGCAATTATTACTGAATCCAGTGGTGGTGGTGGATTTACTGTGATTCCAATCAAACAGGTTAGCCTTTAATTACCTTTTTACTTACACAACAACTTGGTTGAACATTTTTTTTCTCCGTTTCAACAGGATTTTTGTTTGCTAGAAGGTTTTAATGTTAGGCAGGTTCTTTTAACTGGTATTTATGACATTTCAGCAATTGAACCGATTATTCTTAATCATAGGTGGGTCGCATGCCAAGTGTTTTGCCCATGGTTGCCGGCCATACTTCCGCTGTGCTTGATATTCAGTGGTGTCCCCACAACAATGACGTCATTGCAAGTGCCTCTGATGACTGCACTGTTAAAGTATGGGAGATTCCTGAGGGTGGCATAGGAAAAGAACCCTTAACGGAGTCGATTGCTACCTTGATAGGGCATCAACGACGTGTATACCTTGTTGTTTGGCATCCTACAGCACAGGGTGTGATCGCTTCTTCTAGTAAGTCCGTATCCTATTGTAAGATTCAAACAATTCGAATTGGCTTCGAGTACTTTGGTAATCAAATGCAAAAGCGAGAGCCAGTGCGATTGTGCGCATGTTTGGATGTTCTGGATTTTTGCTTCTTCTACTATCGTTTAGCTTTCTTATCATGCACTGGCACTCGAGTTTAGTGTGCTTTGCCACATGGGTTATTATTCCATTCTAATAACTTAATTAAAAACTCTATTTTGCAACTCAAGGTGCTGATAACATGACCATCTTATGGGATTCGGTAGCTCAATCTCAACTCATAGCTGTCGAATTCCCCAACCTTGTCACTTGTCTTAGCTTTAACTACAATGGTTCAAAGTTGGCGGCATGCTGCAAGGATGGAATAACACGCATAATGGATCCGAGAACTGGAAGGTTCACCGAAGTGAGTCCAACTGTTGCTCTCTAGTACCGCATACAAATAGCAGAGATTGTGCTTGGCAATGACCATAGACCCAGGTGACCCTGCTTTCATCACTTACCTGGTAATTCTCTTCATAGTAAAAATTATGTCAACGCCGCTTTTCGCCACTTTAACTTCGCGCAGAGGGTAGAAGTTACATCACACTTTTATTTGCTCTTGCTTTCCCATCAAAGAGTTTTTCGCCTTGAGAATGTTTTGCTTGTAAGAGTCTGTTGTCCATTAGAAATCGTGATTTTAACTGAATCCCGCGTCATTTCATCCCACCTACACGAGCACGCACGGTATTTTTTTCGAAATCCTGGTACAGGCGCGCGCGTATGTCACTGGTAAGTTAAGCAACAAACAAGCACACAGTGAGTAAGCGGTCTTACCGTCCACCGAATTCCTACAGACTGCCCAGCCAGTCGACCAGTGTGACTCAATCACCCTTCCCCTTCTTTGTTTAAGACGATGTGGAGGATAAAAAGCTCAGTTCCATCCTGCCCTAGTTATCGCCTTCCCTTTTGCGTAAGCAGTGAGGCTCAAACATTCTCCCTCAAGGTCGTGCTGCTTTATGCAAAACGGTAACGCACTTAACGGTTTTCACTAATCCTAGTGAGAGGTAGGATTTACTCTAATCGGGTATACATCCACGGCTTTTGCAATAGGCTTGCTGAGTGTAATGTGTCCTTTTTCCAACCTAGACGGGCACCTGCCACGAGGGTAAGAAGCCGCAGATGTGCGTCTTCGTGGAAGGCGATCGTCTCTTCACTACAGGCTTTTCGAAGATGAGTGAGCGTCAGTTGGCTCTTTGGGACTCGAGTGACCTGAGTAAATGTCTCTGGCGTGAGGAGCTCGACATCACCAACGGTGTCCTTTTTCCCTTCTATGACATTGACACGCACCTCATATTTGTCTGCGGTAAGGTAAGATCACTGATACTGTTCCGACTTTTCGAGTAAACACACGTGGTAGTTAAGGAGAGAATTTTTTACAGCACTGAGTTAGACGGCTGACTTCATCAATCCTTCACTGAACGCCACCACGGCCACTCTGAGTCCTACTTAGCTTAATGCTATCAAGTCAAAAATGTGCAGGCCAAGCATTAAAATTTGCTTTCCTGAATGTGTTGCCCATCTATCAGGTCACTCAATTCCAAACATCGCTTAGTGGGCGGGTCTGGGGAGCATTTAACCAGTATCCAGTAAGTTATTTAGTTGTTTTACAGAGTCCCAAAGTTTGGCAGCCAGGCAATGGTGGGAGGTTTGTTTATGCCTTACGCTTGAGTAGATAATGCATTGTGCCTATCTGAGCACAGAGCTAAAACTGTTAAACCACAATCCCCAAAAAAAGAAAACACAAACCTTACTTTCTGTGAGCTTTACTGAGCACTGCATCCTCTGTTCACATTGTGTTAGGCTAGGCTAAATCAAAGTACAGCAGTGTGCTGTAAGTGGTTTCGACGTGGTGCTGCCGCTTAGTAGAGAGAGCAAGGTCGTGTTTTTCACTTTCGTTCTGAAATGGACTCATGTAAACTGTACACATGCACGCACATCCAGTGTTACATGTGTTCTGCGGCTTTTTTCACTAGACAACGATCGATTTTGGTGTGCTATGCTGTGTAGCCGAGCGAATGTTCCTTTTGATTGGGAGTGTGTATGCTCTCCACATGTGTTTGTGCTGGAGTACATCACATAGATTTTAAGCCTTCCCCTCCTTCCACTTGCATTATGCGATGAAAAAGTACGAGCGTCTTAACGTTATATGTGTAAATCCTCATACCACGCCAGCACAACCGCACACTTGCCACTTCAATTTTATCTAAACACCTCTTTGTGTCAGTCAGCACGCATGTCGTTATTTATAGCAACCCCTTTCTCTCTGAGTCACACTAGACATTGTGCTTGCTTTACACTTCATTACTCTTGGCCGTGGCATTAGCATTCGCCATAACTCCTGAAACACTGTTTAACAGTTTCTACTCAGTGGTCTCATTCGGTACCTCTGATTCCTTCGATTCATTATTAAGGTAATTAGTACAATGCATAGTCAAACTGACTGGTTATCACGTTTATAATCAGACCTAGTTATCCTTGCTACTGTGGTGCATTTCCATTGATGGTAGTGTTGGTAATTACTCCACTTTGTTAGTAACTCCTTGAAGTTAACCAAATGATTTATTTTGGTTGTTAATCAAAGAACAGTCGTTGGAAGTCTAACCTTAGCAGTTATACCACTTTGTGAACAAAATATGTCCTTGTGGTGTGTCATGGCTTGGCTTAAAAGATCAGACGCCTCATATCCCTGTGCCCCAAATTATCAGCATTTCTGAGTCAAATTCAAAAAGGAAAACAAGAATACCCTTTTACTGTGTCTCACTTTACTGGAATATTTAACTAATAGGGTTTCAGGTTTTATAAGTACATGATTTACTGTTATCTTTCTCATTTACATGATTCGGTCTCTACGGTGTTATTCCACTTGATTGAATGTCTGGTCTGGCAAAGACACCACGAGGTGATATAATATAAACCCGTAATTGCAACCTTTGTACACCCATTCCATTACCCTAACGCTAGACTCATTGTACATATTTAGAGTCTGCATATTAGTATGAAAATCTTACCCTTCATAGTCGGAGTGAGCTGTGTATTTCGAATGGTGAGTAGGGGGACAACGTAGACCTGGCTACAGCACTCTTATTTTTTGGACTATAGGGCGACAGTTCAGTGCGGTACTTTGAATACTCTCCGCATGATAACCAGGTGTACTACCTGAGTCGCTACGACAGCACCGATCCACAACGCGGTTTCGCCTTCATGCCCAAACTGGGACTCAACGTGGCGATCTGTGAAATCGCTCGCATGTACAAGCTGCACAACAAGAATTGGTGCGAGGTCATCCCCTTCACGGTGCCCCGTAAGTCGGGTCTCTTCCAGGAGGACCTCTACCCCGACACCGTTGCTCCCGTCTCCTCTATCTCCTGCGATGCCTGGTTCCATGGCCAGGACGCCGATCCTATCAAGGTAGGCACCTTTTTTTAACAGCGTGGAGTAGGGTCGGGGGGATTCGTGCGAAGTGTGCTCAAGTCGAACGAGGATTTCGAAGTTTACGCGCTTAGAAAGGGATACTACCACAATGGTAATAAACAAATAACAGGACGTTAGCGCATCGCATTGCTGGCACTCTGCCCGCTTTTCGCGGCCCAAGCCACTCCATAAACCCTCAGTCAAGATGGTAGGCAGCAGTGGTAACGAGTACGTGCATGAATCGGGATGTAATGAACGACTTTCTTGCAAAGACATGAAACCTGTGGATGTGCACACCTATGGAAGCACAGTACAGTGATGAGACTCTCGGCTGCTCAACAATAAGCCATTTGGACGGTCCACGTCTTCGCCAGGCAGACCCGTGGAAATTCATTCATCGTATAGAACTTCAATATTCCTGACTGCCTGATCGATGCATAACCTGTCGTGAAACCCTACAAGAGGCTAGTATCTCCATGAGAACGGGGAACAGAATTATTCACGAACTCTTAGAATTTCCAAGTTGGCCCATCCTGAGTGTCCTAGCATTGCTCAGCCACATTGACGAATGTTTCTGCGTCCAGGTTCCCGTTAAAGGTTGGAATAAGTGTATAAACACAACAGGAGGCTGCTTGGGAAACAAACGCGGTTTCTGCTCCTTGAAGTTTGTCTTTTATACTATTGAAGGCGAGACGCGACGATAGCAGTACCTTAAGCTTACACTTGCGTCCTGCATACCCTGAGTCTTGTTGAGCGGAGTGAATTGCAGTTCCACCCAATTCGCATTGGCCAGCTGTCAACAAATGATGATTGACAGGCCATGTGAGATGCAAGTGCGAAGCTTTCCGCCTCTATCAATATACCTTAAATTCCGCATTAAGGCCGACTGTGGCTCGCACTCATGCCATCACGGTTATTCTGGAAAATAGGACGTCTAGGGGATTGAAAACTTGCTTTCTTTGCACCTTCACATTTTTATTTAAAGCGAGTGAGAACAGGTAACATGCATTTCAAAGGTTTTTGAAAACAATCTAAACTTAAGCCTCTTTCCCTGTAGATTTCCGTCAAGGAGGCGGGCAATATTCCAAAATCAGGTTCTGCATTGCAACCACAACCACCCTCCAGATCTGTGGTGAGTTATACAGGTGCCATTGCTACTATCAGTCACTAGATTCTTGGAATTCTTTCTTTGTGTGCGCCTTTTTGAGGTCACTCGGTCATTTGCATAGTAGTAGTTAAAAACTAGGGGGAATTGTTGGCACTCCCACGCTTGATGCGCTGTCTGTTGAGGGTACACAGAAGGTGAGTATGCCTTACAGCGGTTAGTACAAAGAGAAGTGCCAACTCAGTCGTAGTAGGTTTTCTCTCGTTATGTTTACCGCGACAATGCAGGTTCCGGTAAGTTTTCCCTTCCTATTCATCACACATGTCGTCCAAACTGAATGAACTAAGCAGTCGCCATTTACATCTTGCTTCATGTCCACCTCATAACGACCTTCGGCTGACGTGAACCGTAAGCGTCTGTAGTCATCCAAATAGGGCTCTCAGTATATTTCCCCCCGAATTGCATTCTAGTAGCCTACTTTCCCTGCACTCTGTTCGTACCCTCATGCCCACGTCTTAGGGAGGTTGAAGTTTTACGGCAAGGTAGAATCAAGACTGCTTTTTCATGCACTTGTCTTGCGTAGAGTCAAGTGATCCACTTTCGTGTAATTTCATGGGCGGGTTTGCAAAACCTTCATGTATTCCTACTTTTGTTTTGGGACGAGAGTCAGCCATGCTTCCTATTTGCGGTCTTTTTTCTGTTTTAAGTAATGGAAGCTAAATAATTGCACTATTTTGCTATTTATACGTTGGTCATGACGTGAAATTAGAAGTCGGTGTCTTAGATAATGTCAACCAATACCTCGATCGTTAATGCCTCACTGTAGAGGTGGTAGATGCTCCTACTGTCTGCCTATGCAAGCGCATTTCACCTGTTTGATGTTACGGTTGATGAAGCACTAGTGGGGTGATCAACCACATGCCTTAAGGCGTGCGCTTTGTGCAATCACCCTTCACCTTTGTAACGATTGAACTTAAGAGGCGATGGGCCACACCAATGCCTCACCGCACCGCTTCAACCAAGAGGTCTTTTGATCGGTGGAACACTACGTCCATTATCTAGGAGGATGATGGGCACACGACGTCCTTTCTTTTCTGCCAATGAATTCCCCGTGCTCACAGTGGATAATATACACCGGTTAGGTAAAGTAAACTATGTATATTCTCGAACTCGTCATTCTACGCATCAAAGCAATAAATTTTAGGTGACAATTCTATCTTCCTGTACGAACCTCTCATTCTTATCAAGGGAACTCTTGGTCACCCAAACAATGTGCTCAATTACTACCCCCATATCACCAGTAGCCTTCCCTACGCGAATCTCTTTATGGCAGCTATAACTATTTACGAAGTAATCAGTCGTAATTCTTGCGCCTCGACGCTGCAGGTAGACACAGCCGTTTGCCCTCCCGTCTCATGACGGGGATAGATGTTATAATGATTAGAACCAATGATATCACCATGCAGAAAGTACCAAAGCCCTCCTTTGGATTACACACTGCTTCTGTAGTCTGCGACAGGTTCTTCGGACGCTGCGAGAGCGCCGCATCATGCACCTCCAGTGGCCTCGGAAAGTCGCGGTAGTCACCACAGCGACCACCCTTCCTCGTCCGACCAAAACCATGCTCCCCTGATGTGCGCGGAGATGATGGGGGAGATGACCCGCGTGGTGGACAAACTGTCTGACCAAGTGAAACGGTTGGAGCACCGGGTGCGATGCCTGGAGGAGAAGTACGAAAAGGGCGACGATGACAGCTTTAGCACCAGCAAATCCAGCATCTCCAGATCCAGTAGCCATTAGCCTATCTGATAATACGAGGTTGTGGCACGCACCCACTTCGGCAACACTGCCTCCTCCTCATCCTCCTTCCTGCTGCAGCAAACCTCTTGTCCATTATCTGTCCTCGCTTGCGCGCATGTACTCTTTTATTACCTCCTTCTTTTTTCTCTTTCATTCCTAATCTCGATGATCCTAAACGATTAAATTTATATTAATACTGTTGCCGCACCTGGATACACTGCTCTAGAGTTGTGAGGTGAAGTGGTTGCGATGCGGTATAGGGCGTGTTCTCAAGGTGCAGCGTGTCTGTCAATTAGGGGGTGTAAATGTCTGTTTTCAGGTCTGCAGGTCTACGACTTGTGTGGCATTGCCAAGCATCCCCAATTCCCACTGCAACGCTGTGGCAGTTAAAAGGATTTATACCGTTCGTTTAATTTTGATGCGACTTGGGTGATTCGATAGGTGTAGACTTTTCCGGAAGTGGGCTAGCACGCCTTTGCGAACGCTAAGTAGCTTAGATCCTGTTTGCGACAATTTGCCTACTGATTATAAGTAAGTAGTAAACCAGGTCTGTTGCTTTGCCTCCGTGGCGATCTTGATCGGTACTCCATCTTGCCTGATAACATTCGAAAGCTCCGGTCTTCTACTAATCCTATTTACTGATTAAAAATGCTTGATTGTGGGTAAGTGGCTACGACACTGGGATCTCAGCAAACTGCTCAGCGTTGGATTGTGAATGGGGATTATCAGGCGTGGAGGTGTGAGTCACCAAAATAAGGCACTAAGTGTGAACTACTTGGCAGTAAACATATTTTTCAAAACCGATATAAGGTGTCTTTTTTGCGTGGTCTCTTTTCCAAAACCAGTGAATTGAATACACGGGAAAAGTGTGGGCACTACCGTTAAATGAAGGGGGTGAAATTGACGCAGAAGCGCGTAAATGCCGCCATTTTGGTCTTCCTAGTCGATTTTGAAGTTGCCAGTTTCTTCTGCTTTTGTGTTCTTTCAAAGGTCACCAGCTCTTGAGGTGTAGAATAACTTTTGGTGTCTTGCAGAACTTTAGGAGTTTAGGCTTTGTGGTCTATTTCCGCCTTTTACAGAATCGCTCTCTTGGGTCCTCAGCGGTGGGGAGGGGGAAGGCGGTAAATTGGCTGTAGGTATACATTAGTTTTCCGTTCAGAAATTGACACCAGTTACCATTACTTTTTTGATAACTTCAACCGCCGCTTAGCAGCTAAGACCACCATACACCCACCTTACTGGTTTAGGCTCAGCCTAGCCAACTACGGCACGATTTCGCTCAACTATTTGGCATGAGCTACTAGAGAAAATGACAGTCATAAATTGAAACATGTGGGTGTTAAATAGCGTGGCTTTCGTGGCGATTGAGTTGGGCAGCTATACCTGTTGAAATGCACAGTCAAATATAGTAGACCAACCGAAGGTGGGGGCGATTGTACTCTCTTCTCACTAGCCTTCGATGCTGACTTATGCCTACAACACACAGATAATAACCGAGAGCAGAGAGGGGCCAGTCACGAAATAACAACTGCCATAAAAACACTTTTATTTAGGAAGCAGGCTCTCATGCCCATTTAAAAGATGGGAGGTACACACCAAGTGGTAGTATGCCGACATGGTTATTTTGCGAGTTGGAGTGACTTTTGTTTCGGAAGTAGGTTGGTCGGTTTGCTACTAGTAGAAGGAGATCATCAGCAAGAAAGTGGTGCTTCAGTCAACAGACTTGTAATTCCGAAGCAACCTGTCATTTTCGATGCATTTGGAGGCAAAGAGGCAGTTCCATATCTGATGGAGTCAGGATCCGTTGATTAACTTACATTTTCTGTGGCCATTCGATAAGCTAAAGGGTGCTACTGGTCATCACACGCCGATCAGTCATAGCGTTCCTTGTACTTAAGTACCACAGATGGCCACACCCATTGTAGATCCATTGAAACATGGACAGGGCGCCAAGAGAATAGAAAGGTACGGTAAACCATGGAGCCCAATGAATATTGATGCGAAATAAAGAGAAGCTAATTGAGGTAGAACTGAATCACTCCTCATGTCCTTCGTTTCCTATCACCATTAACGACTGGTACGGCTGTACTCCGCGATTTTTGCCATCAATGGTTTTGGAAACCACACCCATCGAACGCTTTTTCATTAAACAGCTAGTCATAGACCCTAGTCGATCAACCGCCCGACATGTGAAGATTTTTGACCTAAAGGACAGATGTTTGCCAATCCGCAATGGCGTAGACTCCAAAGTCATATTGGTTCTTTCTCTGATAAGAGTCTCACTATAAGAACTTCTGAAGGAGGAAAATTGTTTCCTATGCAGGTTTATTTTAAGCGCCTCCAACCCACGCATCCGCTTGCTCATGGGTTAGTTGGAGGCATTATTCTCATAGTAGCTTCCTGATAACGCCATAGGACTAAATAAAGAATGCTCGAGGCATTTCCTTAAAATTTACACGAACATTGTCAACTCCTCCTCTAAACAGATAATCGTTGGATCTCACATTCTCATGCCACATACTTGACCGACACCGTCTATAAGGCATTTTCCTAAAGGGCAAACATGAATGAGAATTAGCGACGGGAAAGGTTCACTGCGATATTTCCGGCAAACTACCTGTTCACTGATGCTTATTAATCAGGCCGATCAAGTTAAAATCGCTTTAGTTACTCTGAAGTGAACAAAAAATCACGAGATTTCCACAAATACTTAGCATTTACACTAACAAGCCCCCATTTCTCAGTTCTGTTGCGTCTCTGAATGCTCATTCATTCTGGAATCCGGTTTTGTGATCCAGGCAAAATCCTCCAATCTAACACTCAAAATGCTTGGATTTCAATCCCAACAATGCGATTCCCGATGGTAAGTCTGTAGAAAGGATAGAGTAATTAGTAATCCTGGCGAAGCATCTACAACAAAGGTAAAGAGAGATGGGGTGGATTACTCAACCTCTGATTAGGAAGGAGGATTCTCGCCTATTTAGCGCTAGGACACATTACCATCCATGCGAGCTCGTTGCGCGGAGACACACGATCGTCCGACTGCTGTTGGAATTGCCATGTGAGCTTGTGGATTGTTCAAGAGGGGTGGCGAAACTCCCCGTCTGTAAAATCCGTCACTACTGCATGCAGCATCAATTCGTTAGCACAGTTAAAGTCAAAGGGAGCTGTGCTGTGATATAATATTCTGTTTTGTTATTTTAACTACGCGGACGCTTGAGTCTCCGCAGGTTGTACTTCCACTGCAAAACATGGCCTCTGGGCCATACCGATGGCCTCCCAGCTCCTCTCAGCACCGCTAATGTGTTATTCAACGTTCCTTTAGCTTGCTAAAACTCAGAGTCAGAGTCTCACAATTTACTATCTCGATATTTTCCTGTACATTGTATTAGCTTAAATCGAATTTATTTCAAAGTATCTCACTGCGATTTTTCAGTCGGATTTTTCCTAATGCTAGCTCTAAAAAGGCGTTTTAATGCTAACAGCGTCTGGCAAAAACGCAGGCATTTGGAAACTCTGTTACCAGTCCTCGTGCTAATGGTGTACAGCGTGGACACCAACTTATTTGAATACACCTAAATGAAGCCTTTCTTACGGATTTGTGTAAGCTGGACAGGAGGCCGTCCGACTCCACTTGCTATGTCATTCAAATAAAAGCACTTTGAACATTTGTCAAGTTCCAGGAAGTCATCGAGAAGTTTTCATGTGGCTACTTAATGATCCCTCCCGGCAAATTCTAATTCATGTATCGAAATCCTCACTTATTATGAACCTCAAATCCTCTTTTTATCCCACCCTGAGGGAGCCACGCTGATTGATAAGATTGGGATTTGGTAACCCACTCTTTAACCTCTAAGCCTCTTAACTTCCGCTGCAAGTTAAATGATAAAGAGTTTGTCTCAAGTAGACTGCAGAAACCCTCCAACAGACCGCACTGCCGAGGTTTATAATGGCACAACGCTACAGGCCCACACTGAGTTAATGGTAGCCCACGCCGTCAATAAGTTGTGAGCATCAAAATCGTTGATGTTAACTGACAGGCGGGAGGTTTTTATGGGTCTTCTTACAATTGGAGTCGAGGGGACGTGAAGGCAGACTACACAACAGGTACCTCCAACCCATTTCCGAATTGTGTGCACGCTGAATCTGAGTTTCAGTCACAGTCAAATTATCCAATCAATCCATACTTCAGAGCATCAAATCAACCAGAAATATTCTACACTTGCTGCCTACCGTTCACAGTCACATGTAGTGAGACTGTGCTCGTAACGTCCTAGGAACTGCGGCCCTCGCGACGGACGGCTGGGGTCTAGTCAAGCTTGGCGTATCGACTGCTTGGTCTCCCTTAGCCCTCATGCCAAAATGGAAATGAGGTAAATTCACGCAAGAATGATGACGACTCAACTGTCACATGCTGCGTGCCTGAGACTGTTTTGACAAGCACCTAGTTGGTTGCTTGTGGACTTGGTTCACTTGAGGTGCCACAGGGCCATGCACTCATGTCTAAGCCCTAGAAGTTAGCTTTTTTGTCTCTCCGTTGTGCACTTTTCTCTGGCGTGGTGCAATGCTCTGCTATGCTCCTTCGACTAATCCTCGGCTGGAGTAATTTATAGCCTCCGCTTAACTGTGGAATCCACTCCATTTTTCAAGAGTAGAACCAAAAACCTAATATGGTTTAACACAGTATAGCAATGTAACGGAGTTAAAACGTGCTGCTAATGCATTCACCTCCGGCTAAACGTTCTTTTCGGTTTTCTAGAGCTTTTTATTCTTACAGACAACCATCGTACTCTCTGAAAAGCGCGCCCTTACTCGCTGCACTCTGATTGGCTGCCAGTATACCAGCAGTCACCTTAAACCCAAGGTCAATCCATTACTAATAACTATGCATGGCCAAGCCGACCCAGTGACCCAGGCTCAGACGCATTCGCTGACTCACCCTGCAGCAGTCGTCACCAGTCGGCATTTAAGCTTGTACACCCACGTCACATCGCCGTGTTGACTTACCCGCGTTAGTTCATTAAGACGTCTGCCCTAACGTCTTTGCGCATTAGTCGCCTGAATGCTTGCCTTTACACGGGATGCAAGCCACACGGCGAACATAGAGAAACTCCAGATCATAACAGGTGGCGACCAGTTTATGACAGAATGAATCCACCGACGGTAGGTGCACCGACGGGAATTCTTCAACTTTCAATTAATTGACAGCCTCTGATACAGGTTGTGTTAATTGCAGCCGATTGTCAACTCGGAGGGGAGGGGCTTAATTTCGCCCTAAATTCTTGCGACTCTTATAAGTCCCTGACTGACAAGCGGGAAGAGTGGAAATTCAGTCAGTCGGTGCTCTCTGAAATTACCTGCCTCATTACCCTGAATTACCAGTTCTTGGCATAGTGAATCGCAGGATGTGCTGAACACAGTGTCGAACGGAACTAATTGATAAATTGCCTATGCAAAACTAGGGAAATCATTTGTGACTAACTCCACGTCTTCTGGCCAGCGGTATCAACACTCGTTGGAAATGTCACACCCACTCGCGTCGCGTGATGTGGTGAATGGCGGAGTCACGTGATTGGAGTCGGCTGAACCCATGGGAGTGGGGATGTCACCGTTGCCCTTCTCCGTCATTTGACGCACGCATCCACTCAAGCATATGCCACATGTCAGCTTTTTTTGGCACTAGTCTACTCCTACATCCGTGTGCGCCTTGTGAGGTGGCTGAAAGGCTTGGGATTGGGCGAATAGGCGCATACGTTAGGGCTAAAGAGTCCAACATCCTAGATGTCCGAAATGAATCAAAACGGCTCATAAGATAAATTCCACCCCACTAAGCAGTGGCAAACTTATTCAAAACCCTGCTATAAATGACGGATAAGTCTTTTTTCTTAATTGGATTACATAATTGAGATACAAGAGCACCAATAGTGGGGTCGAATACGCGATTTGTTTTCCGGGGACTTGAAGGTGATCTTATCAAACTTGGTATCAACTAGATGACTGACCTCTTTGAAAAAGTGAACATTCTAGCCGGTATTTTTCTACAACCTTCTTCTTGAATGCAAAAAGGTGATTAATGCTAGCGCATTTTCCCATGACCGATAACAAACCCCTAATTCTTGTCTTAAACTAGAAAATGAACTCAGGAGGAATTTTAGTTGTTTGCACTAACTAAGTGTGGAGCTCTGATCCAGTTAGGCAGACATACGCTAATGACGAAGGTTAGAACACCCACACCGAAAAGACGAAATATGAAAGCATAGTTAGCCACTCATGGGAAATATTTAAGGGAGACTTCGAAAAGTTGAAAAAAATAAAGACTCTTTTTCCTAGGGTAAATACTCCATTTTCAATCATTACCACCATGGATGCAAAAAGATGTGCATGATCCACATAATAGTCACCTGATTGAGTAAATTTAGAAGGAAATGTTTTAAACAATGATTCGTTTTCAAGCCTCTTTACGCCTAAATTCTCTACCAGCATGTGGATATTGAACTACGGAAATGTATTTTAATATTCAGCACAATTCTGCTGTGAAATAGCCGTGATGGAGGTGCAAGAGAAATAAAAAACGGACATCTTGTGGATTGGATCAGCATCGAGCTTCGAACATACATACCTTCACCAGAGTGCCAAGGTCAAGCGGCTCTGATTGGTCCCGCTTATCACACGCGCACACACGCACACACAATGTGCATACACACACACACACCCGAGGCAGCTCAGGTAGGTAGGTGCTCTCTAAAAAACCTCTGAGAAAGCGAATTTTCAAGCCAGGCGGCGTATTTGCACCATCTGCACTGGTTTAGCTGATCCGTCGGAGACGAAACTAATTGTGAGTTTCGCTTCATTTTTCCCATTTCAAGCTTTTTCCTCGCCACCACTCATCCGGACTGATGTCATTCAGAGCCGAGGACTGTGACTTCCACTTAATTTAAGGGTAAATCCACTTCACGTAGGGGACAAATAGTTTGCGATAATGAAGGACCTAAACTAGGAATTTTTTCGTGCCGCTGATTTTCCCCACTTTTCGTGGGCTTGTGCTAATTTGAAGGTAGGATTCCACATTCTTCAATTCAAGTGGACAAGTAGGAAATGAGTTAGTTAGCTCGGAGAAAACTAGATGCAAATTTGAAATCATGCGTTTTATTTTATCGCAGCACGCAAATGAAACTCGATCTTTGTGTTTATAAATTTGCCCAACGATGGAAAAAACTCCTCATCCGATTTGGTGCAGTCAGTTATGGGTAATTTGGGGGCGCAAATTTATTTATTTGTGAGACAAATTTATATTGCAACCCGGTAACATCTAATCTTTGCCTGGAGTCTGTATTTCTCCTCAAAGATCTTCTTGGAATTACAAGAACCTCGTTTGTGTGGTAGATGTTGGAGGATTGGATAGGAAATTCCCTAACATTGATAATAATGTCGTTCCTAAACCGTCTAAATATTATTGACACAACTTTTTTCCTTGCTTAAAGCATTTACATTCCTAGAAAGACCTCAGCATTGCGTTTAAAGGGCGCATTTGGGGTAGCGATGAGGGGGAGGGGGGCGGACGAAGTCGGATTCGGCCGCACCATACTAGTTTATGCTGAGGGGTTGTGGTGGCTTTGGGCTGAATTACCACTCGTGCGCTTTGTTTCCTAAGAAATGCTGACTGAACGAAGTAGTCAGTGCGTACACTGGCGGCTCTACGAAGGGCCGTTAAACATCCACCCACACCTGAATCATGCAAATCGGAATACCCGGGAATGGTGAATTTCTTTTTCCCACGCGGACCAGTGAGCGAATTTGAGAATTTTTAGTGAATTCTCCACAAATAGTTCGGAATTCCCTTTTAAATAAATGAGGGCTTAAGTGTGTATCAGCGCAGAGCAGAAGAGGGTAGTGGATGCAACAGACGTGTCTCTTAGCTCATCTTGCAGCATGATATTCGGTAACCCATCCAGGCGGCACAGACACAGACCCTTCCATGTGAGTTCGTTGTCACTTTTCCCTCTACCGCTAAATTTGATTTATTTAACTTGAAAAGTTATTTGGTTTCACGAGGTCAAGTGAGGCTTTAGCTAGCAGTCAGATGTTAGCAATGAAAACAACACCACCCTTAGGAAGTAACCTGGCCTCCCCTGGCTCCAAGGTTTTACACAGCTTTGGTCATTTTTAACGTTAACCTCTTTACTTTGTAATTCATGATTGCTATTTCCCCCAGCTTAATCTAGAGGATGCGTTTATGTGCCTTAAATAGACCGCCTCTTCAGCATGATTAAAATAATATCCTTCTCATGCCCTCATGGCCCCTAAATTAAATTTCCATGCTCTTTGTAACGAGGGCTTTTGAAGTAAGGCAATGTTTAAAACTCATGTACAAGGAGGTCTGCAAACACAAGCAAAACTGTCTCCATCTGGAAAGAGGGTGGCTCAACTGGAGCCTTTGATGAAGCAACGTAGGGCTCTGTTTTCTAGGCTTACCTAATCGAGAGTTGTTTGCCGTTTGCGAGCCTCCTCCCTAGGGGTCTCGAAAACGCATTCTGGTTGTCTGAATGCCCTTCAATAGACCATCAACTTTGAGTGGCACGCAACCCAAAGTCACAACGACTTTGTCTAGACGGTGCCAATAGAGAGAGGGTAGTGCGGATTTTCAGGAGGCCTTCGACAATAAAAGAGATCAGTTTAAAATTTATGTCCCCTCAGATGCAATTTCTATTTCAATGAGGCCAATGCTGGCAACACATTAAACGTGTCCTCATTTCACTAGCCCTCTCAGTGGAAGAGAGTCAGTTTTCTCATCAAGACGGGCATTTCTCAGGTTGTCCTCACAGTTGCCAGTTTATGAGTGGATAAGAATCAATGCAAATTATGCCATTTCAGTGGGTAAACAACTAAACTCCTAGGTTCCACCAACGCCATTCGCAGTGTTTAATGTTTTAATGGAACAATTTATTTTCACCTCTTTCCCCTTCGCCTACTCCCCATCCCTCAAGGAAGGTACGTGGAAATATTTTGGGCATTTCTGCTTGTCACGTTGGCATGCGATGAGCTATCAAGAATCCTTTATCATTAATTGAATTAATAGGCAGTGACTTTCAGAGTGACATTTTTATGCCTTGTAGAGGCATCCCAATTAACAAAGAGGCTCTTCCACTTAGAAAGTAACGTAGCGAGGCATGTCTTTGCAAATCACCATGGCGAAAATAGTTTCTAAATCGCGCAAAAGCAAATCCTACTAACTCCCTTTACCAACTGAAAGACAGGATTTTTGTGCATCAGCTACGTCACATCTTAAGGCATTGAAACAGCCCGATTCCAATTTAATTCCACCCTTATAAACGCCTCAGCAGGTTTCCCCAAGACGACTTCTATCGGTCATTGAGGGACTGATTAAAGTGCAGTTTTCTATGAGCACGCTTGACCTCCTCTTGCATCTCATAAACTAACAACTTGCAAAGTGCCAACAGCTGGTGCGTTATATGTTGAATGAATTTACTTTCTACTAAAGTTAGCCACATCAACAAAAATGGCGGTACCACTATATCATCGACAGTCTATCCAGCGGATTCCGGGCTACTTGCCAATGAAGCCACCAGAGAAGCCCTCCTCGCCCAGTGGTTCGTGGCGGACACTCAGTATGGAGAGCAAGAGTACCTCTACCTCCTCGGGCTATGGAACCCCTTGCGCAGTGCATGGGGAGGGCTATTGCCGACACTTGGTCCCAGTCTATACCGCGATGCCCTGCAGCTCAAACTTAAGCTATGACACTATGCTCGATACTGTGGCCGTCTACAAGAAGAGGTCTTATAATGCTCTCAAGCAGCGCTCGGGTTAGTTCTCGCATTGGCGTTGCCATGATTCTTGGAGAAGGTAAAATTTGGGTTTCTGACCCGCATTCGAAAAGCAGTCTAAGGATCCGCTGACGATGCTGTAAAAAGCAGGATTTCAGTGTCTCCTCAATCTTCTTTGCACCAGAAGGCTCTCACGTTAATTTAACTATAGAATTAAATTGTGCAGACATAGCAATGGCATTTTATTATGACAAAAGTGCAGTGGCAGACGTTGTGTAAAGCTGACGAACCTAAGAATGACACGCACTCCCTCCTGACGACTGTATGGTAACGTAAAAGTTCTATCGCTTTGTGCCAACCCTTCACGTGTTTTGACTCGAAGACAAACAAATTTCAACACTGTTAGCTTAGGTCTGCCTGAGGGTGCACACATCCGCAGCACAATGCTACCGACTGCTTGTTTTGGCGAAGCTGCTCTCCATTTCTGTATTTGCCTGAGATCGACCTCCTCAAAGTGTAAACAAAGCATGTAACAAGCGGGCAAACCCCACCGCCTATAAGTCAGAGCGACATTTTGTTGACTTACTTTGTATTCAGAGTGAACTGAAAACCACTTGCCAATAGCTGTCAAAGTAGTAACGATTTCACCTCTGTCATACACACGGAGTCACTGCTTATCAAGTGCCCCGACATTCACTGCATCAATGTGGCAGCTGCGGATCTCATTTAATGGAGCAAAGCTGCCAACATAAACCAGAATGGAAAATCTTCTAAGGTTTAGCAAACAACCGCGTTTGACTGTCGAATACTTTTGAGAGGTGTTTAGTAGGCTTTAAGTGGGTTCTGTCAAATGAAAGCCAAGAAGACCTTAGTCTCATACTGAAAAAAGTCGATTTTAAACCCCTTTATACATACAAAGCAGTACTTTGTTTTGGCTGAACAGTAGCACTGACTGAAATTGATACTGAGCAGAAAATTGCCTTTTCTTTCAGGCGGAATGTATTATTATCGACTGCGTGACAATTTGTCGCCTCCACGTCGTTTGGAGAATCAACGGAAGCTGAGTGAAGATCAGGTGATTCCCGAGCACCGGCACCAACAGAGGTGGCAGTACCACCCGGACCGCCGTCTCAGTCAGCAGTGCTACAGTCACGTTAGAAGGAGTACCTGCAGTTGCCATCGTGACTATTGCAGTCATCGTCACAACTACTATGACCTGCGCAAATCGCCCTACTTATCCTCCAGTAGCAGTGCCACCAGCACCTCTTGGAGGGAAGATGATGGAGGCTATTCGCCATTACGTGCCTTCCAACCACCTTCCCCCAGCCACTTAATTCCCTGTAAGTCCGCCCTGACCCAAGCCCCTCGCCTCCCGCCCTAGTTGGTTGACTATCCAAGCACGCAAACTGCCAATTAAGTAGAAGAACAAAAATCTCAACTAGAGCTTGTTAGAAACAGGTAGCTCACTTTTCACGCAGAAATGCAACTGCCTCTTCCCCCATTGACAGATTACTTCAGATTGTCTTTTTTTTTTTGCAATGGTCCCGTGAGATAGCAATTAATGTCAATTTTTGCGTCGTTTATCAACAGGATTAATTAACCATATCATGCGCCTTTCCGATTAGGCACATCAAAATACGCAAAAAAATTGTGATGGGTGTTGATTGTGTGTGTATGTGTGTGTGTGTGTGTGTGTGTGTGTGTGTGTGTGTGTGTGTGTGTGTGTGTGTGTGTGTGTGTGTGTGTGTGTATGGATGTAACGAAGAGCGGCATTATGTGGTCCCTAACATTTTCCCCTTTTAGCGAAATGGAAGTCTGAATCAGACCTCCGGGGTAAGTGCCGTTTGTACACCACTTTAAAGTATTCTCATTTCTGAAATAGAAAAAAATAACGAAAAGTTTCCGTTTAATGAAATCATTTAAACAAATTTGGCTTTTTCATGGAGAGTAATGAAGGGATTGTTGACTTGATGATAGGACCTCGTCAAGGTCACGGACATGCTTTGCATAAATTTGCAATCAGTTAATTCTTACCTTAAATGAAAAGAAAGGGGTGGTGGTGGTGGTTAAATGGTTCTACTCACTATTCGTATCGTCTCCCTTTCAGCCTACAACAGGTTCAATGTGAACGGTAAGTTACTACTACACAAAACTTGACACCCCCTCGAAGCTTCCGTTCCTTTTAGACTTATGCGATTCTCTCAGCCACTGCATCAATATGATGCAGCATTCTAGTAAATTTGCACTCCCAACAACCGATCATAGCCTTTTTGAATGACTGCGGCGCCTCTGACTGCGGTCTGGGGCCAAGCACACCACCGCGTATTCGACCTATCCCTAAAATTAAGGTCTAGAAGTAAATGTGAAGGTTTTTTACATGACCCACGGGAAGCTTAAGCTCTTTCTTCTATATTTGCTCACTAGTAAGAACTCTAGACGAAGAGGCCAATGAGAGTAAGTTCTTTCCCTGTTCACATGATGACTTATGCTTTTAGCCCACCCAGTTGGTATTAACCGTTTCCCCTCCTCATTTCAGTTTATAACGAACTTTTGGACACAGCCGATATGCTGGGTAAGCCCAATGCTAAATTTTAAATCCAAAAAGCATTTCGGCATTAAATTTGTCTTATGGGAGCCTACAGCATAGTTCAGTGCGTCGGGGGGGAAGACAATCGCAGCCGCCTGGCAATAATATTTTGGCATATATTATCGCACACCTCCAGTAAAAGTTCAATTAATATCCATGCAGGAGGAGGGATATTTTAAGAGAAAATTTCTTTGAACAAAAGAACATTTTTTTTTTCACATTTACTGGCTATCACAATGCGAAGTGGAATTGCAAATAACCTATACTTTGCCCTGTGGCCGATTGAAGGAGTAGGTACAGCGTAGGGGGAATAGTAGCGGTAATGAGAACTGGCGTAAGAACCTTATGACATAGTCTGAGATCCCTAAGCGAAAGAAAGGCGTATTCATTACCTAAACAGCTTCACTGGACCAAAAGACGAAGACGACAGAAACTCGACTCATAGGTGTCGGAATGTACCCGCCGCCGGTTCCACAAAGGCACAAATCGGTAAGGCAAATTTTCAAATTGTCTTCTTTTGTTCCTAAACAGGAGCTTTGAATGTAAATTATAGTGCCTATCACTTTATCTTGCTATCCGATTTCCCCTTAAGTTGTTCGTATTACCTCTGTTGCTAAACTATTTAATGGCAAACATGGTTTGGGGCAGTCCTCGAGTTGACGTTACCCATTGGGAAGGCATTGAATCGGTGGCAACACTACTGGCTCTCGTAACAGAACCGACCTCAGAGGTTTCATCTTAGGTCAGGACTCACACGGACCACTAAAATACGGCATTTTACCATGCAGCACAGATTTGACTTGCTTCTACTGACCCGTGCCAACAGCCGTTGCTGTCATCTTGTGGACGGAGTTCGTCACACCTAATCGCTTTCGCGAGTCTAACTTTGAAACGAAAATAATGAAAATAAATGGAAAAGAACCCTATGATCAGAATCCCCTGCTCTTAAAGGAGTTAAGCTTTGTCATAGGGAAGAACTCTTTTTATATATCATGAACTTCCTTATTGACTTCATCATCCTTGTGATTGGCACACCACTGCCCCTAAAAAGACTACCACCTCAATTTTCTTATTGCGGTAGTGCTGCACGTCACGAGCGATGACGAGGGAGCGATTAATGCAACTGTTTACTTTTGATGAATGCGATCGTGCTTATCGTACTTGCCACCCTCGCCGAATTTTCACTTTTGCGGTTTCAGTGCCACAATTTGCGAAATTCGGTCCTGGCGACGAAGCCAAAGGAAGCGATCACTTCTAGACCCATCCCTAAGCTGTTAGACAGGTAAGCACCATATTGTATCGCGCGTGGAGTTTTAATTGATAGCAATGAAATGCTGAGGTCGGGGATTTCTTTCACTCCCACCGTAAATGCTTGCGGCAAATCACCAACCGTGCCAAGTAGACACGGCCACACCCCTATTCAGTTGACACTACTGAGGGCGGCCAACTGGCTCTGTGCGTCGTCTTTTGGCTTAAGTCAGGCGATGTGTCCTACACCATTAAACTCGTCCATTCATATGAAACTTCATCTCGGCTCCCCACTCACTACTAGACCTCCTCTGTTCAAATTACTACTAATTTTAAAGCGATTTAGCCGAAACATATGAAGGGGATTTTATCTCAACGATCAGGGAAAAATGCTCAAAATCGCAAAAAACCATGCTTTTTGTCTTGCGTTTTCCTATGTAACTTTTGGGATTATTTGATAACATTCCTCCTCAAACTAACATCTCAGTTACTCGTCTTCTTTCCTCTGTTTTAAATTTAGCACCATAGGTTCCATCCAACTTTCTAGAAGGTAGATTCTTGCCAGCAAGTCACATAGAGAAATAGAACTAATAAGAATTTTTGATGGAAATACAGGATTTCCATTACCAAGGCAACTGAGAACTTTCTGTAATCATTGTTATTAAATCCTTGAATTATGCGAGGTGGAAAAAAAACTTTGCAGCGCTCTTGATCCCTCCTGAGTTTGCATGACTCACAGCTGGGAGCTGGTCTCCAGAGTGAATGTGTGATCACACGCGTAACTAACCAGCTGCCACTAGAATAGACCTTGCGGAAGTTGTCATATGATGTCTGAATCACTAATTTTTTGGCAAATCAAGTCTGCCGATAAGACTGACACAAATGAATTGGATGAGACGCTATGATTAAAGGAACTTATTTTCCGGTAGGCGAAGACAACGAAGAACTAGTCAGCTGCGTACCCCGACCAACATGACGCCTCAGCGTGCCTCCGGGGACGTCGGGCTCAGTTGCCCCTTGGAGGGCTCAACGAATGTCCTAATGCCAGATCGTGACGAGGAGAGCGCATTGGAAGCTCTGGAGGCCGTGGTGAACCTAGATTACCTTAAACTCAAGCCTGGTCTATTCGCAAACGGTGGCCGCAGCAGCGGTCCCACACCGATAATCCGTGCCTATAGTGGCGAGACGGAGGATGATTGGTTGAAACAGCAGGCTCGCCATTTGAACGGAAACGTCAGTCCCATCAATTTCAGTGTGGTCGAAATCGATGACGACGACGATAATACCGAGAAGTTAGGACCGGAAACACTGCCACTAGATGTGGTGGATGCGGAACTGATCGATCCCATCCATACGCTAAGTGTCGCAACCTCGGGCCAGGGAAGTGGGAGCTACTCTGAGTTCACAAATTCAGAAGACATGAGCTGTCTTTCCGAGCTTGATGTCTAACGACAACGACCACCACGTAATTCTTCCTATGCTGATGCACCGACGAGTGTGCATTTGTATACAGAGGGTCCTGCTTTGTCCCAGTTTCATACTAACATTATAATCGCCTTGTTCTTTGTTTTCGGCCCCTCTTAGCGACCTTGTCTCTGTGTATGAGGCATCATTTTCTTTCACAGTCTTCCATTTTACCGGTGATTGACGCAACTAATCGGAGAATCAGGACCGTCGACTAGCCCTTAAACACAACCCAAAAGCCAAAACTCATTTTAAGAAGGTCTGCACTGTGTCCAGATCTCTGTTGCATTATTTATATTTTGAAACAGCCGGTCATCTTGGTGTCGAATGATGGAATGCCTTGTCGCAAGCGCATGATGTATGAAAGGTACTTGAGTCATGTCGAGACATCAGGTTTGGTGTGTGCTAATGAGCGTCGGTGTGTCACACACTGCCGCCTTAATGAGCTGAAAATGAGTAGGGCAGAACTGCTGTACAGAGAGCTCGTGTACAATTACGTGAAATCCTGCACAGAGAAGCACGTAATCGGATATCTCTAGCTAAAATGGCGCCTTGGAGAAGCCCGTAATTTAAGGCATTTTTTAGGCAACAATGGGACAAAAGAGGCAAATAATGCTGCCTAAAGTGATAGTTTGCTCATGCAGAATATCTACAGCGGTTTAGGGGTACTGGGAAAACTAGTACTATCTGCTAAGGGCATTCCCTCCCCAATGCATGCCTCCATAAGGTGATCTCCACATTAGTTTTTGGGCTTCACTATGAGAATTATTGGCGCAACAGTGACTGATTTTTTGACACTCTAAAATTTAACGCCCTTCGGGTAAACAAAGGTAGTGAATCTGTTTTGCAAATACTTTAACCTCAGGGCAAATCATTTCATGAACACCTTATTTGCTCATTTTATACACGACCATGACTCAAATGCATGATTATATTTGCGAAAAGTTTTAAAATACATTGACGACATTTGAGAAGACGTAAATTTTGCCAAGGGTAGACAGAATTAAACTACTTGCTAAATTAACGTCAAGGCATTGTTTACGCTGACATACTGCAGACTGGGAAGATAATGGATCCCGACTGAAATATTTGTTTCATTTATGGTGGGAATTGGTGCTTGGAATTCTGGTTACTCGTTGTCTCCTCATGAGGCGGATCATCGAAGGTCGGTAGGTGTGGAAGTCGTATTACGGTTGGTGGTGGATAGACCTAACGGAGAATGCTAGTGTTGTATGCTATTGAAGTTTTAATAGTAGACATACACTAATCACCCCGCAAGAAAGCATACAACGACTAAAAAATGAAATGAATTTTTAAGGCACCGAATGCCAAAATAAACAAAGCATTCTTACCTTAACTACCGAAGTCTGCGCCAACTGAAGTAGCAGTTCTTCGGCTCCATGCTGCAAGTGCAATAAAGACAGTTGGATTTAAGGGAAATACAACTGAAGCCTGTGCTACTTTTATGTTAAACAAACGCACCATACTGGATTTGGCAGTCTTTCTGCGACATTTCCTGAATTCCTTCATTGTCAACGCCAAGGTAATGTGTGCACAACGTGTTTATCGATTGCCACGTGAACTGGTGGCATTTGATTAATGACCGAAGGCGCATCCAACTTAGGGGCGCGCTATTTCTTTTGGCTAGAAAAAGGCATATTGCAATGTGCTCAGTTTTGTGTACTAAAGATTCTTTTTAGCTGGATGAGCTCATCCCACATTTATTAAAGGAAGTATAGAACTAGGAATTGCATACTTTACGACTAAGAATCCTGATCCCAGTACTTTTCATTTTTCTTTGTAATAAATGAACTAAACTCGCCTGAACGCACGCTATCAGTCATACTTTTGCCGTTGATTTAGTAACTTGCTATCAAAGGTAGGCTTTGCAGATACTTTTATATTGTCTGATTTATTGTCGATATTTGTCCAGTATGGAAAAATTAGAGAATGCGGTGAATAGCCGCCTCAAAAATCCTTGTACAATGGAAGCAAAATAGACACAAGGAGATTCATCGTGTGGTTTGGGTGCTAAGCTCCCCTCTTTTCATAAAAACCATTGTACGGTTCCCACCGCATTGACGATTTCGCACATCCAGAAGATGGTACCGTAGAAACACCAGAATGGTCTCATATCCTAAGTTGGTGTTCTACTACTTCATAATGGAGTAAGCATTACTAAACAAAAAGCCGACTTATAGTGCAAACGAAGTTCCATATTTTAGGTGGTGAAAACAGATCCTCTTATTGCAAAATCCCATCTTTTAATGTCCAAGAACAACAAATGTTCTCGTCACGACAATGCCTTTCTACTTCGTCAAATTACCTCACTATGTAGGCTAATGCGATTAAAATATGATAACTCCTTGAGCAGAACTCAAAGATGAATGTCAAAGCTACCTTTTCTTCGTGAGTTATTACGCTATTCTCCCCACTTGAGGGAAAGTCTCGTGAAACTTCTCAATACATAATAGAATGCATAGTCACCGCATACCTGTATTCTTTACCATCATTTAATGGATATTTCAACATTAAAATGTCCCGATATTCACCATTTATGCGCAGCGCATGAGAACTCACAAGAACTTGGGGCTTAATACGTTTAGTCGTCAGCAATTAAAGTGTTTACTTTAAGCAATTTTGCACGGTTTTTGCTTCATAGCACAAATGCACTTTACATTTACTATATTTCCCCCAAAGGTGTGTTCCACCTCAACGGTCAACAAACATTTTTACGCGCTCATAAAGCTGGCCAGAACGCAACAGACTTAGTTTAATTCACGAAACTGCTTTCTTTGCAGATTAGTACAATTTTACTCTGATCTCAATAATAGGATAGTAAAAATATCAAAAATACAAGCTTTAAGGGTCATGGCTACAAAGAGAAGTGATGCGTTCAAACTAATGTAATGCAGCATATCTGAAACACAAGTTATACCAAGTTGTCACTGGAAATCACCAGTGTAAAACAATCTAGCATGCGTCATGTTATTAAGAGCAATCAAATTAAGTGTCAGTGGAAAAGTGCATTCTTGTGGTGCAACCAAAAATTATTTTTTCAAGCGGTCGATGATGCTTAAATCGCCCCCACTTGAACTGATTGGTCTACCCTCTACACCAGTCAGCATCACACACCATTCAAGAATGGCGCGTGCGTGCGCACGCAACCCGGCGCGCAGCACGAAAACAGGTGATGGTGGAAAACACACACACACCAAGGGAGGCAGAATACGAACCCTCCGTCGTGCATATTATAACGGCAGCAAGGAGGCGAGCAAAGGGGCACCATTTTTGGCACAGTGTTGGCGGTGGACGCTTGAAAGAGCACTGGTACTGCTACTCCAACGTCTGTACGCGCGTGCGAGCAACCCAGCCGGCGAACGTGCTGCCAACCCAGCCACCTAGCGTGTGTACGTGCATGCACGTACGTGTGCCTTCTACAGGAGGAAAAGCGTATTCCTGCATCTAAATTCCCCCATCCCACCCGCCCTTCCTGCCGCCGTCCCTGTTTTTCGTTACACTAATCAGACGTGTGCGCGGTGGAAACAATGGATTACGGCACAGTTACCTTGTAAGTTGGCGAGTGCGCCACTCCTTTCTCTCTCCCTTGCTTCACATGCTTGTGAATATGCTACCAGTCCCTCGGGAAATGCCCCCTCCTTCTCAAGTAACTTCTCCACTTTCTTTGGCCTCATCATTCTCTAACTCTCCAATTAATCCCTCTTTTTTGTTACAGCATGGGGTAGCCATTTTCTAAATAGCCATTCAGGCACTATAATTTTACTATAGACAGCGTACTGTTCTATTTCTTGGCATGAATAGTCACCTTCTATTGGACACAGTAGTCATAATAAATTTGGCCAAATATGAGCCAGATTACGAACGGTGAGGAAAACTAACACCCAGAACATCAAACTGCTAAACAACCCACAAATCAAAGCAGTTTCCACCATGTCGCAACTCATTCTCCACCTATGGGATTGTCAGACTGTTTATGAGGTGTAACTGCCAGTGGTGGTGCCATGTCTGTGCTGGAGACATGTGGCAGCCATGCATGTTTGGGTTGCAAAGTGAACGCACAAACGGAATCATCTTGACGACGGGCAACCAGGCCCTCACAACCGCCATAAGTCCCGCCTTGACACAGATGTCGGTAGTGGTGAATGCGTCGCCCAAACAACATGTATCTTACAGATAAAAGGATTTATGAATGTGTTTTACAATCTCTGTGTTCTCCACATAAATTTCCACCTACCGCAGTGAATAAAGGGTCGCCTAGGTGGGTGAATCACGGATAGCATCCGCTTCTCGCATGAAGGAAAAGTCGCTTTTAACATTGCTCGAAATTGTCCCTGCGTCACCAGCGCAGCACCCTTGAAATCGACCTCTTCCTAGCTTGCAAATTCAGTCAAAGGCACTGCATAGTGCCCGAACAGAAGACTTCTCGGTAAAATCGTGTCGAAGCCACTATTTGTGTCGTCAGTCGCACTGACTAATCGGTTTTATCCGACTGCATTAACACTTCAATTGTTGGGCCTGATGAATCATGGCGCAACCAACCTACAAAAACCGCGAATGAAAGTTTTTCATAATGTAATTCCGTCCCGTCTTTAGTGTTTCTCCTTTACTTGAAGCCTACAACTGAAGGTCATTTGCAATCTTCATCCAGAATTGTGCAGCTCAATTGTCAGAATGGATGATTTCCACTCCCTTCTTTATATAGCTCTGCTTCATTCACCCCACCATATACACATATCTCTATGTGTATGCACATGAGTGCTGAATCTCGGGTGAATAATTCCACCTTTTTCATAACCACCTTGCATACTGATGAGAGCCGATGTGTATCAACACATGTGATTACCATACAACCGTGGCACCTCTCGTGGGTTGAAGTCAACGCACCTCAAATTCTCACTGTCTGCATAAATGCACTGCTCAGGAAACTACCGGCTTGCTTTATCGACGCCTCTTCGCTTTGGTTATTACAACCCATAAGTAAAAAGTCATTTGATACGCCTCGTCTATGGCGGTAGACCACATCGGCTATCCAAAACCGGTGAAATATTTGTATCATGTTGATGCAAGTCACCGTAATGTGTCACACATAAATCTACTTCCAAAGATTCCCCAGACTTTTCACGCGGTTCTACACTTCAGGACTGGTTTGTACTCTACTTCAAGCAGCACCTCCGCTTCACTTCCTGAGAGAGAAATTGCAAATGACACCACTAAGTGATTCCACCTTCCCATTTGTTGAAATGCGTGATCTTGGAAGTTAACATAGAGGGTCAAACACCATTTATCCTCCTCGCACAGTAGCCTGTCACCATGATGTAGCATAATTTCTTTTCCGTACACAAAACCCTTAGCAATCAGAATAATGGGCACTTCGAATGGGGCATGATGTTGCCTCTGCACAAGTTTCTTCTAGCGATTGGTACATTGTTTTTTTTAGCCCTTAACAAACAGATGCTGTCGGCGCCTACACGGATGGTAGTTATCGACGCTAAACGCCGTGTATTTTAACGTTTCAGCTGTCATTCTGACTCCCACATGGCGCGGCGCGAAAGTACTCGCCGAGGCTTTAGAGATTGCCAAAGATCGGAATCCCCCACAAACACTATCTCTTCCTACACTCCAATCTCCCCACAACCAAGAGCTGCCCGCCGGAATCGAGCTCCGATTAGGTTCAACAGCCCTTCATACACCAATTCCCCTGTTCTACCGTTCTTTTCGGCCCAGACAAACACCTCCTTCGGTGATATTTTCACTGCCGTCTTGGGTTCTAAGCTAGCCAAACAGTCCACTTCCAAAAACTTACATTCACAGATGGAACCACTGCTTTTATCGGAGCCAATGAAGTCCAATAACGTAGTGAAGAAGGCGCCGATTACACAGACCTTTCTGGAGCCTCTAGCATTCGAGTGTCGAGTGAGGGAGGATCGTGAGAGACAACTGGATATACGATGTCTTCGAATAATAAGGAAGCTGAACTGCTATCCGGAGTATCAGGAGATTGTCCGACGGTTCGCCAATGTTGAGAGCGAGATGGATGCCGAGGCTTTGATGACGAGTTGTGTGAATAAGGCTAGACTTCGTTCTTCCTGTGGTGTGCGGGCCTATCTAAGGAAATTTTTGCGTTTAAAGGAACCGACACACCCATTGACTGTCAGTCAGGCGACTCTCCTCTTGTCAAGTGACTCCACACCTGAACATAGCTGCGTTCGGGAAGTCAATGGATCTCCCAATAGATATGAGTAAGTAGTGTGCAGAAAAAAAATTAAAAATTGTCACTTAATTTCAATGTGTGCTAAAATAAGGCAGTGTGAAATGGAAAGCAAGAGAGTGTGAGAGAAAGAGAAAGAAAAAATATCAACAGTGAGAATGTATGATCGGTGAATTTGAAAAAACGAACTAATTTTCTTACTATAAAGGAACATGGCACTTTACTGGTCTAGTTGGCTGAAAACCTTAAAATCCAACTTTTAGAACATTGAATAGTGTGTTGTCACCGAAACGCCTACATGTTTAGCCACTATTGCGGTTTTAATCGCCTCATTTACAAATTAGACGTAATTTATACAGTGCACGAAGATTGTCAAGGAACAGCATGATTTTGGAACAATCGAGTGAGATGGAGGAGACTTGGGCGATGGAGCGATCGGTGAACATGACGAACGGATCATCGGGATCTGGGACGGTGGTGGTGGCAGCGGCGCCTAGAAATTTGCCTCCGGAGACTCTCTTACGTCGCCTGGCTCGTAGCATCTCCATCCGCCTTGCCTACAAACGCTGCCTCCTCGAGCAGGCCAATCAGCGTCTCACTGAACTTGACAAGGTGACCAACGTGGTGAGACTAAGTGAAACATTCACGGGATAACATGCAGTAGCTATATTTCTCACCTTTTCCTGGTAAGGGGTAACTTGGGGTCAATGAATTGGGATGTGCGAGCCTGTGAGCAAGATTATTCCATGCGCTAGGTTTTTTTTTCAGAATTAGACCATGATTAAGGAATGTAAAGATATCCAAGAGAAAAAATTGATATCAAATTATGCTAACGAACATTCCTCGGGAAGCAATACGTTTCTTGCTTTGAAGATTCGTAGCATCCTTCGGAAGGCTACCGATGAGGCGCTTCCTCAGATGCGTAACGGGACGGAAGTCTGCTACTTCAACATTCCGCCCATCGCACCACCAGTGGCGGAGGTGGTGGAGATGAAGTTGTGTCAAGTGACCTCTGACCACCCTCTGCTGCGCTCCTTCCCTCTGCCCTCAACTTTGTCGATCCCAGCCCTGGTCTCAAATTCAGCGGAAACGGCGTTGCCCGAAGTGACAGCGAATTTGTTGCCGCGATTCGACCGCCTCCTCTCTAGCCAGACCGCTGTGCTCGAACTGCTTTGCCAACTCACCCGCCGCCTCTACTGCCTCGACCGACGCATTGCTGAGCGCATCGCGACCGGAGCCGACACCACCACTCGTCTCGGTGACGAACAGCAACCCTGTGAACTTGACGCTATTCTCGTGAGTTCGTACATCTTTGTCATTCACCTTATGGCAAATGGTCTTATGGAAATCATTTTATGGCATTTCGGTTAGAGAAACTGTACAGTCGTTTACCTCGGTGACAAGTCAGTTTTCCCACGTGGACCATTTTTAAAGCAAAATGTTCCAAATTGACATTTCTTTAAAGCTGTCTGTAATTGCGCTGTTGGTGCGCTCACTGGCACCATTTTTATCAACAGTTTTGTCGCCTGGATCATAATTTCGTGAAAAATTTGCAGGCTGGCAGTTGAAAATGGTGACATGGTGGCCACTCACAATCCTTTCAACATGAACATTTGTGTGTGTGCTTAGTGTATAATCCATTTATTTTTCCTGTGTCTTTGGCTCGTTCTTATTTATCAGTTGGCTGATGGAAGTCGGTTCATCAAATATGCATGTCTCACTTCCAAGTGGGAGTTTGCTTGGTCTCACCACAAAAGGGGAGCTGCGCAGTGATTGCTTAGGGCATCCGAATGCCCAAATTTCCCACTATCATGGTGTCACCTCCCCAAATTATGCCAAAAGAATTTGCCACAATTTTGGTTCCTGTGACCCTCAATTAACTATATAGCTTCGTGCTCTTCTCAATACGTTTTAAGGCATTTCTTGAAGCGTTTTGACTTATCCCTGAAGACACGATAGGCCCTTCTAGTGGAAGGACGGTGAGGTTAATAGGATCAGCAACGAGCTGTATCACTAATATCAGTGACCCGCAGCTGCATCGGATGTTTAAACGATTTGTGACTATTATATGTGAAAATTTTATGGTTTTTGTACAACGGGAGCCCTTCTTTAACCCTCCCGAGCACAAAGCAGAGCCGCAACCAATCAAAGCTTGCCTTTTATGAGAACAGAATACTTAATATATTTGCAAAACTAAACGGCTAATAGACTCTTTCGGTTTCATATAAAGTTGACTAACTTATTCAGGTTTTTTAAATGTTAACTTCGTTTTCGACGATTTATTGTTTCTGGACTTGTAGCCGCATCGAAATCTGCTGTCTATCAAATTTAAGTTTAGCCTCAAGGCTAAGCATCAATGCGATGAATTCGGTCACTGTTCTGGTTCATGTGGAGTCTACTAAGCTACCTAACTCTTTCGCCTCATCTACCTTCTTCAATGAAGTTAACTTTACCGACTTAGCAACGTCGTCAAACTGTACCGGTGGTTCAAGCACTACTTTTGTTGTGACAGGTCACTACTTATCGGAATCTGCTTGATTGTCCGGTCAAGCTTTTCTTGTGCCCCGTTTTCAAAATGGCATTGGAGTAATAAAGATTTCTAAATTAAGCCATCATAAGGGGAATTGCTTGTGTGATTCCATTAGTTTCATCCTTCACAAAGTGCTGTTTGAGTCACTTCGAGGACTTTTTTCGTAATTTCACGATCAGAAGTGGCTACTCCCTCTTATAACAACCAAATTTGTAAGTGGAGAAAGTGAAAGGCCAGAACTTTAGATTATCAAAAATCAGCACTTAAAGCGAAGGGTTTGAGCGATGTTGCATTTGTGGCGCCTAGCATCCTGATGCAGTTTTGTGTCCAAAGCTCCTGTTTCCTACCTAGCAGTACTACCTTAAAGTACGCCCTGGAGCACTTTAAAGGCTATCCCAGCTGGCATTGAGATTGGGCCGTAAAACTTGCAAATTTACAAATGTACTATTATTTAAGTGGCAAATTTCCAATTCACCTGTCACTCAACGAGGGCAAAAGCACCCGAATTTTCGTTTTGCAAAGAACACGGGGTGAAGGAGAAGGCTTTTTCGAAGGTCAAACCTTTGTGGAGTTGATAGACCCAAAGCCACTGGTCGACCATTAGGGTATCCCAGTTTCGAAATAGCGGAGGAAACAGCCTTCGGTTCACAACTGTCTCACACTGGCCAGTGGGAAGTAAATTACTCTAGAGGCATCAAATGAAGGCAGGAGAATATGTAAAATTCCCCACACACCCGATCAACGTGTTTGCGTTGTGGTACAATGCGAGGCCAACTTTGTGGACAGCTCCGGTTACATTTACTTCAACTCCGATCTGTGAGGCATCGCCTGGGAGTGTAGCCACACAATGAGCATGAGAGGTCTTGGTGACCCTGATCTATCATCCACAACAAACAGCATTGTTTTCGGAGGGACTTTTCAAGCATTCATAATTCCTGTGAGGGGTATTTTCTACTTGCTAAAAAGGGGATTCAAATTTGCTTTCCACCTTTGATTACCTCTCCTGTTTGTCCACTTCGTCTTGTGCAATCCCATCGAGACACTCGATTGTGGTTATGCAATTCGTTACTCTTTCCAACCTGAATGTTAACAAAATTTGTTTTATTCAAGTTGATGCATGGCTCATCTCAACTCCCAGCGCCTTCTGTGACAACGAATCCTGTTTCATCAATTAAAAAAAGTGAATATCCAAAACCACTTTCCCGTTCACTAAGTCCTCGAGTGTAGAAACATTGCGCCAGCAGCCTTACTTTTGCTTGGAAAAACAGACCCATTCTCATCACTTATCACAAACAGCTTGTAATCAGTTTTACGGCTCTTAAGGTGCATTAATTATTGGCACCGCATCTCTCCCACCACTCAGATTTGTAGAACCGTTCTGCGGCATAAAATCACAGCATTTGGTATTAACATAAAGTAGCAAATTGTTCATTTTGTGTTTTCTTTTGTGTAGTTTCCCCTACAGAGCCGCCGACAGCAGTTGGTGGAGCAGATAGCCGAGGCGCAGCGACTACGCGACGACTTCGAGGGCACCAAAGTCCGCCTGCTCTCTGGGCTGCAACACCAATTTTTTGTACTGCACGACACTTTTATCCACTCTGAGGGCACCAAGTCTGGCGAGAATTCGGTGAGTGTCTGTTTTTATCTCCTATTATCTGTAGATACCACTGCCCCATTGCAGTGTTCATTCGCTACACTTAACGTTTATTCGGCATTAACCCTTGGTAATTTCCCAACCGTTGTTTTATGAACTCTCACACCTTCTTTTTATTACCGTTTTCCCTCTCACTGGATCGACAGAATGTATATAGAAGGAAGTCTGATTTCTCGCATTTGCCTTAAATCAAATGACACAAGTGGTGCTTTCCTGTGCATCATACACTCTGCGAAGAACTAATTCGAATGATTTTCTAAAAGTGGAACTTACTCATTCTTCTAGTTGCAGCAGAAAGAAAAGAATTACTTTGTTTTATCGGGTTTTTACATCAACAAATCAAGAATGGGTCCTTTTATAGCTGGGAAGCCCTGTGGGCCAGAACCTTGAGCCTTCGTCTGAACAGTTGTGTGTCTACTGGGCAAAGGCGGAGGTTGGGTGCGTGCTTAGCACCTACATCTTTCCCACCACAGAATCCCTCCGCTTACATCAAAATGGTGGACCTTATCTATTTAAAATATAATGGAAAAATCCTGATTAAAGATGTCGCATTTTTCCTGAGTGCAGAAAATAAACTTTGTCCAAAAATAAGGTCTTAAATAAGGATGAATTCTTTCGATATTGTTTTTGTAATCTTCACACCAACAAGCTTGTGAATGAAAGCACAAACATGGAAATACGGGAGGTACGTATTTTGCTTAATATCCAAATAGTTGATCTTTGAATGGCCACATTTGAAACCACTCATCCCAAAACCTAAAACTAATTATTGTCTTTATCTTTTAAATGGTCCTAGAGCAACCAACTTTCTCTGTGGGCCATTTAAGATTCTTCTCTTCTTCCTTTCTCCGTCGAAAATCTTTTAGTCGCTGTTCTGAAATAAAGAGTTACCGAGTTTGTTAGAGAAATCACGACGCTTGAATCCGCTTAAAATGCAAGCGCAATTGGTATTGTCCTATTCCTAGGGGTAGTCCTTTTTACGTGTGGCAGTTGATGAGGAGAGAATAGGTTGATTACGGGGTGGTGCTTTGTTAACGCCTGTAATGTAGTCATGCCACCTGGATTCTCGCTTAGAGGAAGTACTTTGCTGGCTTTAATTTGAGGCGTGGTAAATTTTTGGGTTGTTTTATGGCAAGCTTTAGGCTGGGAAGTAATTAGGTAAAGCTGCTGGCATTCCCCGGAAGAGATCGGTGACGGGTCAGCGTGCCGAAATCTCAGCGCCTCCGACGCCCCCTGCACCGAGAAGACGGCGCCTTGTCAGGATTTTGTATCTTGTGCAAAATTGAAGGCATTGACAGTATTACGACTGATGTCGGGGCGGCTGAACATGCGTTTGTTGCATGTTATGGTCAGTTGTCTGGCAAGGCTTCGAGTGTCCCAGCACCTAGTATACCTTTCCTCATCTTGCTGCCTTTTTCTCGATTCAAAATCACGTTCTTGTATACAGCCATAGATGGAAAGACATAATAGATGTTATTTTAGTCACTTGAACTCAAACTGACTGCTGGTTTTACACCGAAAATCAAATGCAACTGAACCACAGCACTGAAAGGTGCCTCACAATGCAGAAAATGATTTCTTCTTTGTCCTTCAAAGTCTTGGATTGGAGAGTGGAGGCGTCATGAGCCTCTCTGGGCGTGTTGAAATGCAGCCTCACTGTATTCATTTATTTGCTCTCGCCTCGACCCGCCTCCAAGGTTTCGCCTTTCCGTCCGTATCAAGGGAGTAAAAAATGCAAGTACCTTAGACGATTCTGGAAGATGCTATAAATTTTACTCTCAGAGGGGTGTTCGTTTTCATTCAAAAGAACGCAAAATGCCGACGATTGTCAAGAGGGAAGTGTTTGGAGACAAGTGGACGCAATGGCATCACTTCACCGAGCAATCTCAGCAAATCCAAGGCACACTCTTGAGTTCCTATTGGTATGGCGGAGGTCCTTCGGAGTGACTTTTCAAAAATGCCCTGTTTGTTTTGATGCAGAATGAGAGTCCCAATTGGGTTCTATAAGAAAGGGTCGTTATAGCAAATTGCCCAGACGGCATAAAACTGGTTGCGTCCTTCATTAGTACGAGCCGGTCCGGGGGATTCAGACTTAAAGAGACCTCTTTTTAAGCACCGGGATAGTGGAATCTCCATGTTGCACATTGATGTGTGATTGAGTGGTGCGATTAACGAAGGGAGCATTGAGAGATCTCCTCCTCCTCCTCCTCCTCCTCAACGAGACGCAATTGTGAGAGTATATGCGACGCAATTTGGCACCCTCAAGCTGTCAAATTTTGTATAAACAACAGCATGTAATAGGAGTGTAAATCAAACGATGTAATTAATTTTTGTACGTTAATGCTTTCACTCTTCCTCCCTCTCTCCTGCTGCCTCTGAGAGGAATGTCCAAGTGATTAATGGGCACCCTGGGTATGGTGCTTATGACCCTTTACTCCTCCGTCGTTGCATTCTATTAACAATTCTGGCCTTTTGGAGTGCTATTAAAACTGTCTGGAAATTTCTCTATAAAAAGAAGACAGGAGGAGAGAGAGGATGTGTAAAATTTTCTTAGCTAGTCTCTATGTCATGTGATTTTCTGCAGGCGAAAAGTTGCCGCTTGTGTTACCTAGGTACCGCTTGGATAGGCGTGAATGGGCCTTAAAAATGCTTAACGGAAAAGAGATTTTAAACTTTTCGTTACCTATAGTTCCTTAGTCGAGGATTTTTTCGTCTGTCGTATGCCGCCAAATTTTAACTTCATTTTTCAACACAGGTGTTTTATAGTTGGGTTAGATATTAGTCACTTAGTGCTTTTAATTGAAAATTTTAAGAAACACATCCAAAACTAACTTTTAAAACTGCGCAATTTTGAGAAGAAAAGAGGAATTTTGGTTTAGAAGTTGATGTGTTTGACAGTATTGGTAGACAGGAGAGAGAAACATCAATTCACTTGTGGATAACTGCGCAGTTGCCTTCGCAGGTCCGACTAGTCTCCCGAAAAAGCGAGGTATCCCTCCTAACGCGAACATTTGTGGTAGTGATTATCCCTCAGAGTAAAGAACCTGATAAAGCCCCGGGTAAACGTGAAGTAAATCAGAAACAGTTACCTACAAATCTAACTCAAAGTAAATTATTTTGCTTAGTTTCTTTTGTATCATAGAACATACTTGCGTATTTGGATCTGGATCACACCTGGGAGGGTGTTTGAATCACCCCATGACATGAAATTCAAATCCAAATTCATTAATATTAGGGCCCTCTAATGTCTGCAGGCTTAATCTTGCCACCCAGACCATCCTAAGCCCTCCTGCAATCGTCTTACTAAGCGTTTATCTGCAAACTTGCTCCTGGAATTGGGATTCTAAAGAATAGTCAAGAGGTAATCTCACTTTCAAGTGCTTTAAAAGCTAATTTACGTCACCCACATGGGCGCCTGTGCTAATTTCGTCGTCATTGGCTACCTGTTGCGAAAAATTGTCATTTGTTGTAGGGCTACAAATCACGTAGAGGAGGCAAATGTCACTGCCCTTGCACTTGCGTCTGCCTCTCCATCACTTCTTCATGCACCCTTCTGGCGGGCACTATGCCAAATTCAGGACATCTGTAAAGTTGTCCCTTACATTTCGGTTCCTGCAGTCATTCCTACCGGCATTACCTTGTTTCTTCCGTTTGATTCCAGAGTGGGCATTTTTTGCCTCCCGAGAGGCGAACTGGAGAGTTAGAATGCTCCCTTTATTCTACACCAATACAATACTTTCCAACACTTTTCAGCCACTAAGAGAGGAGTTAACGAGAGAGGTAACTTCCTCTGGTACTGTACATGCCTTCTGGTGACACATGACACGCTTTTTACCGAGGCCAAACCGAAGTAGCCTCACGACATTACCAGGCTTGATTTGAAACCACTCTCCCCCTACTAAGAGTTTACAAAGCAGTTACAAAGGTGTCCAAATGTGTTGCAGGTCTCATAATAGTGCCTATTTGTTTTAAGTCAAGACTGAGTCTTCAAAATGAGAACACCAAATACTCTCGTGAATGTTTAAGTACTGCGTCGGCGAACCCGAATGCTTCATTATCGCAGGCCGCGGCTGCGGGGTCTGACTAAAGACTGACAGTGAAAATCTTCTCCCCTTTTCAGGCGCATGGACTATCCCACATTTTCTCAACTGCTCACTTAAATCAGTCTTTTGTTTTTCTTTTCAGCGGAGACATTTAATTATAAACGGATGTTTGCGAAGGTGTCGGGATGTTTATTTTTTGTGGAAGACGGTTGGGAAATAGGCTTTAGGATTTGTTATTGCATTTCGCAAATCGCAGAAAAAGTGATGGTTGAATTGAATTCTTTCTGCATAGAACTTGTAACCGCGCTTTGGTTGGTGGGATTTCTCATTTTGGTCCCTAACTTCCACCAGCATTAAATTTGTTAATTCCATTCTTTTGTTTCCGTCACTGTCACGTCCCATCAATCGGCCTGCTTGTTGTACTTGCAGGCAGTATTCCCCAGACGGATAGCAGCTGCTTTGTAGAAAAAGCCACCAGCATTTGCCTTACTTTTTTTCAATCCTTCCTAGCCGCCTATGATGCCAAAGCTGTAGGCATAGCCGGGTGTGCCCCACCAAGTAAATTTTGCAAGTGCACACCTACTTTTAGCTTGTGAAGTATAACCCCGTGGGAAGTCTCTGTGGAAAAACTCATGAAGGCCATTCCATTTTTCATTATTTCATTTAAGCTGTTCTGCTTTCTTGTGAATATGGAGAATCGTCTGCATCGCGATCCCATGGAATCGGGGTTGAGTTAAACTAATATTATTCAGGCATCAATTCTGGCACGGAACTAGTTCAGCCTTACGGCCAGATAAAAGAGCAGCGAAGCGTTCCTCAAGATCCTGAATGGTGTCAAGTGAGAGAGCCAAGACCGAGGTGAGTAGGGCTAAAATGAAGTAAGCAGAGAGGTTTAACACAATCACCACTTCACCACTCCTGAGGTAAAAATATGTACCGAATTTGCATAGCCTGGTGAGTTGCACTGCACGAATTAAAGGAGCGAATGTCGTGTCTTTTATTTCTCGGTTCCCAGTTTTTATGAAAATTATAAACACCTGGCTAATAATTAGGCGAAATATGGATGCTGAAACTTAATTCCCAACGATGTGAATCCGTGGTGCACTCGCATTATCCACCCCAGCTTAAAAAGTGCCGCTGTTCAGATGTTACAACTACTTAGAAGAAGTGGGCATTTCACAAAATCCTCTTAAGGTAGGCAGGTTCTATCACGCACAGAACATCACTTGAGTGACCGTACCAAATCAATTGAAACTGAGAAATGCTTAGCCTCACTTACCGTCTTCATACTATTTTATACTGGATGGTTGTTACGGCTTTGGAGCGCTGAACCGAATATTTCTTGCAAGTCAAGAACAGTCACTTTCTCAATTTCACTACTTCCCTTAACTATCTATCGTCGCGATGGCGAAAAGTCCTAATGGGTTGGGTGCATAACTCAGTTGGTTGTGACCTTTTTGTTCTAAATAGCTTAAAAGAAACTTTCAGGCAAAAGCTGGACCTTTGGTAAGTTATAATGCTTCAATTCGTTGTGGGAGGAGTGTAGATTGCTATAAGTTTTTACGTCCGAGGCACAGCGATTCCTCCTCGAACTCCGAGTCGCAATTGGATGCAAGTGAGAGATATTGGGGGCTTTAGGTAAGATCTCATCTCCATGTATCCGATTTCACCCGGACGCATTTTTTATAGCAGTGGTAAATGCACAGTCACTGCCTCTAGCAAGTTTCCTAGTCATTTGACTGTGAGAATTTGTTTATCAAATGTGTGATTGTGTGTCTTCTGTCCTCCGTGACCACCATTACCAGATCTGGCTCCACCATCCCCCTCAGCAGTTTGGTGCAAACACGAGGGGGCGTACACTTGGAGGGGGAAAGAACAGGGTTGACTGTGATTCATGTAGCAACTTGGTTTTCCTCCGTCGATTCCTCGTGTCAGCTGTTGTTTCTCATCACGCGTTTGGTCGGCAGAGAAGGAATGGTGAAGGAGGAGGAGGAGGAAAGGAGGAGAAGGAGAGTTTGTGCAACGGATTTCCTTAAAAAGCTTTACTGTATAAGGCGGTGTTTGCCTGGTCTAACTTCATTTTCAAACTTGGTAATTTAAATGCATTGGCGATTAAAGTACGCATAATGTAGCCGGGGAATCATGGGTAAATTTCACTAACGATTGAAAAACAATCAAAGCTCTTCACCTGAAGACTGCTCAAACAGAAAGTATTCTAATAGTAGAACAGATCCAATTAATCCATTTCATTCTCCACGATCTACGGCTCAAGTGAGCTGTATATCTCAGAAAGGCGCATTTCGAGAGGTGCTAAAACCTAGCGAATGACATCTCTTTTTCCACGTGGTTGGTGCTCCAACTCCCCTTTGTTCAGCTCTTCGACGTTCTCGTCTGGGTTATTTGCGTTTGTGTTTGAATTTCAGGCTTCCCTATCTGAAGGCCACGAGTGCTTCAACTCGAGTGGGCGATCCTCACCCTCCACCCCTCCGCGAAGTGAAGTCGACAATGTGATTTGCCTGGCTGAATATGTTTCCCAACATCTTGGCACATACCTTCAGGCTCTTCTCATCAAACTGGTAAGGCGCTTCTTCTAGCGTGGAGGAACAAAAGGCAAAAACCTTAGGCGCAATTCATTCACCATTGATAGTGATACTGCAGCTGAAATAAATCTACCACACCAACAATCTGTCTAGTTCATGTGGCATCCATCTAGCCATCATCATTTGTCCCATCCTGCATCCATCCATCCCTTTCTTAATCGATCCAACAATCACCTCTAACTCATTCACCTAACCTTAACCGCCCACAAAACCGGAAATTCCTTTGAGTCGCTAATGTGAACGTAGCACCTGCTGCAAATCAAGGTTTAACTCACCGCCTCCCACATTACTAACTTCAATTAAGGCTAATACACTTTCGATTGAAAAATGGCACAAGATACTAAGTAGTGGTTAACTGTTGTCATTGGCAATTTCGGCTTGTCGGAAATGCCTGAAAAGGTAGGCGCATCGAAATGATGGACCATGTCCAATGAAGCCAACGATGGAAATGCTACTGACAGTTTTGATCTTTCTGAAGGACTTACTTGTCCACATTTCTCGTGGCTTTCTGACATTCCTGGGGTAAAATCAAAGGCAGAGTTTACAGCGAGGTGCTACTGATTTAGATGCATGCGGTCGTTGCCTTGACCTCACCTCATAATCAAGGCGCAAATTCATTAGGGTTAGCGAAATTTTTCTCTAACATTCGTGCTGTTTAATTAAGCTTCTCGACCTGATGTTTCACCAGGTCAAATCTCGCATCACCTCAAAAAAAACGGTGAAAGAGAAGGAGTTCCAATTGGCAAGTCACCTATCCGGTTTTGATGTTATTGTGTATATTTTAGCTTCTAGAAACGGAAATATACGACGATCAGGAGGCAGTGGACTGTGTCGGTGAGCATCTTCGGCTGGTGGCGAGCTTTTCTCCCTGAAATAGACGGTTCTAAGTCAGTCTCCTTCCTTCCCTAGGAATTGTGTCCTTCGGCTTTCAGTGCCTTTTGCTCCCATATATGCTCATTCACTTCTTCGTAGTCTGATGTACCGAAATTCACATGTGAATTCATCACCTCTTGAATACATCATCAATTGCAGTTGTTCTTCAGCGACATGGCTCATTTAGAATTTTGCGAATTTGGAAGATATGAAGTGAGGTACACACCAAACGAGCAGAACGTGTGGATTGGGCTTCAACTGAAGAGTTAGCGTCTCCTTTTGGGAATAAAGGTCGGCCTAAAGTGACCGTATTTACAAGTTCGTATGAGATGTTTGACCCACTATTCTGGAAGGGTAACAGGTACCAAGTCAGCCCTCTATGCGACTGTTCAATCATTGTATCCGTGTCCTCCATGTTTCCGTACGAAATATAAGCCTTTCGTGGATGAGAATGCAAAGGTCATCTTCAAAATACAATTTTGAAGTGCCCTCTAATTCATTTTAAACTCACTAAATGTCAATTCCAATTAGTCTACTTATTACAGCCAAATAGGCAGACTGAATCGTGGGCCTTTGGTTTAAAGACGGCAAATTCGCGCTTACAAATTGCCTCAACAGCGCACTCGTCTTAAGGTACCTACAATTTAGCCGGTCTTTTAACACTTGCTTTAATTTTTGCCCCCCAAGCGATCCCTTATTTCACCACTTGGCTCGAGGGTTTCGGTAACATCCGAGGGTCAGTTGGTATTTTCCCCTTCGGCTCTACTTTACGTCGTGTGTTGCTGTTGGCACCTCACCTTCAAAAAGAAAAAGGATAAAAATTGAGGAATTTCCATTTACAAGTTGATGTGTGAGAGAAGGATCGCTACTGGTTGAATACGATGGAACACATGATGCACAAGTTCTGCTTTAAGAACCTTTAGTCTGGGATTAATAAGCTGACTTTCAAGTTAAACGAAGATTTTGGGGTTTCTAAGCGAAATGACAAAAAAGAGTGAGAAAAGAGAGCCACGCTTATCTTACCAGTGTCTGACTTATGCGTAGGAAGCTTCGGTACAGAAAGATATGCCACTACAGTTGATCCATCCTGGGACTGTTTTAATACCTAACAAAGGCTAGCCTTTTAAAACCGCAAATTTCCACTGGGTCCATGAAAAGACTCGCTTCTTATGAAATTTCATGACAGGTTACACCTCCATTACCCAAGATTTGGCATTCCCACTTTTACAGTTGCGGAGTGGAAACTGTCAAGGCAGGGTGGTTCACTGGCAGAATTACGACCTTCTCCAAAGTGTCTGCTCCATCCGAATGTCTTACAGGACCCTGGCGTCCATCTCCTTATTGCGTTCAAAGTCCTCGGCCGATGTCCGTGAGTTGAACGCCTGCGCTGGCTGGCAACATGTACGGCGACTAACATTGTGCAATGGGTTGTGGCTGGCACCTACTACTGCGCATGGCACCACCGCCGTAGCATCTTTTCATCCAGCCTGTGAAATTAACGGCCCATCCTGACTTGAACAACTTCAAATCCCAAAATAGTCTCGAAACCTCACCCCAAACTGACAGCCGAATTGGGGAGGGGGGTCATTAAAAGTGACTTGACGCCTTGACTATTGAACACCTTCAATCATTTGCAGCCAACAAGTACATTTTGCACCAAACTTGGTACAACGATTTACTAATTTGTACACGACAAAGCGTGCCCCCATTGTCTTCCCTCCACCACCCAATCAGTCCTAACAACCCTACAGGCGTTTTGACTGAAAACGCCATGGCGCTGCCAGCATACGCTGACATAAGGGTGCATCACCGCAACCTATCTACTACTGATTGACTGAGTTGGTGTTTCAAAAAGAAGGCAAAGATGGGACGCAGAAAACACACAACGTGGCCTCAAGTGCCTTCAAGTGTCCCGCTGTTGCTGCACTCTTCTTTCGCTTGTGCGCTTTCACTGCCTTAAATGTTGCTTTTGGCCTTTTCACTGCCTTGTGCCTCTGGAGAGGAACTCACATTTCGGCATCCAATCGAGTCGAAGAGGAAATTGGAGTTTAATGAGGTATTCCTGCAAATATTCATCCGTGCTATTGCATGCAGTGGTTGTTTACTTGCAGTGAGCTTCGTGTTCTTCTGCAAGATATATAACCATCCACCCAATTTGATGGATTCCTGCAATGCGCGCGAAAGAAATCCGCAATATCAAAAGCGGGTTTACTAGGCGATTTCAAATTACCTTTGCTTACCAATCTGGAAATCCTGACAACGGGCTTAGTTTCCGGAATTCCAGAATTATTGAACCCATCTATTACCAAGCATCTTTGCCAACCATTTTACTCAGTCGAAAGTCTCCAAAATTAGGCACAATTTCAAATGCCTGCTAATTGTGGCAGACCGCTAGACTACGGAATGAATCTGCTCCAATCTGGTTTGTGTAATAATTAAGCCATCTTGAAGCTTGTAAAAGGGACCAGAGGCTTCCGCTTTTGGCGGTTGCCTCCAGTCGATTAATCAGCACGACCTGTGGTAAGCGAAAGCCCGGCCACCCATGCACTAGATGCCGACGGACGTCGCCTCAGCCATCGCACATTCAGGCTGTTCGAGGCACCCACAAGCATGTGTCGTACTTTCGAAGCCGAGGCTTAGGGATCGCAGAGGAGAAAAACGTTCAAACAGGGCTGGAAGAAGCTCTATATTTTAGGAGCGAGTATCACACAACCTGCTGAATCATAGCACGAAAAAATACACACGCAAAGTTACCTGACCCACATTTTCATTTATGCACAAATACATAGTATACATAAGGAGAACGTGGTGAGTCTCAGTGTCGAAAGTTTTTACTCAATTTCAACAAATGTTCGCGCAGGGAGGCCTGCTTCTCGCGGAAGCTGCGTTTCGCCTTCCTGCGCACCTTGTGTTTGATCATCTGGAAAGTCTTCTTCTTCCGCTTCTCCCGGTTCGTCGTGCTCGCGTGCGGGTTCATGCGATTCACCTGTGAGTAAACACAAATACCAAACGAACTGTAGACCAAAGGAGGTACACACGGAATAAACCCAAAATTCCACAAATATTAACCAAATTTCTGATGAAAACCCAAGATCAGAGAAAAATATCCAAATCAGACGGAGCTTGTAAGGCGTTCCAAACACACGAGGATTAATACGAAGGTAACCAACTATTTCTACATCCATAACCACTTCCGAAAAGGACAACCGATGTAAAAAAATTAGTAACCCAGCAAAGCTCCTTGAAAACGCCTCCGCTACTGAGCTAATGGATAAACGCAGAAGAGTTTTCCTGTTGTTCTAAAGAAAGAAGATCCCGAGTGAGTAGAACAAATCCCAATACATGAATCGGCCAAGTCTACGAGAGGAGAAGGTTATTCGATAAAGGAGCATTTGAAATGCCATAGGAAGAAGTTCTGCAGCAAATAAAAAATAGCGTTTAAAAGTTATTTGCCTCCAGGTAAGTAAACAAACACCTGCACATCGAGGAGGCCGGCGAATCCAGTACAGCCAGCAAACCACGATTGCGCAAATAATCGCACACTTCTAGCAGACAGAAGTCCAGTATCCAAGGCAAGCCTAAATCTAAAGCAGGCCTATAAGAATAGAATAGCTGAGACTAATGTCCAAACCATGGTAAATGCAGAAAATGGATTTGATCCGACATATAAAACCGTTGAGAAGGAATTTGTTAATGGTTGGGATATGAAAAAAAAAAAGTTCCCAAGCGTAATATCACATTGGCCGGAGCCATAGTTAGGCAAATGCTACCTTTTCCTGGTGTCAAGCCGCCTCTTCGGTATAAATCGAAACTGACAACACTTAACACGAAGTGCTTGTCTTACGATTCATTATCACTAGCCGTGTCCGCACCACCACTCGCAGCATGATTTATTTAGCATCCCTAGAGGAGGATGTAGCCGCTAAGACGACGAATCGCAATGACTTAAAGCTAAAACATTTAAAAAACGCTCTTCCCAACAAATTAGCCTAAATGCTCCCCGAAAAGTAGAATCTCACCATGTCCAAGGGAATATTTAAGCGATTCAACTCAGTCTACGGCGTAAGAAATCCCAGTTGTGAGCGTATAAGCTGGTGAAAAATACACATACGACCAGCTGTAAACACAAATTGGGTGTGCTGGTTGTACACGAGGTGTGTATTTGTGGGCGATGCTAGCACCAAGTTCACCTGTGACGAATTTAAGGAGTTCTGTCCGGCAGTTTTTGCGAGGAACAGCACTGTTTGGAAAATTTCATAACGGATGGAATACTCAACGATTCTGCAGAAGATTGTCCACACCAAATCGCACAAGCGGATATTCGCTAGTCCCTCCACCTTCATCACCTGAAGTAGCTGTACTTGACAAGTACAATGTACCAGGTGGACGCGTTGGCATATAGTTGTGTCAATCTCGTTACGCTAAAATTCCGACCAGCTGGCAGAAAATCACTCCTTTGACGCAGCCTATGTGCATCTTTACTTAACCATGCAGTGAGTTTATTAATCAAGGCTTACTAACGTTTCTTTGCAATGCTAATACGCTCCCTCACTTCACTTGTTCATCACAAGGAACCATTTTTTGTCGTTGACAAGCTGAGAATGGACTAAAGTCCCAATTTACTAATAATTTCATCAACCAATGCATTTTACTAATTCCAAACAAACCTTTAAATTAGCCACAGATTTTTAAATTAAATATTGATGGCGGAATCAGAACGAAGACAGACTAGGTATTTGAAAACGACTTTATTGTGCGAGGGCACGTAGAAGCTCGAAAAAGGATGGAAAATAGGATCAGCAGACTGCAGGGCTGGCAATAAATTTAGATAATATTTATCTGAAAATTCGCCTTAGTCACAATACGACATCAAGCCTTTGAGGAAGCCTGATCGCGCATCTAGCCAACGAATTGCATCGGAAGTGCCAAGCTTACCACTCATGTTAGTGATAGAACAATCTACACTGCCTACTTAAGTGAAATCTGGTGTAGTTGCTTGATTCCATGGCAATAGCCGCAAACTCTAGTCTCAGTGCATGAATTTCAGGGGTATGGTAAAGAAAAGCACCCGATTTAATTGGTAGATTCGAATCGAAGCCTTTGGCAAAGGCTAAGCCACTCCACGAGGTAAGACAATCAGCAAATACCAAATTGATGGGAGCACAGAAACTCTAGACAAGCAAAAAAGTAGGACCACAAACTCCGTATGAAAACTTGTATGAACCAGTGGTAACCGTGCACACCCATGTTTTGTTATGAATGTTCATTTATCAAAGTTGGAAAAGTTGTTTGCAGGAAATTGCCTGTCTGGGCAAGTAAACTGACACCAACAGGAGCAAGGATTTCGGGCTTTCGGTAGTAAAATAAGGCATGGAATCGAACAACACAGCAAGCAGTATGACGAAAAAATCGGTGGTCAAGAGTTTTTTGGTGCGCATATCCAAACGGCACACTGCGAATGGGCACATGATTGTGACGCAAGAAGCCGTTAAAAGCGACCTTACAAAGCTTATTTTACGTCATTTTTTCAACTTTAACATTCAGTTTGAAATAACATTCTGGCAAAAATATTGTACCCATTCAAATATGCGTTGCTCACCATGAACAACGCTATTTAAGATGAACATCATGCCTCCTGAAATGGCTTGGAAATCTCTTGCCGGTGTGAAGTGCAGCATGTTACCAATAGGGGAGTAATGATCTCACCTATATGTAATACGTAGATTACATGATAGACGACGTCAAAGAATAAAAGGTGAAAATACAAAAAAAGAACGAATTGGATACAATTTATCAGAGGTGATAAAGTGCGGTGGCCAGGAACACTGGAATTTGGTATTGATTGCAAGGGTATCAATTTAGGAAGCACCATTTCTGCCTAATCAAATAAGGTGATTAAGCGATCGCAGATACATTGCTTTAAGAGCATCATTTTTGACAAAAAGCTATCCAAATTACCATCAAAATTTAATTCACGACATGAACAGGAGATGCAGACAGTAATTCGGCAGCTACTTTACAGTTTTCATTAAACCACTGATACGCTAAGCGACATTGCCTAAGTTATCCACATAAAAACGTCGAAACAGACGTTTGGGTAGTATCTGTATAGGCGGCGCATAACTTACGTAGGTGGTATCACTGAAGTAATCAACCATAGTCCAACACTATTTTTGATCTAATACTAAATTAAGTCGAGCATAGCACCAACCTACAGAATGATGACAACATACGTACCGAAAAAGTGATTAAGCGTAACTGAGCACTAGCATTGGTGTGAAAAAGATGGATGCGGAGTCCGACCACTGTAATAAATTCTTCCTTAGTCAAATGCTATCATACCTGGAATCCGTACTTCTTACGGCCCTCTCGACCCTCTGCGACGGTGTCCATACGATCTGCCTTAGTGGAGTGGGGCCTCTTGACGAGTTTAGTAATGTTTCGCATTGACACAAGACCATGCACCTCCTCCGGATTTACTTCTTTATCACTATCCGCATCGTCACTGTCATCAGCATAACCTCCGAAAAGTTCTTCCTCGATCACCACCTCCTCGCCCCGCTTCCTCTTTCGACCACCAGCAGCGGCGAAGAGGGTCTGCAAGGCATCGCATCACAGCATTGCTACTTACCGAATTTAAGTAATCATAAAACACATACGAACCTGTTTTTCAGCCTGTCGCTTGCGGATGGCCTCAAAATCCTCATCGGTGAGAACACGAGTGGCGAGGATCTCCTCAAGCGCTACATTTTTGGCCGGTTTAGTTCTAACCAACTTGTTTTCTTCTGCATTGGAAGCCTTGTTCGTCGCCCCCTTTCGCTCCTCCAGGTCTTCATCGCCACCAGCTTCAACATCCCGCCCGCCTTCCTCTTCAACAGTAGAAATGCTATCGGCATCGTCATCACTCGGACATTTCGAAATGGAGTTTTCTGCATGGAGTTCGTAAGAAAAAATTAGCAGCAACCAATCAAAGTGGAATGCTACTTCCTGTTGCGAAAGACAAAGGATCGGCGTTTTTCGCGAAAATTAAGGTACATAAAAAACAGTTAATGCCGGCCGAAGCTGTAAGTTTGCCCAAATTCAAGAAGTAAAGTGCCACGTCTAAGGCTTAAATTGGCACACTTATCCAAGAAGCAGACCTCAACTGCTACTTGGCCGAATAAGTAGAACGTTGTAGATTATTACTGCACATTTTCAATAGATATTAAAAGCGGTTTTAAAGTTGTCTTTTACAGAATAATCTCCAAATTGTGAGATCATAAAGTTGCAAAAAATTAGTGTATATCAAAAGAAACGGGAGCAAATCGGCAGAAATGACGAAATAAAAGGTGCAATTCTAATAGCTAAGTGTTTGAGAGATCTCTTCATAGTCGTTGAAGAACAACGAACTAAAGTAATGCACTACATCCCTACAACTTCCTCAATTCAGGTTTATATAGTTTTAAATACTAGAAAATCGGACATATTCTTAGAATGTCATTTTTATTTACCAATGTAAGGGATGTTAAGCAAATGAAATGAAATTCGAAATGAGAATAATGGAAATTAGAAAATGAAAACCGCCATCATTTCTAATTTTCGATACTAGTACAAAACCAATTGATCAATATGATGAGCATCTCACAGGCATTCTAGCGCCACCACCTAAAACTGCCAAAAATAACAAGAACCTAAGCTAATGGGAGAAAGATACATACCTCCGATCTCAGTGTTCGGCCCCAGCCCTTCCCTCCTCGTCCCTCCTTCGTCACCAACATCGTCCGCAGACTCAAGAACCCTTTCCAAGTTTCTTTCAACTCTGCGTCTCTTCCTGGGGCGCTCACCATCGCCGGTGTCGGAAGTAACGGCTTCTATGAGAACCTCGGCACCTACAATGCTAGTCGCAACGCACTTCTTGCCGAAGACACGTGCCGGCCCATTGCTTGCTGCCAGGGCGTCGGTATCTGCATTGTCCACACTTAGGGCCTCCTTTACCGCCTCCGTCGGACGACCCACCTCGCGCTTTGGAAGCAGTGAGGGGTTTACCTAGCACATAGAAAAGAACTGAGTGGAACATCGCAAAAGGTGCTTTAAGTTGCTTAATTTGGACGCAAAAAAACCTCAATGCAATTTAAATGAACAACGCTTCGGAAGACCATACCCGTCTATACAACCGGATAAGGGATCGCGCAGCCGCAACCACATTTTTGTTGCGATAGGACTTATATCCAACGAGATCAGAGAGCAAATCCTCGTCCACAGCGTAGGGACAGCGGGCGCAGATCTCACGGATAGTGTTCAGACCCACAGTGATAGCCTCCGCTGACGCTCGATCAGTCACAAAGTTGTCGGTGATGGTGCGTACAAGTGGGAGAATCGCCTTATTGATGAAGGCAACGAAATTCATCGAAAAAATCTCATCAATCAGATACTAACAGCGTATGAACACGTACATCTGGTGGGACTTGGTCGTGACTGGCTTCGGCAGCGAATAGGAGGAGTCGAGTAATTTCTAGGAACGGCAAAAATAATATCTTTAGAAACCTAACCTTCCGTACCTACCTCGCTGTTGTGGACGCAAAAACCGTTGCAATGAGGGATAGAAATTCAGCAATAAAAGTTGGTGGACACCGATGAGGTGGCTGATCAACTCAAGCAAAAGTAAGCGTATTTCTAGGCGATCGTTGCACTTTTCAAGTTTGTGAAATAGCTTTTCAGTAAAAGTTTGAGGGTCGTAAATCATATTGAGAGCGGGAACATTGATACCCATAGGCTTTTGCTTCTTCAACTTCCGCTCACTTTTACGCTTTAAATTGTCAATATCACGGTCGAGACGCTTCGCCCGCTTCTTTGATTTAGTTCCCACGCGGTGGCCCAACTTCAATTGTTTTATTTTTGTGTCAAGACCGACATTAGCGTCGCTGTCACTGCTGCTCCCTTGTTCTGTCGACTTCTCATTGTGACCGAGGAAGAACCGAACCGCTTTGGAGTATACCTTTTTAGACTTGGCGAAACACGCATCTGCTATCAGATTAACTGACTTCTCATTTTTCCAAACGTCTCTTCTATACAACTCGACCAGAACAACAACTGCTTCTTTTGCGACAGTTGTGTTCCCATCTTTTATCGATGACGCAAGGAAAGACTGGATCACCTATTTAAAAAATAAACGCAGAATAATAGGCTACAGAATTGGATTTTTCTGGTCTGTTTTTCAAATTTGTCCGCTTTATATCGGAAATAACAAAACCACGTAGCATTTTCCGGACCGGTTTGTCTTGACATCTATGCAAACGAAAGGCAACGTCAACAGACTGTTGCAGCGTTATAAAATTCCTCAACCGTAGTCTTATAAACGCCTTCAAATAGGCCTAACAAAATTAAGACATTAAGATAGCTAACGAACCATTCGCATACGGGCATTCATTCCAAAGGAACGGGAGAGGAGAGCCGATGTCACATTTTCACTGAATTTAGGCGCATAATTGGGGAACAAGTGTATGACCTAAACACTACCACTGAAAGGGGAGCCATCGAACCTGTGATAAGAAAACAAGGAGGCTGTGCAATTTAGGAATATATTCAGAAGGTGCGGAAAGATACGTGGCCTCCAGAGAACTGTAATTTTCGTATTGAATCTCGAACTAAATGAATTATAGGAATATTAGACCCAAGTACATCAGGTAAGTAGGACTCTGGATCCCTCCTAATATTGCCTTCTAATTCGTCCAAATTCGACTGAATTAGCGTGGCACTCATGCCCCAATCCAACACAAGTGAAGACAAATGCCACAATGACAACTCGTGCACTTGATTAATTCGTCTTGAACCAAGTTTGTAATTTTGAGAACTTAGTGAAGTAAAATTCCTTAAAAACAGATTATGAGAAAATTTAATTTGATTTAGGGCATAAATAGCCAAGGTGATGGTTTAGTGGTTATTAATCCAAGTTGGTTAGGTGTTGTAAAATATGCTCTAAAACACTTAAACGGAATTAAACCAACCACTTAAGAGAAATTGTGGACAATATTGGTAAATTTATGCAGGGCATAGGCATACGGTCAACTTTGAACATTAGGCAAAATCACACGACAATATCTAAAAATGGCTGCAAGCACCCATTACCAATATGGAAAATTAAAAATCAATCACCAGGTGCAACGCGATTTATTGATTTTTAAAGCATCAAGTTTTGCAGCATATACATTTTCGCCGAAAGCCGATACAATTAACAGTAGTCTTTTTTTCTTGTCCCATACATTTCTCACAATTATTCCGTGGTATTTCAACAAAATGTTGCCATAGTTAAGAGTGGCAACCCATTTTCTACTACAACATTCTTCACCACTTATTCACGTTACAAGGAATTGCTGGCTTGAGCAATATGACCAGCTTTCTTTAGTAGTAGTCCGGATCGTTATGTGAAGTAACTAATGCCGTCGATTATCTGTCACTGTGACATAAAGGTTTTAGGGATTAAACATTAGTTGGGTTACGCACCACTGGTTACATCAATGGGTTGTAAATTTACTGATGAGAATAAATTATTTCTAAGAATAGCTAATAGGTGTTAATCGTTTTGCAGCTTAAATTTTGACTTGCTTCTATGATTTATTTGATAACAGATTAGTAAAAAGCCCGTCCTACAAATACTCAACAAATGCTGTGTTCTGCATTGGCAATACCGATCAGTGTTCAACTGCGCTCTGTTTGGTGCGGTGTTTGCTGTCCGAAAAGTCTTTCAAAATGATACCGATAGGGTTTATTTAAAAATTGAGAAGAATGACTTCAGTTTCTGAAAAATGCAGGAAATTCCCTCTTCGTGGCAAGAAAATTTATATGCATTTTGAGGCGGGGACACGTCCACCCAAAAACTTAGAAGAAATATTGAGGATTCTCGGCGCCGTGAGTCTTTGGCCGAATTTGCAATTGCCGATGTTGAGTATGCGGGAACGTAGCCGTTGATAATTTGTAACCATTTTGATGCTTTAGCACTGCTGTTTGTTGGTTTTTTGCATTATGAAACCCCACTTTTTGCTTTTTTTGCAACCAAGTGTCTTCAAAATATAGATTTTATGTTAGCCGATATCTCATTCTTCCCCAGGCCTACTGCGTACTTTTCCCCACGGTGGTGTTACAGAGTTTAGGGCTATTATTTCTACTTACTAGAAACCGTGATAAGTAATTCTCTGACGATTCTTGACCACTTTTTGTAGAGTATATCACAGTTTTTTGATCGCAAAATTGACTATGTGATCACCAACCTGCCAAAAGATCGTTGGCCATTGCAACCTTCACTGTCTCCAGGGTGCTCATCGAAGGAGAATGTTGACCCGAGGTCAGAAAAGTCGCCACTACTATCCACAGGGACGCATCCTTCCTCCACCGTGGAAAACCCACCTTTGGGTGTCACTAGAGGGCGTGCAATGCTGCTTGCCGTTAAAAAGGCATCGAAGCCCTCCGCTGCTTCCTCCGCAACCGACCAATCTGTTCCGGTACATCTGTCCAGCTCAATTAATTGGCGGAATAGGGCTTATTTCCTCACCACTATTATACCCATGTGTATTCAGTCTCATTAATATTAGTGAACATTAACACGAACAAGTAACGAAGAACGGCGTTTGCGTCCAAGATGACATAAATCTCTTATAACTTTAGGGAACTAGACATACTCACGATGTCCTTTTGCGAGCTCAGGAGTTCGGCAGTAAAGTGCTGACAATCGGTGGTGAGTTGGTCGAATTTCCCCGTTTTTGTGGTTTCTCTTATTCGTGATGGGCTAGCCTACTTGGTCTAATTGGTTGTAGTAGTGTACTTCAAAAAGGCGGTGTTCTATTGCAGCATTTTCTTTCTTGTTTAAGCGTTCCTTCCAATTTTAGTTGTAAGAAAGTGGATACGAGCACTTCCTGAGGATGTGAAAATGCAACTGGAGGTAATGAAGTTAGGCTGTAGTGTGGCACTTTTCTGATAAAGCCGATTTTAACTTTTGCCTAATTCGTGTTTGATCTCGTCAGATTAGTTTTTCATGATGTTAAGTAAATCTACGAGTTAACTGGAGTTCCAGGCCTCTTCGGAATACATTTGTGTTTAATTTTGTGCTCGTTCGACAGTAGTAGTCACTCACTCGCTAGTGTTCTAGAAGTGCACCGAGCAATTCTCATCGACTTGTCCTCTTAGTGCAAAATCCACCCCGAACAACTCATCAGGTATCTCTTGTGCAGTTCAATCCACTCTAATGACTTCTGTTTCATAATGGACTATAGCTCGATCTCCCGGAGTAGGTATCGATAATTACCGGTTCTCTATCCACTCCTATCTGTCAAAATTCTAGATCGGCGAGAGTTTCTTCTTTGATAGCGACACAACCCCAGAACAAGGCGATCCGGAACTCGACCGTTTATGGCTCTGTAAGCTTACTCAATTTTTTGATTTTTCCTGTGTATAATTATTAGCCCGTCGTCAGACTGGGGCTTTATTTAATGAAAGAGCTCTAATTGGTTTTCACATTGGAATTCTCTAGCATTGCTCTAGGAAATATAGCGTATGAAATTAGTGCTCTTAAGACAGTATAAGGAATGGTTTGAAATATCGGTGAATTTTCCCCAGCTTTGGTTATTATTGGATACTGCTTCGGGTCCTAACTATCCATTTATGATAACGTGAGAACCATTCTTGCCTTTGATTTTGTCTACTTTTATAGGCACCACCTGCTTTATGCTGAAAGAACAGTTATGCAATGAAACTGCTGTTCTTTGGCATTTCAGTGAGACCTTTGGCGCGCCCATGCATCAAAATAGTTGACTTAAAGGCACGAACACGGCCAAATTATATGGAGAATACGAATTACATGGAGTGCCTCTGGCGATCCTTCATGGGTTCTCCATCTGCAGCGGCATCCTCCGTAAAGACCCCTGCTCTTCACGACGCTCCACAAACACCCACCACTCCTGCCGGCACCTGCACGACTCCTCAGGCCAGTGTTGAACTCCCTCCCTCTACCAATGTTTTTACTTCTCAGCGCACCACTGGGCCGTCCAAACGCGACCCCGGGGCCAAGGACTCCCCGGGAGTGTCCCTTATTCGATCTAGCTACAGAGGATTCTCCTCTTGCAAGCGTCGGAAGATTTCGTGAGTGCTCCTTCGTTGGCACCATTTTGTGCTTAATTTATGGCTTCTCGTCATTGTCTTTATTCATACACTTCGTAGAACCAAACGGTCTCGAGGGGCTCTTGCAGAGCCCTCGGGATATTGCGAATGCTGTTCGTCCCACTTCAACAATCTGTATGCGGTAAGCAACCTTACCCTTACTTTTTTGGTGGTTTTGCCTTAGCTTTATGTTCATTAGTCTTGCTTAATTTGTTGTACGGTCTCGTTCAAAAAATGACGATTTCAATACATCAGTTAATGGGGTCTTTTTATACTCAATCACCTTAACACGTTCACTACTACCGTCACAGATATGTGACATGTTTTTGAATTGGTTTGTGATAAATAGCTCCATTAAATCTTACTCCTTAAACAGGTAGGTCGAGCCTAGGATAATAAATAGAAGAAGGATGACGATCCGCGGATAATTGCATTGTTAGTTGCGGGGCAGCAGTGGAATGGGTCGCTCCGGTTGTGCAAACGTGGATGTCATAGTAGAACGCTAAAAAATTCTCATAAACTGTGCTGGTTGGTCTTCTCTTGAAAATCTGGTAGCGAACGTATTGACATGATTGAGCATTGGTTAACATTACTAAATCACCAGGCTAGCTCGCTCATTTCGTTCGTGTATTTGCGTATTTTGACGTTCTTGTGCCTCATTTCATCGTTATTTATGCCGATTAACCTAGCTATTTTGGATTTTCGTACTGTCCTAGTTTGGGAGTTGTCGTGTATCTCGGTGTTTGTGGGTAAACTTTGCGGTAAATTCATAACAGCACTTCATTCTTGATTGGGAGGTGTCGACTTTCTTTTCGCTAACACCGTCTCAAAGGCGCCCTCTATTAACTAAATGCGAACTCATTTGATTCGTAATTATTCAATTATGTTAATTTTTCTAGGCCTTGACGCTTTGATCAATTTTTTAACGTATGCCATGATTCTCGTAACTCTAGTCGCATTAGGACAAAAAGGCTTGAATAAAGGCACTCCTGTTTTAATCACTTCCCACTCGTGCCCTTCCAGCATGTCACCGGAACGTACCACATGAATTACGCGGAAAATGCGGAAAACTTTCGTCAGCTTGATCAGCTTCTCTCTGAACTGCCGTCGATAAAGGAGGTATTGGCAAAGGCTCGAGGCGCCAAAGTCCTAAACATAGCTCCGCCTCCCGATGCAGATGCTCCAGCTTCTCCGAGCAGACAGGCTCAGAAGACGACGCTGCAACCAACCCAAGCTGCTCACGAGTAATCCTCAATATGCTGCTGCTCTTGCTATTGTGTTGAAGACACATTGCTTCAGAGATAGTTGATGCTGTTTTCAGGAGCTTTCCCACGCTAATATTGTGTTTAAAGGCTAACGAACCCATTTTAAGGGACAAAACTGCGCTTATTTTCCGGTTGAGTCTCCTGTGGCATTTATACACGTTTCAGCTTTTAACGAATGCCTGGAAAACTTTGATATAGGAAGCCGGCTTCACTTCGTTATCGGTGTCTTTGTACCGAGTATGGACCAACTTCGAAGTTACGGGTGTTTGTGAGTGTTTGTGTTGTCGATTCTACCATGAAGCGTTTGTTGTGTACTTTCGGCACACGACAGGGATTGCCATTTATAAAACTTGAGTATACTCTTTACAACCAAAGCAGAGCCTTAGCTTTGAGTTACTTACAACTTTTTAGGTCAATTGACGATGCCGTGATGGATTTCAATGCCCTTCCACCTCTACCCACACCCTCTATTCCACAAGACCGCGAAGTGAGGGACATTTCCGCCTCACAGCTCTTCAGCGAAAGTGGTGAACGCAGTGACATTGGTATTATGGGTAATCTGCCTTCTTCGCTGATTGTTAGTGAAGCGCCTCCGACACTCCAGTCCATATCGATTAATGCTCCTGCCACCTATTCGTCCCTACTCCCTCCGCTTCCACTGTCACCTTCCGTCGCTCCTGTGCAGCACTCAGAACAGACTACTATAATGCCTTTTCTAGGAGGTTTTGCAGACGGAGGTGAATTCGACTTCTCCGATTCCGTTCACTACCCTCCTCCTAATTTCCCACCGCTCTTATCATCCCCTCATGGTATGCTAAAGTGCCCCCTAATCATTAAAATTTAAAGAGGTTACAAGAAAGTTGACAGGGGATGCAAATAATTTTCTGTAGCTTTTGGAGTTGGAAACGGGCAAAGGTAGGATTAGTAACTGTCCAATCAACTCATTCAATACAGTGCTCATATATTGTAAACTTAATTCTCTGAATATCTTTAATTTCAGAGGTGTTTCTTTTGCACTATCTGATTTTTGACAGTAGCGAGTTCCTATACCCAATTCTCCCATGCAAGACCTATGTCGCATCCTTGCATTTCCATTGGGGATAGGAGATTTGTGTCCTTCTAAAAGTCTACGCCATTATTACTCCTAATCGTGTCCTTTGCTATCTTCAGCTCTTCCTCAGCCCGCGGCCACCTTAGATTTGTCTTTTGAGTCCACCTGCCGGCCACTTTATCTCCCCAGGGGACCTCCGAACCTTCACTCAGTTCTCCACAGATCACAAGCACCCATCCTTCGGGAGCCAGCTCCATCATTGACTTCGATGGGGCTACCGATGACGCCTCCACGGATCGGTACCTGTACTGTGCAAGAGATCATCAGTTCCGTCGTCATTTCATCGCCACCAAATGACCCATCGGCTGCTTCATTGCCACCACCACGAAGGGACACCTCGCCAGTACTCAAGAAGCGCTTCAGAAAATGCACTAAATGCCAATGCGTTCATGTGCCCACTGAAGTGCCAATACAGCTGAGGTTACAGGTGAGTTTTCGCTCTCCACTGTTCTCCGGAAGGAAAAGGTCGAGGAGTGAAGTCTCTGAATTATTGTTAGCATATGCGCGTGCGTGTGTGAACCTCTGGTGCATCTAACGAGACTCTCCCCCCACTACATTTGTGTGTATTTGTTGCCTCTTGCAGTGCGGAGGAGCCTCACCCGACCGCACTAGAGACACGCAGACACGTCCCTTGCCGCCACCATGCTCCCACTTTCTGTTGCCTCAACGGAGCCGTGCACAGCCAAGCAAGCGTACTAGAGGCATCGCACAAAAGACTAGACCCAAGCCCTCATTCCCCTGTGCCGTTTGTGGAAGTAATGTGACCTACAAGGTTTGGAGTGTGCTCTGCTCCACCTGCGGTCTCTGGGTTCACGCCAACTGCTCGAAAATGAATCCGGTGCAGATTCGAAAACTGCCGCAGTCACACTCTTGGATATGCCCCACCTGTCATGTCCGCTAGGATGTCTTTATCCCTGCATTTTGTACTCACGCACGCGTATTTAAATCCCTATTTTGCGCCGACACCATTCTCGGTTATGCTGTTGTCGAAAGGGTAGCAACCTCGGGAATTCACGCATAGTTATTTCCTGTAGAAGTAACCTCCATTAGAGTGTATGTTAGATTTTAACTCTCATCTGTCTGTGCTAGACTGCAATGCACTAAGTATTATGAGCTTCATTGTCTGAATCACTAGTTTTCCACAGTGATGCTTCAACTCATTTGTCAGCAAACTTTGAAGGACATAAAGTGACTAGATCTTTTGTTTTGGAGTGAGCCCATGAGTCGTTATCAGCTGCTGTGGGGTCGAAAACGGTGTGATTTGGCCTAAAGCCTCTGTGACTGGCATGGTGGACACGCAATTTATTAACATGCTCGCCACTAGCGTCACACGCGCTGCCCCTATATGCAGCATGTTTTTATCAGTTTATGGTGGGTGACTACATCGAATTGTGCCGCAGTTTTGTTAACGATAAGGCAATAAACGGAAGTTAGGGTTTCTTTGATCTGGGGGTGGTAGGGTTTTTAGTCTTAGCAAAGGTTTATTATGCCAAAAAGTGGATGTCAACTCATATCACGGATCAGTGCAACGCTCCGTGTGACGTTTGGTGTCCCTCTGGAGTCTTTTGGTAGTGAACGTGTTAAAGACCTCCAGGAAATGTTTAGCGGTTGCGATTCTTTATTTCACTTGAAATGCCAATACTATTGAAATTACCCTGCTCGTTTGGGTCTTCCAACGTTAGCTTGAGATGAATGTCTTTGTCAATGTTTTTGCCGAATACACTAAACAGATAGGTCTTGCTCACAGTCATTTCGGGATCCTAGCACCATCGCATTACGTGTCTCCAAGTACAGCTAAATATGGAAAACTAGCTGTTAATAAATTATCTGTTTTTCCTTCAGATGATGGCGCTCTTCGGGTCCTTAGCAACGTTAGATGATTTCTGTCCCAGACTTTCCCCCCTCACCGTCATTCCCGCACCCTTTGATCCGGCCGAAGAGGGTGGAGGTCCCGCTTTCTCCAACGAAGAACCTAAGTGCACGCTTCTGTCATCTAGTATAGTCTCCTCATGGAACAACATCCCGTCGAGGGGTCGACCAATTGACTCAAAAGCCGTCAACCAGGGTAATACGTGTATGTCCGCACAGTCACCTATTCTTTTGGAGGCCGATCCCGTGGATCTTGATGCGCTTTCCAACGATCAGGACTTCCAGCCTCCAATGATTAAGATTTCTTCTGGTGATGAGGGGCGTGTTGAAGATGTTGTCCAACGATCTCCTCCTCTGGTGGATGATACAGAAAATCTCCCCTTGGTAGTTGTTGATCAAGAACATGACTTCCCAAGATCTCCGGTTCTGCTCGATGAATCGATGAGTTCCATTAGGATACATGATGAACCTGCTTTAGTCAAGCCAATTATAATCTCTCCAGATAATAGTGAGGAAGCAGAGGAGGGAGTTAGTGAAGATACTCCAGGCGAAAATCAAACAACGACAGCGGAATCTGTTAACAGGGTAGCTTCTCCGCTTGAACAGTCGATTGGAGGCGTTCAGGATGGTGACAGATACCTCCAACCTATCATTTTAAGTAACCGTAGCGATTCTCCCACCAATCGGACGAGGCAAAGAAGAAAAATAAAGACAAGAAGACGTACTACAGAACCAGTTGGTAGAGGGAGCGGCAATGTCTTTTCGTTTGGAAGCTACGAGGACCTAGAGCCTAATTTTGAGACTGGTGTAAGTGATTACGTATTCGGTCGCAACGCGAATTTTTCTGTTTTTACCCAGGACGGTAAACTTGGTTGATGACGATGGGTGTCAGACTGAGGTAGAAGTGCTCCATGTACTGTTCAATATGACATCTTTGTAAATATTGCCTTTTTGTGAACATTGATCTTTACGTCTTTGGTGAAGTTTATTAAAATCAAGAATCATAAGTATACTAAAACCCTACAGTAAATCCATCAGTAATAATTATTTAAGGGCGTAATCAAATCCACAAAGTGCTCTTTGAAAACACCGCGTGCATGTCTGCTTACAGCCCAACTCGGGAGCGACGCAACGCGTGTCTGAGCAATCCTTGGTCGACAGTGGGGCGACGGCGGTGTCGGGACTGCCCAGTCCTCTGCTTCGCCCCGTCCTCAGTCCCGAAGTGACTTGTCTCGCAGCACCGCGTCAGCAAGACCATTTACCTCGCAGGGCCTCCCTCGTGGCTCGCGAATCCATCAACCTCTCCCTGCAGGCTCTCTACACTCCAATTAAATTCGGCTCCGATAGATTATTTTGCTTCAATCCTGATGCGGAGAGCGCCTCGCAGGTGCGGCAGGGGATCTGATCTCTTAAAATGAGGGGCAGGGGAATGGATATTTAAGTGGGTGGATTGCTGGACTTGAGATGGGTGAATGAATGGGCATTTTAATGAGTAGGCAGATTGGAGCAGCCTCAATGATTGGACGAATAGGCGGGTGGGTGGATGTACAGAACCCCAGATGAATGGATGTTGGAATCCGAATGGATGGGTAGGAAATGGCTGCGTTTTTTGGTTAGAGATAGGTGACTGGATGAATGTACGGACGGGTAAATGGAGTCTGGGATGGATGGCCGGCTAAGTGAATAAATGGATCGTTTTTTCGATGGGTGAATGAATAGTCTGTAGTCGTAGAGCGTGATCTTCGTGCATATTATCTTACCCTAGTCATCCTCTCCAAGGCGCAATGAGTAATCTCTATCGCTGCTCCAGTGTGTTTGTCTACAGGGGAGGTTTCGTCTGTTTTAGGTCGCCTCCGAGAGGTCACTTGATGCATACAACAGCGACGGCTCGTCTAATCTCTTTCGCCGGATAAAAGAGGAATCCCAATCTGACGCAGAGCCTGTCCCCTCTCTTGCCTCCGAGGCCATTCCTCCCAGTCGTGCCTCCCTGGTTTCGGGACCCTCAAGTAAAAGAGGGGAGAAGGAAAAGGTAATGAAACAAAAAAGACGTCTCTCCTAAGTAGCCCATTGACTTACTTTTGTGTAAAGCAGTTTGAGGCTTTCCTAAACTTTTGAGCTATATGAAGATGGGTTATTATTCATTCCCCATTTCAAGTCATGTTAGAGGTTTCTTGCATTATCCATACCGGAACAGATGAATCCTGTTAATCGGGACCATGTATGCCATTTTAGGTTGCCATTGAAAAGGCAGAAGAAACTGCGATTACATCAGCAAGAAAGAAGCAGGAGCAAAAACGCAACCGTCTCTCTCCACAGACGGTAAGAGTCATATGGTAGACTGAGACGCCTTGCCATGTTTATGATCTTTGTTGCAACTGCAATTGGCAACTCGTCTAGGTCAGTGTCGAACCACTAAATAACTGTCAAACCTTGTGATTGTAAGTAGGCTCCATTTTTATTCCGTGATACTCTGTTTAGCAATGGTGAAACGCAACGTCGCCACCGTTAAAGTGCTTTCTTCCATCTCGATAATTTGGTTCCAACAGTCGAGACCCGATGTAAGCTTCTCCTGGTCTCGCAATATTGTAATTGCTCGTCTTGAAAGAGTAATGGTGACTCGATAGTTGTGGACGAAGAAACAATAACTTTGAATTCTCTTCCGTCTGGTGAACTTGAAACTTATCTGTAAGAGTATGTGCCTTCAAGATGGAACGACTGTTCGGCATAGGAAGTTTAGCGCATGAGTGGAAAAAAATGCTGTATTTGGATTAGTAATATTGGCTATCAATGAAGGTGAAGCAAATCATTTGCTAAATCTTTCCCAAATGGGCCCACAAAAAATTACTTCGACATATGCTTTGAGGGTTGAAAAACAGTTTCTCCAGGTGCTCATTGCAGTGGAACGGATTACCTTTCCTCACAGTGGGTCTTTCTTGCTTTCATCGCGGTCGTTTGGGCTACCTTTATCCATGCCACAAATCAGATCAATTTTTTAAAAAATGATAGCGAATTATCCTTCGTTTTTTTCTTCCAGAGTGATAGCGACGTGCCCCCCCAACCGAGGAAGAGACGGAGGCGGCTACGCATCGGCGTTAAGTCCTCGTGCGACTCCACACATCCACAAGTGGTATGACTATACCTTACACAATACTCTTTGAACAACAAGGGAGCAAAAAACCAGTAAAGTCCTCTGTAAACTTCACCATTTGCGCTAGTCTCGTGTTTTCGTCTATAACACTTTCTTGTTTGAGATTACAGTCGGAATGTTTCGTACCTATTTCGGCATCATGTTTTGAGTACTTACACCCTAAAACTGCCTAATTAGGACCTAATTTGATTCCTTTCTTGTCTGCTACTTTTCTAATTTTTATTTTCTTTCGTTGAATAGGCATTATTCACGTCCTAGCCGACCCCTATCGACGCCCCGAAGAAAAGCAGGCCTTGCAATATGGTTAAAAAGGAGCTGTTAAGGCAAGAACATAGGGACAGACATTGCGCATCTCGTCACCTCGCGGTTTTTATCACTAATTTTTTTGAATACCCTGTCACTCCTTCAGTGTAGTATTTTGTGGGTAAAAGTTGCTTTTTTATGGAAACTAATTTCGGTGACTTTTTAGCAGCCTTAACGGTGCATGGGCCTTGTCTGTATAGTTCTTGATTGACTTTCGCCTTTTATCATCGTGTGGATCCATGCTCAGGGAAGACTTTATGAAATCTGAACTGTCGTAGTTTGGGGGAAACCCATCGGATGTCAGGGGTCTATTCGACTGCATAACTTCCCCCACCAGGTGCCACCGCAAAAAAACGGTTCCATATCCGGGGAAATACGATTTCCCTCCGTTTCTTCCCTTTTGTGAAGTTTGTTTCACAGCTGCAAAATTGGACTCTCACTCTTAAATCCCTAGGTACTCGAGGAATTGCGTTCTCAATTGTACTGATGCGGGCTTCTTCCTCATATCTTTCGTGAAAGCGCTCATCTTTTTGATCACAGTCGACCGAGAGGATGTGATGGGGGCCATCACACATTGCCAGCACGATTGATTTTAAAGAACAACCATGCTGTTATTAACTTCTCTGGCACTTCAAAGGGTTACAAGTGTTGCTAATGAGCTAATTTCTCCATCACAAACTGGTTCATCGAAAGAAGTAGTTACTCAGACCGTCTACGTCAGTTTTTTCTCCACCGTACCTCCACCCAACCGTTTCAAAGTCAAAAATCCTACTGAAATGTTAGCATTGGATACTGCAAGTACCCCTACTATGAGGTTTTGATATGGCTTGGGGAAAGGGTTTACGATTAGCATAGATGAAGTGATCTTGGAATTTACTAGGTGTTAACTCGTCTGTATCCACAGACGCATTAAACGGACTTATTCAAGGCGGTAGCTTTGCGGCACGGTGGTTTCTGAAACAAACTTGTTCAAGTTACGGTCTGATACTTCGAACCCGCTTGCAGAACGGAGGAAATTGTTTGAACGATCTTAGTGTGTAAATTATCCAAATACTTCGGAAATGCGTTATATTTGATCCAAATTCCTGATTTGCTACGAAAAGCCCATTCTAGAAAACACTCACTTGACAGTACAATGAGCATTGCGAAATCCCATTTTCAAATTATGCTGATTTCACACTTGTTGTTTCAATGACCCACAAAATGAGACCACAGTGGTTGTATAAGCCCAGACACTAGCCACGTGGTAGCATGACCTCCTCAGGATCGATAAACCCGGGGAGGTACGGTGTCCAAGAGGGCGGCAACGAGGTGAAATCCAACGAGGATGGGATCCAAATCAAAGTCTGCCAAGGACAAGGGGAGTAAAGGGAAGAGTAAAGGGAGCAGGGATAGTAAAGGAAAGAATAGCAAGGAAAGCAAGGGCAAGGGGAAAGGCAAAGGGGGCGATGGTGCCAAGAGTAAATGCAACCTCATTCCTGTACCCTTCGAGTACGTGCGACCGCCAACACCACCACCGCCGCCAGAACCGCCTAAACCCACTCTCCTCTCCTTTATGCGACGCCAGATCTGGTACCCCTACGCAAGTCAACCCACTCTGGAGTATCGTGAGTTCGCATGGTCCCCCACCGTTCCTCTCTGCACCAGCTGGGGAGATGTGTGGGTCTCCGAACTCCCTTTCCGTCGGATTTCGCGCTACAAATACGAGCCAGCGAGCAACAAGTTGGTCTCTTTGGGCAACCCAGTTATCACCAAGGGTGAACCAAAGATGATGATTGAAGTGCCGCTTACCGGCCGAATTGCAGTACTTTTGAACTGTCCAACAGCTAAAAGCAACGCCGTTGTCTTCTACAACCCAGAAACCTTTGAAGAGGAGCATAAAATTGAGTTTCCCTATAATGCCGTAGACCCAGCTACGATCCCGACAACCGTAGATTCGGACACTAACAAACCCCTGCTTCGTGGGTTTGACCTCTTAGATGAATCTACACCTTATGGGATCTGTGCTAACAAAGACTCCATCTGCATTTTGTTCGATCCTCTCCAAAAGATGCAGTTCCTTTGTTCACACACATACGGGCCTCAGGATTTCCAATTAGAAAATTACTTCACTGACGAGAAAGCATGTATCCATTTAGCTGCCTCTGGAGGCTGTGCCATGTCAAATGACCTGCTGTTTGTTGCAGCCACCCGTCCAAACCGAATTCAAGCTTTCCACCTCCACTACTGCCGCGTGTACCGCCGAATTGATGTAATCAAAGTTGTCCTCTTCGCCAACTTCGGTATCGATCGCTTCTCTTTTGGCGAGCCATTCGGTGTTCAGATTGATAGTCTAGGTTTGTTGGTGGCAAATGACTCTAAAGTAGGTGTATTCCACGTATACAACGTCAATAAGCTGCCAAAAGGCCCATGTCTTCCTTCCTTGCCCAATGGGGAGACTTGCTATATGGGATCCTGGAAGATTAATGCTTTTCGGCGCGTCCGTCCGGGCTACTTCTCCCTGGCCAATAATGGGACAGCAGCGATTGTGGATCGTCATAAAAACTCCCTCCTTCTACTAGGTGATCAGTCCGTGATGCGGTGGTACGACGACACCTTCCTCTGCTTGGAGAACGTGCTCCTTCGACCTGTCGTGGATCCGCTAATGCCACAACTGGGTGAACCACCGATGCAGGATAGTATCTGCATCTGCTCTTTGGAAGATAAGTGGAAACCGATTCCACCAGAGGAACTCCTTCCTGAGTCTTGGGTGAAGAAGTTCTCCCGAGAGGAAGACCTTCCCAAAGAGGCCGAAGAGGGACCAGATTCAAAGTCGTCCAAGAAGAAGGGTTCAAAGGGATCTAAGGCCTCGAAAGGCTCAAAGGGAGGGAAAGGAAAGGCTTCAAAGGGCTCTAAAGGGAAGAAAAAGAGGTAGAATAAGGTGGGTACCTTCATGTATCGTCGCTATATCAGTGGCTGGGGATACTTCAATAAATCATTTGTCGATTCCGAATTTGACACTTGAACATTTGCACTAGTTTGATTAAGTAGCAAGGGATAAACTCAATTTTGAGCTACAGTTAATAATTGGAACTAGCTTTAGCAGACTCCAGAACTTTTTTATTTGGCGAGTCAAGATGGTCTTATCTTCCATAATCATCGTTTCATCTTCGCAATCAGTAGGATTATAAGCGTATTCTGGAGTCATAGCATCAAAGAATAACTCCGCCCTGTTTATTCAGTGGCTTACAAATTCTGAACACCAGAACGTAATTTCAAATTCTTTGAGTGTTCAGTGGGATACACAAATTTGAGGAAACCATCCCGATCAAACGTCTCCACAACTAGCAGTGTCTATGGTTCGTGGGTGATTATACTTCAGTTAAGTGGATAATAAACGCTACTGTTGATTGCAAGAGCCGTTGAAGACCCTAATACCCTACAAACATAATCGTTACAATACACTGCGCTCTAAGTCCATTCATTGCCTTTCGAGGTATTAAAACAATGTTCTCAGTTAGTAAATGAGAAAGATATGACTGCTACGAATCTACGTGAATCGCAACAACATAACCTTGACCCAAGAGCCATCTAGTTGCATTTATTGTTGTGGCACTCTAATGAATGTCAAACGCCGCATTAGTTGGCTGCATATTCGGATTTGTAAAGTCCAAAGGAATACACAAATTACGCTGCTGAGAGTACCAATTACGAATACCAACACGACTGTGTAGCGACCAATGCTGGCAAGTCATTGGTTTACAGAAGGTGAAAAATCGGAAACCAACTGGTCGCAACAAAGTAGTATTTCCTTGTACAGCTTCAACAGAGACGAGATTACACAGTAGGCATTGATAATAATCAAAAAGCATCCATTTTGACAGAACAAAAACCCACGGACTCCCCACTCCGCTAGCAAACAACCACGATAGCCAGTACCTACCTAGCAGCTACTTTTGCAATAAAAGGAGCTAGAACTTCCTCGAAAGCCAAAATACAATTGAATACACTTAGTAACAAAGAACTAAGCTACTTCAAAGCTGCACGTTACCAGTAGCCATCTCTTGTGATATGTACAAGCCACAACTTATAAGAGGTAGCTCCGTTTACTTAGATCAAATAATCTCGAATTAGTGATAAGTGCAAATATCATGCCTTTTCATTCAGACGAATTGTGAGAGGCCAAAATGACCCCAGATAGGAGGGATGAGAATGGAAAAGTAGGGGTGGTGTTTAGACAAAGTCCAGGAGGTATCGATTGATGTCGATGTTAACAGACTTGGCGACTGCCCGTGCTGTCTCGAGGTTGAGGAGGCAGCGATAGCGTGGGTTGAATAGAGGGTCCTCGGAGTAACCAGCAGACTCACCGGCAAGGGCTAAAGTACCGACACCCCCGCTACCCGCAGCTACCGCACTCGACGCCGCTGCCAGTAACCCCAGACCGCACAGCCCTCCCACCCAGCCCAATAGTAGACTCGTCAGCGCCGGCACCGGTGCAGAACCCGCACCTTCCTCGGCGCCTTCTAGGTTGAGGAGCGCATAGAAGATCGCCAGCAACCGGTCTAGGGGGAAGAGACGAGGGCCGTAGAGGTGGCAGTTGGTCTAGACAAGGTCACATTCATTTAGAATGTTGAGCTTTAGCACCTTCAAATAAATCAATCAATGTCACATATTGATCAAGGGTAAAATTGGAGCATTTAACGATAGGATAAAGTATAAAGGCGTATTTACTATTAGGTGTCTGCCACATAATAACGGGACATTGGAAAAATTAAAAGAATCACTAGTGAATACAATCACCTCGGACGCTGCCGTATTCTGCCTCACATCTGGCGCATCACTAGGTCAGCAGTAAAGTATTTTCTTAGAACATGTAAGAAAACGGATTAAGCACAATTACACCGATCTAATGCGGCCTGATTCTGTCTGTAAAGCAGGGGCAAAAACACCACAGTTGATCCTGATATGGCATAAAGGCACTGTTGGATAGTCATGATGGTTGAAGTCAATGATGACCATTACTGAGGCGCACTCTGATACTAATAATTCGAAACAATCGAAAAGTTATTCACCATAGCTGATGCAACGTCGAGGTTGAAAGCACTGTGGCATGTAAATAGGCACCAATTAGTTGGGGGCCAAAATAAAGGTGAAAACTTACATGCTCAACTTTCTTTTCATAATGTTTACTTCTGGAGGACATTTTCCCGGTATTCTAAAATAAGAACCGACGAAAATAGAGCCATCTCGTGATGACTGAATAAAACTCAAACACATCCATGTACCTTGACAAGGAAGCGTTTGTCTGACTTCTTGGGATTGTAGGAGGCAATATAGGCGGCAAGTAGGAGGTAGCGGGGGTAGAGAGGCAGCTCTAGCGCATACAAATTTGTCTGCACCGGCCGGATCTCAGCGCAAGATTTGCCTAGGTCAGAGGACTGAGTATCGTCATACTGGGGTCGCAAGTATATGGTCGACAGGGAGCGCTTGAGTGTTGGCAATGCGTAGTGATATTGACCCCACTCATCATCTGCTGCCACCAGCCCACGCGCAACCGGCTCGTCGAACGCCTTCCAATTGAACTGAAGGGAACAAATAACGAGATGACAACCTTCCAACATGAGCTTCCTTACCTACCTGGGCCAAGAAGAGCAGTTCATTGGTGTTCCGAGTGACAGGCAGACAAACAGTTAGAAGGATGTCGATGAATCTCGCGTAGCGGGGTGAATCGACGGGTGCAGCCTTAATGAGGATCTGTGCCAGCTGTTCGCGGGTGTACGCCTTCAAGTAAAGACACGTGGGCTCGGAGGCAAAGGTCCCTGAGTAGAATTTGTCCCATGAGCATGATGTGAGGAGTACGGTCACTATGCTCGATGCCATAACACCTGGGTACACGATACGCGTGTGGTCACGCACCAGGGAGTTAAGGGTCACCATAATGGGGAGTACATTGTCGGATAAATCACGAAGTTTCTCGGCTTGATGAAGTATGATACAAAACGTGGCTAAAAACTGCATGAGAATAAAAAAGTTCATTTACCACAATCCTCATTTTTCGAGATTTTATGAAAGAGTTCACACGCATTTTCAATGAACGAGGCCGCACTATCACACCTCAGATCGAATTCTAAATGAGCAGGGAGGAAACGATGTTTGAATTCGTGCAGAATGAGATCGAAGAGACGGAAACCGCGAGATGGCAGTCCTGCGCCAGTTACTTTGTAAGGGCAGACCTCCAAGCAGCTAACGTCTATGTAACGAAAGCTGCTGTTGGTTTTAGCACAAGTTAGAAGAACAGAACGAGCTAGATTAGACTTCCCGCATCCTGGTGGTCCAGAAATCACTACACACGGTGAAACGGGCACATCCTTTCAATGGAAATAGAGTAGAAGTTGTTTTATTTGGAGGGGTATTAGAACTAAACGAGCTCAAAAGCAAGCCTAATTACAGGATGGTTCGCCACGAACTGTAGGGAGGCTTTTGATGTTACGGCTATGCAAATCAAATTGACGTATCAAAACAGCACTGCGCACATGAGGGATTAGACATTATCAAAGAGCGTTATGTGGGATGTACGGTTTTATATAAAAGTGGTTCGACAGACCAGCGCTTTTGCACAACCCTTATTGGAAAGTGTAGAAAAGTGTAAGAACTCGTATGCATAAAACCAGACAGCTGTATATGGTAAATTCGCGCATTCGACTCACAAATCAGCAACAAACGTGAGCACCATGATATACTTTTATATTTACCTTCCCTATAACCGAAGTCAGAAAATCGAATTCTTCCTCTCTAGCAACTGGTTTTTGGGGGAGTGTATTGTCCATGAGCGCTTATTATACGGAAGAGTAAAATTGTTAGCCGAAACCCAGGTCAAGCCCCCTAACTCCTATTGGCAGTGATTCGAATCCATAATTAGCGCAATTTACAAGCGTGTGTTATATCAAACATGACGAATAAAACACTATAAAATTAGTTAATACAATAAGGACTCATTGTTCGATTCAATTTTAACAGGTTAAACAATTTTTGGGTTAGCCGCAGAAGTGCAGCGTGTGGAAATTGAAGTGCCCTCAGTTCAAAAAGCATCGATTCAACACATAACTGCTAGGAATATGAAGGGACACTGTTTGTCCACCTGACCCATGTATGTATACCCCACAATCTGCATGCATTATACCCCATATTTTTAAATATTCTCTATTACAGGTGTTTTCCATCATTTAAGTCCGCTTTTGAGTCATTTTTAAATCCCCTTGTAGAACACGAGGTTGGGGCAGTCGCAAAAGGTTTACTCGACTTCAAGCGTATCTTCACAGGCTTAGCCTTCCACAACGCGTATACCTTTTCCGTAACAGTAAGATCAGCATCAATTTCGTTTATCAACGCCATTAATGTGGCACAATGGGTCCTCCCGAAATCACGACAAGCAGCACCAAGGACGATGAGCCAAAATGACTTTGCCTCAAATGTGGATTCTACTTTGCACCCCGGAGAAATGAAATCCTTCTCACTTTTAGGGGTGGCCAAGTGCATTTCACTCCCATCTTAATTTCTCCTACTTCTGCAATCTCCACTTATCTCCTGCTCGTATACCGTACTTAATCCGCGTACATACGATTCAGGCGACTTTTGCTTTGACTTTTTAAGTCCTGAGAAAACGATCACAAGTACCCCACCGCCTAATTGTTATGGCAATATTGCATGACTTCAACCAGAACACATCTTTGGGATGGAACAACTACGCCGTCTAAATGGACAATGGAAGCTCATATTTACCTGCCCCAAAAAGGGAAGGGAAGGAATTTGCGGTGACCATGATGACATTTATTTGCTTAATTACTTAACAAGAAAAAAGGACAGGGGAACAGCACGGTGACACACAAAAGCATGCTCATCTCTGCCTCCCACCCCACCCTCCCAGCACACACACATACACACGCAACATGTGGTGGTGTTGGCGATGGTGGTGATGGTGGTATGCAGCAGCGGTGAAAGGGGCATAAGGAGGGGGGGAGGCAGGTCGACCTGGTTGGTATCCTCAGGAGGCGGCGGAGCTCAGCATCATGTTTACCTCCTCAGCGATTGCGGCGAGAACAAGCTCAAATTGGGCCTAAAATCACACACCGCAGATCAGCCAAGATTGATGAACCAAAGAGTAGGTATTATTAGCCCACTGGAGCCATGCGACACTGCAATAAACATTTGCGAAGTTAACTCAAGTGAAGAAATCCTCTTTTTAGGGGGATAAGAATTATCCTAAGCACAATTACAAAGCAGCTAAGCTTGCAGTATGTTTAAGTTTAAAAGGGTCACAAAGTAGAAACGGCTGACGCAGTGCGACGCCCAATTTAGCCCCTTCCAACATGTCGACAAGATAACCTACTTAATCCCACCTGCAGCCTTGACTCATAAGTTACCTTTGATTTGATCATGCCTTGTCGCTGATCCCGAAGATGCTCGAGAGATGCTGCTACGTCCAGCTCCTTGACACCTTTACTGATCCGACTGAGAACCAGATCCAACAACAGATAGGTCCCAGTCTTGCTCGAACCGTCCCTGGAATTGCCGAAGTAGGTGGAATGAACTGACGCAAAACCAACTATACAACACCCCTCAAGGTGAGTGAAGCAGTGGAAAAAGTGGTAATGGTTTTATGATTTAAATTCTTATAATAATGAGGCTCCACCCCCTCGCGAAAACACCGCAAAAGTGACATCATACAGCTTCTAAAGAAGAGATCCGAGCCCCCACTGGAGATAAAAATCTCACATAGTTCACAAAGAAAACAAAGTAAATGGTCGATAGTCCTTTTCAACTGCACACGATAAACCTTTCTTCACATTGCTCAGCTTCGTCAATTGTAATTGGTGAATCAAACATTGTTATAGACAGTCTGCACTAGTGAATGGTGTCGACACAAGGATACTTTACATGAGGCATTCTTGGTACTTTTCGATCACACTGCGAAGCTTAGGGCCCCTAGAAAACTTTCAAAATAAGGAAAAGCATGTCCTGTCATGCTAAATGTCACCAGGATGCATCATCGAGAGTTAATCATACAACCTAAGCTAGTGGAAAATCGGTCTCACGCATCTAGAGAACTTTTAGAGTGAGATCAGTGAAGTGAATTTTGCCACCAACACCTCCATCACATGAGTAGCCATCTTATTTGAGTTTGATAGGACTCATGAAAATCAACACAACGTGGCTCTCACCAGCACTGACCTCGACTTTGTTACACTCCCGGCATTTCACCCAGGTAGCACAGTCAGTGGGCGCAAAATTAGGCGCAAGTAGAGGGAGGTTCCGTTACATCACTCATTCTACCGTTTCATTTACCGACTACGCCAGCTTTAGCCACTAAAATAGCCTTTTTTTACCGAAAGTACCGACTGAATAGACAGCGAACGCGAAGTTGGCAGCAGATTTGCAGTGCCGTGGTTTTCGTATCGCACAAGAGTTGAGTTTCGTTTCACATGTTCATTTTCTCCCACTCGGACTTGTAAGCATATTTAATGAGGGGACATTTCAATGACCCACTTGGGTAGGCAATCAAGCTAAAGACGGCATCTCCTCCTATGAAACCCTATAATCCGTCATGGTAAATTAAAGTGCTGGCGCCAGCAATATAAAAGTGGATTGTTCAGTGTCTCCAGTGTAAGATCTAAGAGACACTTAGTAGCCATAACAACCGCCTTTACATGCATTATTTTCGTGGAGGTACTTTTGTGTTGGTGTAAAGACGAAAGTGTACGAAGTAATTAATGGTCCACTCCATACTTGGTTTATGGACATAAGTATTAGACTCAATTATGCGACGTAAATAACCGTCGAAGAGTCTCGTCCTCCACAGTGCTCATACCTAAAATCCAATGGTAACACAACCAGCAGTAGCAAACTTGTTTCAACTCAATTGTACACAATTTATCTCGAGCGTTTTCGACGTCTAGTCATTTATTTTACTGCCTTGAATTCCATTTAGTGTTTTGAAAGTGAACAATACCAACATAGGCTGTAGAGTACTTAGTAACATCTCACATGGACAACGGAGGCATAAAAGTAGGCGTAAAGTTCGGATATAAAAGTTTTTATGGTAGTTAAAATTTGTGAAAAGCGGGTGCATTTCAAAGGCGTTTGAACTTACCTGCAGTGAACTACCACAGGGCTGTTTTTCGCTCGAAATGACTTATTCACCTTTCTAAAATTGAAAAAAAAAAAACACTATATTGCTTCACGTGAAGAGGGGGTTTCGGCAAAATTCGACGTCCAACCGACATGTTCGTTACCAGGATCTCAAAGCAGAAGGGACCACTACTATCAAGATGATCCATTGCTTTACTACCGACACCAACTTTCGCACTATCGAAGTGGCTAACTCAACTGATGCTCAATAGTTAAAAATGTAAGTGTTTTCAGATCAAAAGGATATTCCACTGTTCTGAACGCAACCAATCTCGAATCAACACAAACGACCATCATAAACCGATGAATACTATCAGAGCAAGGGAGCCTGTTAGTCGAATGGAAACTAAAGAACTGGATGCAGAGTAGAGCCATTGTACCTTCTAAATTCGAGCAAAGTCTTCAACTCGCAGGAGGGCGTGTCCTCAGGCCAACTGAGGAAGTGGAACTGCGTCACCGTGCGTGTCTCACCTGAGTCGCGCTCCTTTAGGTAGAAGGATCGGGTTATGTAGTCGCTGCATTGTCTGTGCTCCGAGACCAGTCGTACCTACGAGAGAGGTAATATGCGCTGTGTCATCGTGCACCTCCCACGTAAGACGTATGAAAATACCTGCTTGTTTTCAAAAGGTAACAAAAGATGCCGGCAAATAGAGATAATTGCCACATCAGTGACTTGAAGTCAGACCTTTCAGATAATTCGTTTTTAAACTCTTGCCTTTGCGAATTTCAAGGCAAAATTGGGAAGTTAAGGGCTTCAGATTTGCTCCTGGAGAAACCCGAAAATTGTAAAAGGAAAAGGGGACTAATCTTAACCTCCAGTCGCCTAAGTAACCCACTTTGAAGAGTAAAATGATTTGCACTACAAAAGCAAGGCAGTGTTTACACAAAAGAGTGTTCTGAGACGAAAAAGCAAAAGCATCACTGACGATGGTTGCAGGTCGCCTGCATAGATCTCTTCCACGTTTGAAATATCCTGCCGGAACAGAAATGGCCGACGTAGGCGAATACATACGATTCTTGGTCCGAAAAATATATTTATCCCCTTATAACCTTTCCAGCTTTCTTCTTTGAGACGTATTGAACGATAGTGAAATGTAGTTTAGGTCTTTTTTCTATACACACAACTCCTCAGGACAGTTGCATAAAAAGGCCTACTTATTCACGATACTTAGATCCCCCATCACCCAGTCAAAATTGGGAGCTACAGGACGTATAGTTGAAGAATGAATCAGACTTCGACTAATTTTGAGAATCAGCGAAATGTTAAGCAGTAGATAAAGTGTAGTGGAAGCAGAAGCATGTATGATCGTGAAAGAAAGAAGCCACCGGTTCCGTCAGCTGCTGGCAGCAATCAGAATCGCCTATTTTTACCGTTGCCCTATAGAGCTTATTGAATAGACGTTAGTCTGGGGTAAGCAGGACGGTGTTGCGTTAAGTATGCAGGTGACCTCACCACATGGGGACAATGAGGTCGCCTACTGTAATGGAATGTTAGATAGCTACGCCTGTGTGGCTGAGAGGTCAGACGCGCTTACAATGAAAATGTGAAATATGGAGAAAAGATTTCGGTGGCCCATTCCTTTCGGTATAAACCCACGGACGATACACTTGACTCAAAAAGGAATGATAGTCGAAGGAAGTAATCGGCTCACAAGTTACAACTTCCTTCTAACTAATATTTTATATCAACAAGTTGGATAAAATTAAAGTGATATCAAATTTCATAACTTTATTTTCCAAGGCTTATTAACTCAACTGTTTTTGTTGCTACACTCATGAACAAATAGAGTTGAGTGCTGATTGGTTAACAAATTGGAACGACTGATTGATTGAACCCTTCCTAAATGTGATCACGTAATGTGGAAGCCAAATGTGGCAGTCCCCCGGGATTCCGTCAAACACCTCCGCTTGAGTCTTCCACCTTTTCCCTCCCATTTTCTTCCACCTTGCATGGCAGCACGTCTTGTTGAGACCACGTGAGAGGTAAAAAACCCATCCAGTTCGCCGAGTTTTCGGGTAAATCCAACAGGCGAATCGTGGCATTTTTCTAGTAACTAGTAGAGGATTGTGAAACCTCGAATAAAAATGCCAATTTAAGGTCAGTACAACTATTATGACGTAGCATTTTAAGGATCACAGGAGGATGCTTTTTTGCGTTATTTTAAAGTGTGTGTTCATATGGGGTATGAAAGTAGTAATGCATCGAAATAACTTTATACATTTAGCTGCTCCTCCCAGCACCACGATATGAGGGAAAAATAAGTTTGCAAATGAGGAGCGTAGACTCAGTGAGATGCGCAAACAAACGAAGGAAGACAACGCCCAGTTAATATGGTAGGAGGCTTAACGATAAAAAAGTAGAGAGTGGGAGTAGTAAATTGGAGGAACACTGCCGCAAGAGAGAAAACCAAGCAAAAAAAGGCTAGTTGGTAGGACATAAGAGCTACTTTTGTCTCTACCTTTTAGTAATAAGTGAAGAACGCATGAACAAGCGGACTGCAACCCAAATGGGACTGAGGATAATCTGCGACAGACAGCAAATGAAGAAGAACTGGGAAGGTGTGGTCCGTTTATACTTTAGTTAATGCAACAACACTTTCAAGTTGCATAATACATTGTGTCCAGACAAATTGATGCGAAGCACGTACATTAAATCTGAAGGTGGGCGGAAGTGCTTCAATAGCGCAAGCAACAACTGATTAAGCGTAGCAAATACGACAACGGAAGAACAATTCACATGTCTGAGGCGCTATAAAAGCACACATGTTGCAGTAACTTCACATAATTAACTTTTAGCATCACGCTCGAGCTTACTGTCACAAATAAGTGACACATGTTATTCGTCGGTTTATGACAATGGGTTAGATTAAATCGCATTGCAAAGAGATTGGTTAAATTTTAGACAACAAAGCAGCTGTGGGATTATGTGCTTATCTAAGGCGTAATAATTACATTCCTTCCGGCTCTTGAAGATGCATTTGAATCGATGGCGAAGTAACAACAATGGACATCATACCAGAACAGTGAGAAAAACGGGGCTATGAAGACCGGTCTTCCTTCCAGACCCTGATAGCGAACGTGTTAATGTACCAATCACTTAAAATTTGACGACAGCTTATTTTTGAACAACTACCATAACATACAAACCAAAAAAGCCAGACAGAACGTCTTGAATTGTCGTTTCAGCTTCTGACAAAGTGCTAATAATTATGTCTGACGGTGGTTGTTTTAGACTTCGCTCGACTCCTTCATCCGACATAAGTACGAAACGCTAGACAATAATCATAAAATCCGACCGCATGATTAGAATAAGTTACTTAGCTTACCTTAATTCCCTCTGTGTCTTTCAAGGCTTAAATTGACCTTAACTTTGTTCTTTTCATAATATTCTCAGGATTTTGCATTTAGTTTAAAAGATACTGGAACAGAGGCTAAGTGGAAGGACTAGCTTGTAGGAAATGCATGCAGACAGACAGGGGAATTGGTGTAATGTTCTCTCTCCAAGGCATGCAGGTCAGGCATGAATCAGTGCTGCAAACTAAAAGCGTGTCATAAACTTGAACACAACTCCCGGAGTTCACTGCCCTGTCCTTGCCTTTACAAATGAAGAAGCTCAAATAAGCGGATGGGGAACCTTGGGGGAAAGGAGACACACATGCCCAGTTCATTCGTCGAAGTGGAAGGCCCAAAAGGGGCCAAATGACAAACAAATCTTGCATATTTTACTTTAAGACAATAATGCGGGAATAGACCCTGTAAACTGTTCTACAGCCTGTCCGAGCATTTGATCAGTAAAGTCAAAAATATCTCCCGGTAAATCAGTCATTACCCACATTACTGAGATATAGGCATGATGATTACAAAACTGTAGACGAAGTCGCCATAATTGACAGTTTTTTTTCTTTCCAAAAAGGAATTAAATATCTACGGCTCACCCTTTGTCAGTAAAAACTAGCTTTTTTTAATGAGCGATGCAAAATTCGTATCAACATTGAATTCCTGCCACCATGAAAAGCTGAAACGATTTATTTATCTATTTACAGTTTCAATAAGCCGTTGTCAAGAAAGCTCCGTTTACTCACGACTAGAATTTGAAGGGAGAAGGGTGAAAAATTCAAAACCAAAGTAGAAGAGGCTCTGAAAGACACTATATCAAACAAGCGAGGCCTACTAAACACCCAAAAGTGTCTACAGTCGTTTTCATAACATCTACACACACTCAAAAAATATTGAAATTAACACCCTTGAACATGGAGGCAATCAGACTCGGCCATTAAGACTGGGGGCAAAATTAATTTACAAATCGCATGAATAAAAAAAGGTAATTGAACGCTTAAAAATAGATGAATTGACTAGTCACAGCACGCACTCGATAGGAAACAAACTGTGAATGAGATGCATTAAGAGCTATTCCTACTAAGTCTGTCTGATAAGGGGTTTCAATGGAGAAGAACGAGGTGAAAATGCATTGTACTGATGGATAACGACAAACTGTGACAAAGTAACTGTAACTCCTTGCCTGAATGAACGAGCAATTCTGTCCGGGTTTTAGGCATGCAATCCTATCTATTTTGTGATGAATCAAACATGGTTATTAAGTAACCAGAAGAATGTACGAACGGCTGAAGCTTAAATTGATGCAGAAAAACACAAATTGATCAATTAATCACAAAGACCTCGTGCTGTTTTGATCGACATGCAAATATTTTGCCACGCTGAATACCGTCAAAGATTCAAGTCGACATCAGGCTCTCAAAACGTGCCTCAGTTAGAATTTCTTTCCTCCAAAAACAGGCAATGCCCATTTCGTTAGACATCCGATAGGAATCACAAACAATGGCAGTTCGCTACATGTTGCCATGAGGAAAACAGAGTAGGCCACTAATGCACAGAAAACTCTGCAATAGGGGTTAATGTTGTCAAAATTTTTTCTTAAAACCAAAACCCTTGTTTCCTGTTTGGTAGAGGGCACAATATAAGCACTTAAGCGTATATGCTACTGACTGACTCCACATCAAACAAGGAAAGAAAACTACATTTAGTTGATTTTGAGTACAAAAATTCATTTCCAGGTTGATATACTTTGCTCAACTACCAAAAATTTGATTTGTTTTACCTAGAAATGAATTTGTCTTATGAGACGAAGCAGGTAGCATACAAACTGGTAGCACCTGTTTCTCAAGCATAGCCAACTCCCAAAACAATGACAAAGCAAGAAGAGTAGACTGAATTGGAAATGTGATTCGGAAAATAAATGCTTACCACTTAATATAAGACGAAACTACTCGTTAATACGTGGGCAAAAAACCCAACTTTCAAAATGAGAGATTAGGCTTTGATACTGCGAGATTCTTTTTGAACACCAACACCGACGTTGTTGGCTTGATCGTGTGTTTGGAGACTTGCATTTATACAAGGGAATGGCTTCTAGACAGCACCAAGCATTGACAAAGGAAACCACGTCAGGTAGATTTGTAGCCGAAAAAAACCATTCTCTGGACCTGAGCATTGGCTGATAGGTGCCAAACCTTGCTAAACCTTAAGATAGCTACCAAAAATTTGATTCCGTTTACCTAAAAGCGAAATCCTTCTATGGGTCAAAAGTAGCAGCTTCTAAACTGACGAAGTTTTATGTTAATGCATTAAAAAGTAAATAGTATAAAAAATAGAAAACGACGCAGTTGAGAATTTTTGCTAAAAAGGGAAGCACTTACCCTTTCTGGTTAAGTGAAAGAATGCTAGCGTTCTTGGAAAATAATGTGAATTAATGTTATTATAAAAACAAGAAAACAACTCTGAAATGGTTCTTAAGTGTAAGCGACTACTCTTCCCGAACCATCACACCAAACAGGCCAAGTCATGTGAAGCTGATTGCCAAAAGATAAACTGAATGCCTCAACAACGAAAATTAGGGCCTCAAAGGCTTCACAAGTGGACCAAAGGAGGGAAGAAGGGGAACGTACTTCGAATTTGCCAAAGATCATGGAGCCCTCCGGAGGCCAGTAGCGAGCCTGAGAGGTGACATCGTCATCGCCCTGTCCGGTGATATTGAAGAGGTCCTCAATGACCTGGGTGAGTGCAGACTCGGGCTCGAGACAGACGATAAGCACAGCAAACTGCTCCCACACCATCTGCCAGAAGTCGCCCACCGTGCTTAGCAACGGCGTTTCTGCCGCAATGTACGAGGGATTCCGTGGGTCATGGTCGTACTGAAGACACGTCAATCAGCAAAACCGTTATTTCCATTAGAAGCATAAGTTAACTTAGAATAACCTACATGGTCTCTCTTGGCTTTTTTTCTCACTAAAGGTCCATCAATTCAACTAAGAAGAAAGCATTGTGGCAAACAAAAAGCCGTGCATTTAAGCCATCTTAAGTTGACTTTATAAAAGCAAGAGTTTGGGTGAAAATGCAAAGGATGATGGAATACTTCACTTTTGACGCTTGGAGTTGCTGCCGCCCTAGCAAATTTCATCCAATTTCCTCATTGGTAATTGTAACAAGGCCACATATTCAACTGGGGCGTTAACTAATCACCGCGAGATCCAACACCATCCAGCCACTCCTGTAGCCTTTCAACCCTTCTCCACCATGATGATACACCTTCCACATTAATATGCCTAGTTAAACCTTCGGAGATGCTTCGAGAAGCAAAAAGCAATCTGTCTATGCAGTGGTTTGAAATATGACACCCTAACTGTATAATATCCAAATTGTCTTCTTCATGTATTATTTTTTATCAAATTTTAGCCTTTACATAGACCATCAAAGCCACAAAATACGCTGCTTTGCTGACTAGCAACTGGCCGGAAGCAGGAGTTCTCTAATAATAGAAAAGTCGCGTTATTTATAGATGTTGCTGTGTGAAATTTTGGAGGCATACTGCGTTGCGAACGTGATTTGTCAATTTATAAAAAGCTCAGATACCAGAGGAGAAAATGACAGCAGATAAAACTCAACAGTCGATTTAGCCAAGAAAACAACCAGTTCTTTCACGGGTTCTTCCGCACAAGTGAGTAAACCTCGTTTTTTGAATGTGAATAACTACTAATTTCCTACTCATTCGCTGAATAGAAACACGGAAATACTTATTTGTAGTCGTGAATGAAGCAAAAAAATTGAACATAAATTAAGGGATTAATTTGAGGAATTTTGTAGCGCTAAGTCAGGCCACATTGGAGGATCAGCATCACCTGGATATACAAAGAATTAATCTAACGCTGAAATACCAAAGGGCTTTCTTTAGTGCACTGGTCGACCAAAGAAATGTCGACTGTCTAAAGACTTCACCCAAAGAGGTGATAATAAATATCCCACCATTAAACTCGCGTTGATGTAACCGTTGCCACGACACGAGAGCATCACCCGCGTTTGCTCATCTAGAAAGGAACAGTGAATAATTCACACAGAAAGGTATTAATTAACCGAGTAACCTATTTCTGCTTCATGTCACTTACTTAGCTTTCTGTAAACTCCAGCCACTCTAAATCTACTTTCAAAAATAGCCTCTTTATTTCGGCAGTGTCAAAACAAGCTCGTCTTCTCGACTAAGCCCCGACGGGAGTAGCAGTCACATAGGGGAGGGACAATGTTTGCCTTTTATTAGGAAATTTCCTTACTAGAAGAAGGTATTTTACTACGAATTTCGAGAAAACGAAGAAAAATCATTCCGTGTGAAACGGTACTGGTAAAAAACAAATTTCAATTCGAGTTTTATGCTGATAGTCATCCAAACCATAAAAATGCAGAAGTTGCATTTATGTTTAGCAATATCCCATTTTCAAATAGCAGGTAGTCAAGTCGCTGTGATGGGTGTCCATGCGTTGGGGTTCAGAACAGTGTCCACTTCTATTTGCGACAACCTTACTTGTTTGAAGGGTTCAAAAATATTGTCTTCGCCCCAGTTTAGGCGAGTCGAGTACCAGAAAAGCAGAAAATTTGCCCTTACTTAAAACTACGTGGAGATTACGAAATGGAGGGCAGGTGGTCTTATCAAGACTCGTAGCCAAACCACCCAGGGCGAGGTTACTTAATGCACAGGATCCTATCATGAAAAATGCAACGACTTCGGGGTCATAAAATCACATCTAATTAGTAGCTATGGGCAGACTGAAAGTAGGCATCCACATGGCAGTCAATCCCCCTCTTTAAGATGCCAGATAGTTAAAAGCACGTCTAAAAGCTTTTTTAATTTAAAACAATGGCATTCTTTGCTTTCTATTTTTAAATCATATCAACCATCAATGTTTTTACGCAACTGCTGTGGAATGGAACAAGGAGTATACTATTATAAGCTGATCACGGTAAACTGAACAGTTTAAAGCATGAGCTGTAGACATCTGATGAAGCAGATTTCTAGGTTTTTTAATTACCCTTTGTTAGATAAGAAGCGTAAATAAAATCGTGAGATGATGAAGTTTACAATTTACGACTAATTTTAATTTTAAGGCAAAAGTCGTATTGAGTGTCCTTTATCGTCTCTTCGGAGCGGATAAACCTTTGTTTGTTTGGATAAGTCTCTTTGTATATACTAAGCTAGGAGAAAAAAAGTTAATTTTGCAGGAAAGGCTCTATGAACGGGGGCGACTGCTTGAGCGGCAATGCTAACCCCCTGATGATCTCCGCAATTATGCTTATTCAGTAGCATTCAATAGACCAAACAACTCGGAATTCTTCATCGCCTTTTTGGGTTGCCCACGCAAGGCTAATAAGTACATAGCTGTATCAGCATAAAACAAGAACCATACACGCCCGTAACGCGGCAAAAGGCACCGAAGCAAGGGCAAGCACTCCTGTAGAAGGAGCAGACTCTAAGCGCTTTGATCACTAATTCATGCTGATGAGGTGAATGTCAGATGTCAACAGACTGGATATTTGGGGGATAATAGAAGTGGTAACAGCGGACGTAACCATTGATATCTCCTTGATTACATTTCTTGCGTAACTGTTAAGTACAAAAGTATCTGCCGAAATTTAGGCCCTAACGTATTAGAGGCGATTTCCATCGGTAGAGAGGAATAAACAAGTCGAGGAAAAAAGCTGCATCAAATGCAGTTGAGCAAAAGATTGGCAGTTGCTAGGGTAAATGTGATGCTCGTCCAAAGATTTCTTTCTTTAAACAGGTTCTCAACAGCCAGACATCAGACAGCAAGAAAGTATGAGAGGCGCCATTGAAGTCCCTCTAACGACTAAATAAAAGCAAAATTCGCATTCGTGGAAGGGCGCAGTTAAGTAACATTAAAAGAACAATGAAAGCATTACGCAAAAATTACCATGAGACTTCATAAGATTAAAAAGTGTGGATGAAGTAAATGTTGGATTGGGCGAGTCATATGGATAGCTTAAGTATTTATGCATACTGTTTAAGATGTTGGTTTGCTTCAAACATGAGGATTGATGAATGCTCAGATTCACTCTATAAACGTGTGTACGACTTTACAATTAAAGTCCTAAAAATCGGATTACCATTGTGTAAAATCCATGGCTGGTCCTTTTATCAATACCATGGGTAATTCGCTGAGTATAAAAACGGTGTACAATATACAGAACAAAGCCTTTTAGATGGTTTCATGACCCCCTCCCCAGAGACATTCGAAAATACATAATTTTGGTTAGAATTTCTGCATTGCAACCCCATACAGACCGATGGGCAATTTTGCCCCTCTTTTAATTTAGGAGAAAATGCGATTGTCGGAGCGACCAAACGAGTTGGTTTGGCGTGGTGAAGGGAGGAGGGGAAAAACTCACAGGGAATGGGGCATCCTTCGCGATTTTTGTGGGCGTTTTCCGGTCTCTTGGCTGATTCGCACGGCACCGCCTCCTCACTTTCGTAGGTGTTTACCTCCTCCCAGTCGGCGTCTAAACGATCACGGTTTCGCAAGTGCTCCTCCATGTAGGACTGCAACAAGAGCACCTGGTGGTATCAGTGAAGAGATAAGTATTCCCCATATTTTATCACCTTTTCACCATTCTGCGCACAGTATAAACACGCACGCACCACCACTGATTTACATCTGAGTTAACATTATCAGACTGTAAAGGAAAAAGGAATAGGATGGAATTATAATGGATCAGTGGCGGGAAATTTAATGAATGGTTCGACTTTATGAATTAAAACGCTCTGTTCAAGGACGCTAATGCAAAGTCAAGGGGACGCATACATCTGCCAGGAGAGAGAACGACAAGGGACCTGTCCCTTTCTACCTAACATTTCTTTCCATATTTTCTGCCATTGTATTTTCTAGTCATGTGCTTAAATTTAGACTGTACTATCGTATACAAGGAAAATTGTGCTGGACTATGAAGTAGCGTCAATGCTGATGGAAAGCGTAAACTGAGAATAAAAGGTGCCTGTCAGAAAGATAAAAGTATTCTTCGTTTGCCGTAGTTCCTCATCTCTACTTCGTGCCCTGACAATAACTCAGAGGCAATGACAACTATCACTAACATCGGAATAGTATTCTTGTTTGCCTTTGGGAAATACTACTTTGCGGTCTCTGAAGATCCAGCTCTTCAAAGGTGAGCCAACGGACTTACCAAAATTAGATGTCCTGTAGTGATATCGAGGGTCATTTGAACTGGCTCATTGCTCCTACAACAAGTAATAATCACAAAATTTAAGCTAGAAGTCACGAACTCACAAAATCTTTTGCTTATTTATGTGTGCAATATTCCAGATGAAAGTTTTACAACAAACAATAATGGGAAATACAGTGGGACTCATGCGTCTACAACAGCAATCAATAATAACATCTGAAGAAATGCATTTATTCTACAACACCTAGAGAGCCTTTAAGGCTTTGGATCGAAGGAAAAATCCAATGTTTTGGTCTTCTTCAAAACTTCAATCTAAGAATTCATGACTGAAAGTTCCCTGCTTTTGATTGATTTTCGGCACGTTTTGAGAGAAATGCGGCAAAAACAATTCAGCAATAAGGAATTACCCGAAAACCAAAACACTCACAAATATGGTTGCAAAAATATTAATGTGGAAGTTTAAGGACAGACATTAGGAGCCATTAACACGACCTTTACTAGCGTCATACATATACAACGTCTGCATTGTCCCGCCTGGATTCGATGTCACAAATATGGTACAGGTGTTCTCTATTCGCCCATGGTAACCGGTTGTGCCAAATTGTGTGGTAAACAAACTAGCTGAACTTAAGGTGGTAAAAAAGACGTAGGGTGCCATTGGTTTAAGGATAATGGTATTCTCAGGTGCCTGAACAACAACCGAATCGGTTGTAGTTGTAGTAAGCGCGTTAAAATTACGTTGTGGCAGATTTCAAGAAATGTGTGGAGAAAAAAAAACACCTGTCACTGATTAGTAACAGCGACCGGCGCGGTAAAAAGAGGACAGGTTTGACAATTCGACTGTTGCATGATGAACTCAGTGAAGACGAAAAATATTGTCTAAACGCATGCAGTTTATATACTCAGTTTAAATGGCACAAACTCAGTTCATCAAAGCGTAAGTGTGGGTCATACGAAAGGAATTTTTACGATTTCGCTTACACTTATAATGTCTAAAACAAACAAATTTTATGTGGTAACCCATTAATAATACCTATATGAAGTTACTAAGTAAACGAAATGGTACGATGGTTGGGGGATAATTCTGGTCTTAAATAATTACGAACCAGTGACTAATGACCATTGGGGCATCACGTCAAGCGTTGTGACAGAGGTGTTCAAAGCGTGGTCTAAAATGTGCTTGAAAAGACAAGATGGAATAATTGCACCGAGGCTGAGTGGTCAATAAATAGCTCTAATAAATCTTCAAAGGTGGCATAACCTGCTGCTTCAGATGATGGCGTCACCATCGCTTGCACAGAAACACAGCATGACATGCGAAGAAAGTTACGAATAACGAGTTATAAATCGTTTAGTCAGGATGGCATCACATGAGATGTTGAAAACGTGAGCAAAAGACACTAAGGTCATTGATATACGCTTTAAAGTGAAGAAAGGACGCCTACAGAATATAAAGTAGGCATCTTACATCTTAACCATAAACACATCGCTGTAGTTGTATCCATGTGTTAGTGCCAACGGTGAGGCTAACGGGGAGTAATAGGAGGAGGGTATAGTAGGTAAAATACTCATCCTTGACGTTTTTCTTGTACTCCGAGGCTCTTCATTTCTCCGGTAGCGTCGAAACACCATAATGTCTCGACTTGGCTGCTGTGTTGGAACAGACGGAAAACTTGACATGTCGCCCGAGAAGAGCGAGCTCATGGAGCCTAATCGACGGGAGGAAAGCATATTTCCACGTCGACTATCCTGCAAGGCACCTTCTATTGTGCTGAGATATTGCACTATAGCCCCTATTTGCAGTCATATCTATTCTCAAACCGGATTCATGCAAGCGTAAGGCAAAGAGTAGCTACCCAATGGCATTGAAAATGCGGGTGTGCAACGAGTGTGCCGATGACATGCCTTCAGTTAGCTTATTACTCAATCGCGGTGTAATGCACTCTTTTTGAATTTACGAACGAGACAAGAAGTAAAAGCATTTGTGACATAACAAGGCAGATGCTCTTGATGGCGTTCACGATTTAAACATGGATAAAGGAGGAGAAAAATAAATCCTATTGAAAAGTCACAACCAATAGAGAAGTTAACAGCAGTACCGAATACGCAACTGCGTGGGCTATTCAATTTCCGCGGTTTATGCTACTGGCTTGGCCTTCGCACCCTCCTGTACATTAGCAATAAATCTTCTCTACTGATATTGCCTGTTACAACTGCAGAGAAGGCTCGGGGCGCAGCAACATAAGCGTAAATGCGACAACCTGTACTCTTATCCCCAGTCTATTTGAAAAAAAAAACAGAAAGTGAAGAATGTTTTTGAAATAGAAAGTCACGAATAATTTAAAACTGAAATGTCATTTTCGTCTTTGGGTAAAAACTAGCGAAATCCTCCGTGAAGCATACTTGAGGCGGCAAAAACTACCACTTTTAAAAGGACTTCACTCAAAAAGAAATTAATTTTAAGTAGAGCAAAACTCCCACCTAATTACTTTTTTATTAAGCCATTCTACATGTTCGGAATAACAAAGTGCGTAGACTCCCACTTGGGATTCAAAAAACTCCTCTAAGTTAGTAGCATTTTCATAAAGAAGATGTATAGTTTTACAGATTTAATATTTCCTGCCTTCCACTTTGATGGCTTCAGTAAGGGCTTGGAACACCTCAACCGCGTGCGGCGAATTTGCTTTAAAAGAAAAGGATAAAATTACCCATGGATTGATTTGTTGTTTAGTGCATACCGGATGCGTAACTATTATGGTGAAGTTATCTTCTACTTTACTTTCCTGCATTCCGAAATGAATGTACTAACTATTAATCAGGAGATAAATGAGGCTGTTTATGATTCGGTCATAAAAAAGCACATAAATTATTTACAACCTGAGGGTCAGCTCACTGGGGCAGACCCGATAACACCCTCGGAAAATGAAGGTAAATATAATTAAGCCGCACCCAAATTTTACCCGCAAGAGGATTGAAACCCATTTAACACTGCCTAGTTTTAGTGTGGAATGTAAAGTTGATTAGATCAACCCTTGCGAAGAGAGTTAGCGTATTTACGGACCCTTTAACACCATTTAAAACACCCAAAGGTTACATTAATCTGAGTGCTTTGACACTATTCTCAGAAGATTAGAGATTCGCCATGGATGTCAAATCTCAACCATCACTGGCCTATTAATAATGAAATAGCATACCTTGATAAGCATCCGACTATTCAATCGAATCGTTACGTGGATCAGTTGTAGTGTATTAAATCTTGGTGCGCCTATTGCAATGAATTATCAGCACATTACTATTCACCGCCGAGGTATCTCTCTTTTAGAACGGCCAGCGCACTAGGCATTTATTCACGGACAAAAAGAGAAATTTCACGAATTCGTTAGCAGGGAGCACGACACTGATTCCACAAATGAACTCCATTTCAGAAATAATACCGATTTGTCAACTGCACTTGGAAATACAATATCATAAATCAAAACTTGCTGTGTTCGAAAGTGATGATATCCCCTAAAAGTAGTGAAAGATCAAGAATAGAGAGTGCGTTCTATCATGAAAATAAGACATCTTACACGTAATTGGCAAATCCAACACTCCGATGTTACTTTAACAAGGTGGTTATGTATGTGGAATTAAAAAACCAATTACCGATTATAAAAGGGAAACTAAAAGACAACGGTTGAAACAAGACGGACGATATGAGGAGACGGAGATGGACAAGAGCATGCAATTTACCAAGACAAGTTGCTACTCAATTGGGTGGTGCGATGACTGGGGGCACTGGCCATGGATTCGGTGGAGGCCTCAGAGCCTCCTGTGCTTACTATTTGTCGTCGAAATATACCCTACATGGACACACAAAAATCATGCATTACTGTGGCGTTCCTTCACTACCAACCCTATACTCATAAGCCAAGCAGAATGATAACCAGCCTCATGCGTATACGACGCCATCCTTTTCTCGCCCACGTCCATATGTTACAGGTCTTCTTCATCGGCTTATGATAACCAGCCACACCGAATCGTGTCGCAAGCGGATTGGTCGAAGTTAAGATCATAAAATCATTAAAAAATGTTTCCTAAGTAGTAGACAAACTGATTCTTAAAAAGTAATGACAATCGGTGCATTGTTTGAAGGATAGAATGCACGGGCTGTGGTGGATGATCTTCATTGGACACTTTGGTGGTAAATATTTTAAGATCAAAAAACAAAACATTACATCAGATTTCAAACCGCAGATCAGTGCAGCGTTGGATTTTTTCGCAATACACTAAACTGGATGAAAACCCCTTAAGTTGGAGGCATTAAGTGAGTCTAAGCACTGTTTCATGTTTACTGTGAATATTTAAACAGTCCCAATAACTCGGCCTTGCAAAAAAACCAGCATTTCGAGCCACGACAACTGCCTTAGCTCGCTATTAATTAAAAATAGAAGGCATGAACAATTAAACTCATCGGAAGATTGAAAGTAGGGAGGGGTAAATACAAATCACTTGAAGGGGAAGAAAAAGGCGAGTTAAATGGAATAATGGGAAATAACGAGTGGTTTATTTGGGAAACTGCGGTCCCAGAGGAATGACTACTTTCCGTAAAACCACGTCGTGAATTATTATAATAGTCTGAGGCCTACTAAAGGGATGGTTTCAAACTCGAGAACTACATTTCTTTCAGGAAAAATTTGCCTTTAAGTATCATTATTCAATGCAGTATTATGCTGCGTACGATATTAAATACATGTAAAAATGAAATTTTGAGATGAGAGAAAAAAATGGACATTTGACATGGATCTCGAGCGTATTTCTGTCACTTGAGTACCATCCCGTTCTAAAACACTCTAATTCCACGAAACCATTTTGATACTGTGTGTGGCAAAGCATTAAATTCTTCAACAATTAACTTGAGACATTAGATAATGATGTCCCAACATTTACAGGGAGGCGCCTTTTTAGTTTGTCTTTTTTCCAAATTCTAATGTAGAAAAGTTAACGCTGGACAGTCATATCAGTACAGCTAAATTTGTATTTTTTGACCACCAGGTCACACTTCTGGCGGTTAGACAAATTTGAAGCGTATTAAGTTTTAACAGACGTTTTAAGTTAGTCATTATTCCACTTTTTTCCGAAAAAAAGTTGCGCCAATAAATGAACGGTCTAAGAAACCTGTGACGTCAAATACGGATTATTATCCTGCTAGGATCTCTTAAAAATTACTTGAGATCCGAAAAGCTTTAACCCGTGCCAGTCATCCGAAACATGGCTCTAGAAACTCACCACAACACTCCTTTTGGAAAGGATATGCTTTACATTAGCAAAGTATGGGAATCACATTCAGGTGTAAGATAATTCCAGCTGCGAAAAAGTTAGCACTATCCCCCGAACACCTATACACACAAATTCACGAAGGATTCACTCGATAGAGGTCCGCTGATTGCTTTACATGATCGTCTTGAACAGGCCACTCGGTATTGACAATAGTCCATTCGACTAACAGAGCCAAGAGTCACATTTTAGCGGTCTCAATTTTCGAACCGCCTGTTTATGATAATAATTTGTCTTTTTAGTAAAAAGTTTGATCACCGAATAATCCTTGTGTTTAAAAGCTCAAAAAAAAATGCACTTTAATTCTCGGTGCTTTTGAGGTTGGGTGCCTCCATGAGGTTGTTTACTTCACTAGTTATCAAACTTCAGGGCCAAAAACAGTCGAAGCTGAAGAACTGTAACATTTACAGCCCAAGTATAGCAATTGAACACCCTCAATGAACTAAAAGCTTTGACTAAACAATATGAGCTCGGAAAGTAAACAGAATGTGATGTGATGAAATTTTTCTACTTTAAAGAAATGAAGTCGACAGCGGCCAGAATATCAATAAGCATACTTTATTTTGCTAAATGAAAGTTATGTCGGGCTTGAGCTGACCACTAGCCAAGAAAGAAAGGGTCTTCCTAAGGTCGGGTTTTAGACCAGGAAGTCACCAGATTGGTGTTGAAGAATCAGCGCTTCTATCAGAGTTACCAGACATTGAAAACGAGGCACAGTCATGCTGACGGGTTTGCAAAGCAGATATAGTAAAGTAGAATTGTTGGTGCCACATCTTGCCAGGAAGGTAGTTATAAAATTGACCTAGTTGTGAAATAACCTGATTTTCAACATAATTTTTTTAACACCGTAAGTTCAGCGTGTGTGTAGGAATGTGAATTGCAATGCTTTGACTACTTCTGAACTCTTCGTTTTGGTTGCGCAGGCGCTTAAGGCTCCGCCCTCGTACTTACACTGAGCGACTTGCTCTCCGGACCATGCCAGCAGTAGCGAGTATTACCATTTGAGACAATATCTTTTCACAAACTAGATTGAAAGTTTGTTAAAACATTTATCTGTAGGAATAGAAAAGAGTGCCATTAGTTTTCATTTAAACAGGAACGTGATAACAACGACTAATCTTGATGGATAAGCTCAGAAACATAGTGATCCCTTCATCAGTGCTACAAAAGGTCACATAAGCCGCGACGCTCTAGATGAATCGGTGTACCTGAAATGTTGTCAGTGAATAGTTTTACCCGTTGAATAATAAGAACATGACACTTTTACGATTAACATTATGCGGAAGTGCCTAAGTTTTGGACACAAAGAATTTGAGTCGTGGCAAGGGAAAGCTAACAGTTTGCAATATAATACCTGTTTTTCGCCTTGTTCAGGAGTCTCCTGGTAGGGTGGAGGAGAAGTTGTGGAGCAGGAAGAGAGAGTTTCTTGATGCTGCTTCTCCAGTGAGTCATTGCGACCGGCACTGGCGGCGATGGAGGCAGAGGGGGAGGCGGGTGGGACAAGAGGCCGCTCCGAGGGCTTGCGGGGGCCCTTGCACATAGGCCCTGCTAGGTAGTCGTTGAGGCGATCACGCCGACGCACAAGGATGTGCGCAACTAGCAGCAACGCCACTAGTACTGCCAGCGAGCAAACCACCACCACGGCGACGAAACCAACCCGCGAGAGGTGCCCTCCAACACCCGTGTTCCCATTACTCTGCCGCCGACCCATCCCACCCATTGCATAATCACCTGTCTCCGGGAGGTGCTCAATTTTCCCCACCGTGTGTGGAGCTGCTATCGGTTCAGTAAGGACCTGAAAAAATACTTATCACTATCCACACTTGCCTCGTACTTAATCTTCCTGTGGCTTCGCTTAGGAACTTTCAAGGTCTTCACACAAATTTCAAACACTTCTGGCCTCTGGGTATTTACCAATTTGATAACCTTCTTGTAATTTCAATAAGGATCTATTTATTCTTCAACCTTCCTGTGACTTCAGTAGTGATCTATTATCTATTCATAACCAATTGTATTTCTAGCCTTCCTGTGTAAATTCGCTCTACACCAAGCTTTCCTACATATCTGATAAGGATTTCTTAGGAAAGGAATATAGGGGAGCAGAAAAGTGCTCATTAGGGTCGCAGTTGTGCCCGTCAATACTTGGCAGTTTCATTGCAACGTATTCGAGTTTTGTAACAGGACTGGTATGACTCCAATTGGGACTTTAAAATAAGACCGATTCGGAGCCAATTCTAACAGAGGCGCATCAGTGAACTAAAGACATTTTCAGGCTCAAATCTAACCTTTTAGAATAAGTCAAAAAACGGTTTTTTAACATTTTAACAGCAGTACTGATGACAATGATAGTGATGATAATAGTGAGCCAATTGAGGTATTTAGGGAAGTGTTTTTGCAACAGCCCTGTGTATCATGAATCCGAAAAGAGAAAAGAAAATGGTAATGCTCCTCTCATGAGCTAAATGCGGGGATTCGCTAGACCAAAACGCATTAGTTAATGCTCAACCAGCCCACCAAAATCAAATGTTTTGTTCAGTGGCCTTCTGATGTGAAAACCTGCATATGACAAATACCACCATCACTGCCCCTAAAATTGCGTTTCTTTAAAAAAATCAGAGAACAACTTCAACTGTCCCTTTTTGAATCGGCCTCCAATTTACGTAAAAGTTAAACCCTATTTTACGACTGCAACGTTATCCCCGAGTTCTTAATTAAATGCTATTTTACGAGGGGCTTACGGGCATTCCGATTCCGTACTGGAACACCTTATTTTGCTTCATCCATTGCGCATTTTGACCTGAAGAGGTAAAAACAATGAGGTTTGGATAGCGGAAATCAGACGCAGCACAGCCATAAACTAATGAAAAGTTAACTCACGCATCATGTTGAGCACATCACTCGCCACTAGTCCCGTCTCGAAGGGCACAAAGAAGAGGAGTACGTGACCAGTCTTATCGAGTCTAAAGTTAAGAGAGGCAGGTCGTACACATCAATAAAACCAAAAAAAAAGAGTAGTAGCGATGACCCATTGCTTTACGGTAATGGGGTGAACGTTTGCAACGCTATGTCCGGGACGACTTAATTGTCGCCTAGAGAAAGCAAGTGGAGCAATTAGTTAAAACTGCTGACGCTCCTAATATTAAAACACAACACCACTGCAACACCATTGCATACAGTGCCTGATGAAAAAAACATGCATTCTCTATCTAGCTCTACGCCTCTGATGTGTATTTTCATAGTTCATCAATGTGTTTGGAACAGGACATAGTCGGCTGGACTGTCTGCAAGGGGATTAAAATTTCATTTTAAGCATCAGCAGCACATAACTTAAAGTGGAAAGTCTCTTTAGTGAGGGCGGTTTAAGAGGCAGTTTATGATTCACTATAGGCATTGAGCTCTAGTTTCAAGCATTTTTTGTCAAGACCTTAAAGGAAGGTCAACTACCACAATCTAGATGCTACTGCTCAAAAACTAAAATGAAATGTGTTCATCCTCCCTATAACAAGAACATTCTGCATCTACTTTATGATTTAAAACTCAACCAAATAGTTTGCTACATGGGTTAATGCCAACAGATCTCAGAGACGGACAAGGAACACAGGTCACATATTTGTGACGTTGGGCTCAGGTGAAAAATCTGGGCATCGCGTATATGTGACGCTGGCAGCGAACGAGAGGTAGTATACGTGTTTCATATATACATTTCCATGGAAGTAATAGTTTCATAGTCATTGCCACATGAAATCTACATTTATTGAAGTTATGGTATCATTATCATCACATATAAATGCATTTTAAGTTTCACACTACTTGGCAGGCGCAGGTGCTGAACTTCCTAATAAGAACGTCTCAGAGTGAGTCCCTCTCTTATACTACTTATCGTATACTTCGAATTTGTGCTTATGTGTATGGGGCAACCATCATGCACAACCGGTGATTGCACCAACAGGGGAAGATTTACACCCAAGTCCACTTTTAATGTGTTGAGTGGGTTGTGCCATCATCGTCATTGCTCATGCTGATGCAAGTGCTGCTTCGAGTGTCACAATGTCCCAGATCAATGCATCTGCGGAAAGAAGGCATTCTTCATAGACTTCCATTATGACGCCAACTCGAACAATTAGCTAAATGGACCAGTAATAGCTATTTTTACCCATAAATTAACAATCAGTAAGAGGTCATACAATTAGCGGTTGGTGTGCATCCCAATAGCAACTCTCAGGTCCATGCAGCGGCATTCGCACCTCAGTTTTTAAATGTGTATATATTCACTCCGGACCTAGATGAGAGCTGAAATAAATGCTCTGTGGATACTACTAAGACCTCTTCCCTTTGCGATGCATTCATAGGAGTTCATTATGTGTGTACAAGTGGAGTATATAGTAGCAGTAGGCATCTGTAGAATTAGAGGGAATTCAGTTCGGTGTATTCCTTTGAACGTGTAATGATAAGCTGAGGAGGTGCCCGAGGGATAACAATTTATCAACTGATGTTTTACCTGATACATAACTTTTTGCCATCGTAAATACCGTAGCCATTGTCTGCATCTCAACGTCACAACCGATAATTTGGTTTACCCATCCGGTTTCATTACTGTACGACAATGAGCGGCTGACAACACTGTCTACTTTCGGATACCTCGAGAGAATATATGCGCATAAAGTGACATTGGAGTCGTTGCAAGTAAGAATCGCCCCAGCAATGTTGATACTTCACATCATTTAGATACAGCTTGTTTGTCTTATTAATTAAAAATAAATCAGCTAACTCAGAAAGACTACCATATTGCTGATAGCCATTCCCACGAATTAGGTAGGGATCTTACCAATCGAAAATTGACAAGAATTACAGAGGACTAAGAAAATCAAGAAACCAGTAGAGATCTGCCAGATAAAGTAGCATTTCGGTTATCCGTTGGGGCTGTATAATTTTGCTAGCCTTAATAGGCTCTTCATTCATTTGCAGTTACGTGATGGACTGGGTCTTACTTGGGAGGGTAGTTTCATGAAAAAAAGTCACTCGACTTACTGAAATTGCGCAATTGGAGGGCGGATGTGCATGTTTTCAGAAAGCTCTTGAAGAATGTTGTCTGCTTCAATATAATTCACCCTGTCAAAAAAGCAAAGTAGGACAATTTTCCTTCGAATCGGTACAAAGATGAAACCGAACTTTAGTAGTCTATAGAAACATATAATTTGTTCTGATCCATTGTAATGCTTTTACGCGACTTTAAAACGAAGTTTGCCCAAATTATTTAATGAAGTCTTCTAGTAAACTTTACATACAATGATTTAATTATCATAACTTTAAACCAAAGTTCAGTTGTAGCAACGGAGAAATAAATATTACATCCGTTATTTAACGGTTAGAAAACCAGTTTCATTCGACCTAGCTTGAAAAATTTACGAAACACGGGAAATATTTTGGTCGTGCAAATCTTTAGCGTTGTATTTAGTGGTTGATTGTTCAAATTTAGAATATTTAAATGAAACTAGGGGGATCCGAGGAATCGTAGAAGGGGAAATAAGCCAATTTTAGGGAAAACCGTAACTCACGGTTTTAATAGACGCAACCATATTGTGTTCTTCGTACGACGATCGAATTCGGCTGTGCCAAATTTCAAAACTTTATCGCGGTTGAATCGCTTCACTACCATCTTCTCATCCTCAAGTAGTTTATGTTCGTGATTCTTTGAGGTTTCATCTGAAACCGAATACAATATGAGCATTCTCAACAAAATTCATAAAGATTATTCAGACTAAAAGTGTCAAATGAAGTTAGCACGTTTATAAATACTTTTCTGTCTCTATCAATGCAGTCTTATAAATGGACAAGCTAATGGGAGTAACGGGAAATAATGATAATTCCATCTAATTAATATTCAATAAAGTACGACCATATTACTAGCAGAGGGCGAAGAATGCCTTATACATAAGCTATATCTAGTGCAGGGCTAATCCTTTTAATGCAAAATAACGTCGCATTGATTAGTAATTTCGTATCCTCGTTCGTTTTTGTTGTCAAATCGAATAAAAAGGTTTCTTCTCCCCTCTAAGGTTACTACAGCGGTGAAAAACTGCACTGAGCTGGAATGGGGCCACCCTTGGGAAGAACTATCAAAAGAGTATGTATACAAATATGGACGAAAGTAGACTAAAAATACGACTTCGTGGAATAAGCACAGCAAGGAAGGCGGGATTGGTTAAGGTGTATATGCGCAAAAAAATAGACATTCGTTTGATTGGCTGATTTCATCCTCTAACCCTCTCTCTACCTCCGTTGAAATTGCATTATTTCAAGAGTTTAGACACCAATTACAGACTCGAGCACAGCCATAAAAACATGGGCGGTCTAAGGACTGTTTAAACAAGCCGAGAAAACATCCGATTTTGGCCTGGTCTTTTAATGTTTCTTTGGTAACCACTTAGAGTAGAGGGATCTTCGAAAATTAATAATAAAGAGTAAATCAAACACTACCTTCCCGTCTGTGAAAAGTGCCACTACCATGGCTTGGTTTTCTACGGTTTACAAACCCAGCTCGAATATACATTTTCTAAGCTTTGAGCTAATCTAATGATAGTTGCAGGAATGGCATTTTGGGGTTAAACCTAAACCTTTTAAAGGGAATATAGTGCAAAGTATAGATGCTTTATTCAAGGCTTGGTTTTAATGAGAAATACAATAGTCATTCAAATTTTACGTAGGTTTCCGCTAGTTCGAAACTGCAAATTTACAAACCAGCTATACATAGCTGGACTGCACATACAAATACATCAAACTACTATATCCCATTAGACATTACATGGTGTTTAGTTTTTGGTTAATTAATCCACAAAAATAGCGTACTAAAAATTGAATATATTTAAGAGCAAAACGTGTGAGGCACTTAAATATTGTGCAAGTAAACGTATGCAAATTAACAACAGTATTTCGAGTAATTTCATCCAAACTTTTAAACGAACCAATCATTTATGATTTGAAACAATGTTTGTTGTCAAATTACTGTTAGAAACTAAGCATTGTAAAACAGTGTAAGAGTGGTATACGTACCATTGACAAATTTGCGGACAAAATCATGAAAGTATTTTGTCGATAAAGAAGGATCTCCGCCAAATGCCCACGTCCTCATCGGTCTATCTGGAAATCTCCGAATCACACCCTTCTGAAATTCTAAGCCCTCACCGAAAGCCTCTTCCTCAGGAATCTCTTTAAAATCAAAACTTTTAAGTCGTCCGATGAACTTTTTTGCTGGCATCGATCCTTCGGCGCCTAATGCATCCAACTTCTCAGAATCATCAGCAGTGTACTCTACTTTATAGTTGTCAATGACCTCGATGGGCATTTCCCCACAAAGTTTCACGATGTCCATACGTTCATCCTGAAGCCTACAGACAAAATAATTGTTTAAAATAGCAGATATTCAACAAGGCCGAATGTTCTACAAAAACCAAAAGTTACTAGCGGATACGCGGAATTCCGGGCACATGCTCACTGTGTAGAAAGTTGAGTAAATAGAAAGTATTGCCAATTTCAGGATCGTATCGTACCTGAACTTCAAAATTAAACCACGAAATACACATTGAACATATAAATCTGAAAAATCCAGTCCAATCCGAAGAAAGTCTGTCCCGATGTTATTAAGCAGGCTTCTTTCTGCGTAACTGAGCTTGTAAGTACTTCCGTCAAAATTCCCCTCAACACACTTCCCGAACAAATTATCTATGTATGGCAGTCAAAAATTAATTACAAATAACCATCTTGACAGGTTTCCGAGGGCATACAAACATCAGAAATCAAACAACCTGAGAAATGTTCTGAACAAAACGCACGAGCATACCAACATAGCCACCGACAACTGTATTCAAATTTCGCTTTTCACTACTCAGTACATGTGTTACTGAAAGAACAACATGATTTCTATCAACAATAAATGAGTAAAGAGCGAGCACCAAGGGCCAAATTTTGAAGCTAAGCATTAGCCCTCACTAAGAGTATAGTGAAGGTCGAAATGTAACCTTCAGTAGGTAGGGCAGCGGCGATTCATTAAAAGATCAAAACAAATTTATATTGGCATAAAAATGTGTTTGAGACCTTTTTACCTCAAAAGAATTAGGCAAATTTAGGTTAGCTAGGTTTTAAAAGATAACAGGAGTAAATGATGCGCAGAAACGACTTGATATGAAGCAAAAATAGACCGATAAGATATACTGTAATAGGTGTTAGTCTTATTGTATCTTAAAGGAAGGAGACTGTTAGAGAGTGCGTTACTAGGCCTCAAAGAGAAAACAAACCCCGAACTTGCTCAGCCTACTGTAACGTCCCGAGACTCCCTGAAGACAAAAGAAGACAACGTACTTGGGCAGAGTATATATATTCAGCACGGAGAAGGTGGCTGGGCTATTGGTATGGCCCAAAAGGCTAGCCTACCCAACGAGGTACAACGGGGCTGATTCAAAGTACAAAAAGTGGCACCTCACCAGTACCGAGGGATAAACCACTATCGTATTACATAGCCTCCCTCCTCTTTTGAGCTTTGTCCCTGGCGCTCCCACAGGTCAACCTCCCGCGTCAGCCATTACAACGTAGTCGGTGCAGCAAAGAAACACCCACGAGCCGACCGTGCCAGTCACCAAATTAGTGCGCAACCGAGGAGCTACTTGACCTCAACGTCGCTGATCCCTCTTGGCAGCTTGACTGGATCTGGGGTTTCGTCCGGTTTAGGGATTTGATTCAGGACGGGGAACTGCGCCGGCCATCATGCGTGCCCATAGATAGATGCAGGAACACTGGCAGGTCCATGGGGGACGGTAGGGAAAATCCGTAACGAAACTTCCAGATGGTTCACGGCTAGTGTCGCTTCAGTTGTTAATAGCTTTTCTGCAGAACACAGGACTGGGAGAGATGCCGAAGGTAGACGTCAACATCAACCCTTCTGTTAGGGGTCATCACCATTCTCCCATCCGTAGCATATGTACTTCTTCCGCTCCACTAAGGCTTATCACGCAGAAGTGGAAAATCAGGATACATGTCTTTCAAGATCGGGTTCGCTTTCCGCTGCCACCAATGTAGCGTCCCGAGACTCCCTGAAGACGAAAGAAGACACAATACTCGGGCAGAATATATATATTCAGCACAGAGAAGGTGTCTGGGCTATTGACATGGCCCAAAAGGCCAGCCCACCAAACGAGGTACAAGGGGATGTTTAAAGTACAAAAGTGGCGCCTCACCAGAACCGAGGGATAAACCACTATCGTATTACACTACAATATCTGTACCCCTTTTATAATAGCTACTTAATAAATTATGTTCTTCACCAATTCGTTGTAGTAGTCATCGAAGAGGGGGCAAAAGCTATGCTTAAGCAATAGTGACAGCGTTGAAGAACCCCTCCTTCTCAATAACGATTTGAGTTGAAGAGTTCCTTAATACCAGCAAATTTAACCTGTGGTTCTGACTCATAACGCCACAGAACCCTCAAAATTCTACGTGCCTTAATTTAGAGTTCTTCTTGGCCATTAAGTACGCAAATATTACCCTGACATTGAGTGGGAAAAAACGCTACACTGATTTTCTCAAACTTGTCATCGACGATGCAGATCAAACACTAGCTGGAGAGTTCTTACGTCTCCACTAAAAAGTGAGGGAAGACGAAGAGGGGCACGATTACAAGAAGTTCTCCTTTTTACAAAATTAGGATCACTTCGCTGTGCACAGGATTACGTTCAATAGATGGAAAGAAGATGGTAGTAGAAGGGGATGCATCATTTTGGGGAAGGTGTTTTCTTTACCCACCAAGGCACTAAAGCCTATACGGCCCTTTTGCTACCAAAGAAAGACGCCGATGACATTTGTAACGCCCTCTTTGAGGCGGCATTCATACTCATGAACAACACAGGTGATCTTTGAACGCAGATGGCTTATATTACCGATAATAAAACAAATAACTTTGCAAGCCTTTAGCTGAGTACAAGAAAATAATCTTGTCGCAAGGTAATAAGCTGGGACGAACAAGTGCCGTGAAGCATGCTGTAGATATCGGCAAAGCTAGACCGATCTAACAGCCAACCAGATGCATACCACCTCCTTTGCTGAAAGAAGCAAACCGTCTGGTAAAAGAGATGATCAGAGACGAGGTCGTAAACCCATCTAAGCCACTATAGGCCTGTCTGATTTCTTTCGTAAAGGAGAGCGACGAAGGCTTGAGGCTGTGCGTTGAATATAAGAAGCTCAACGCAATAACAGGGACTCCTTCTCATTACCCTACATAATCAATTTGTTTGACTCCCTCCACGGGTTGGAGTGTTTCTCTACCCTAGACTTCAAAAATCAGGATCCTGGCAGGTGGAAGTAACCAAAACATGTAGAGAAAAAATAGTCTTTATTTCGTAAATCCAGGTTTGTGAATTACACAGTATGCTTTCATATTCTGTAATGCAGCGGCTACCTTCCAACGTGAGGTGCAAACCGCATTAATTGGTTTATTCCCAACCATGTGTAATTTATCTAGATATGGTTCTCGAATTCGGTAGAGATATTTGAGAACACAACGCCAACCTGAGACTAGTGTTGGAACGCCCATGAGGTGCAGGGTTGACAATGAACCCAAAGAAATACCGTTTTCTGCAACACTCGATTGCCTTCTCGGGGTATGCAGTCTCGTCATATGGGATGGCAGTAATGAAGACGGTACAAAATGAGTGGGGTCCTGGCCAACAGCAACTAATAAGGTGGAACTGCATAGTTCCCATGCTGGGAGGTTACAACAGGCGTTTTGTAAAATGTTTTGCTAGGATCGCAAGCTCGTTGCATACATTAATTCGAAAGCGGGCGACTAAGAAATTTGAATGGAAGAAAGAGAAAGAGAGGGTTTGAAAGAGCGTTTAGAACTGAAGCTAATGCTCTGCTCTGCACCGATTCTAGCATTATCCAACCAGGGAGAACGGCCCCACCGTTTGTATTGGTTACGGACGTGGTGTACTCTCACAAAGGGACAAAGATGGAAAGGATCAAGTCGGACGCAACAAAAATGTGCTACCTTTTTGTAATCGTGTTACAAACCGGGCAGAAAGAGTAAACGCTTGACCCACTGCGGTATATTTAATTTGTTTCGGTCCACTGGTGTGTAAAAATTGTTAAGTGCAAATTATAGCTGCTTATTTTATCACCTTTTTTGAAAAACTAGTACCTAATTGCAGGAAAAACAGTAACTCGTTTAACAAAAAAGATCCTTGACAGTTTCATTGAAAATATTTAGAGCTATAGCGGCTTTGTATTTTGTTTGACTTTGTATCTAGTTGCACGAGCGCTTCTTCAGTCCAACCAGTTCATCCTTCCTACTTGTATCACGGTCTTCAGACAAGCTAGAGTCATCCTTGCGCTTCTCTTTATTATTAGCGTACGTTGTATCACAATGCTTCAGCTTCATATCACCTTGGCGAGGGTTTAGGACGCTGCGCGTCTTAAGCGCAGTTGACAAGTATGGTTAGTATTGAACGTCTCTTCCATGCATTCAATAAACGATTCAAATGATTTGCATTTTAAATTCTTTGTGGTAGATTTACACACTTTTTTGCACTATTGCAGGTTAAAAAGTAGATTGTAGATTACTTTTAATGAGCCACCAAATAACCGGGAATAATAATAAGGTTGGGGGCGGTGGGTCCCAATCTGGTTACTCGTGTCCGGATTGGTTTCTTCGTACGTTTTTGCTCTTGCCCCCTGAACCAATTGCCGCCCCCTTGAAGTTATTTTCCAGGGTTTTGGGAACAAATATCTGGCAGCTAATATTTCAGCCATGACTGTGGAGTGATTTGGAGGTTTTTTCTGATTATTTATGGCCGCATGCTCCTATTTATTGTTTTGCAGCATTTTGCTGTGTTATGCGAACAATTTGAGATAATTTTTGTATGCTTATTCTCAATTATGCTACGTCGCTGCCCTTATTTTTATTCTCTCCTTTTAATTTTGGGTTTGAAATAACTTGTCTCGACTTCTCTGTTCTGCATATTATTATTGCCAGAATCCGTGTTTTATTGGCTCCGGTAATGTCCTTTCTTTCTTTGTACTTTGAACTATTTTTGGGATCCACACTGTTTTCCGTGAAGTCAATCACTTACGAATTAACTGATATGATGCTTTTGTTTTTTAGTGAAATGACAGCGTTGCCGCTAGACCTCTGTTTCGTGCCCTTTGACACCGTTGTGGACACGGCCTTTTGGCATGTACTTTCAAGAAAGAAACTCGAGGATTATCGACTGCAGGAGGGGCCTTTCCCGATGTCCGGAGAATTCACTAACGGCACTCCCCTTGGCACTGCTCCACGAATCAGCATCGATCATGCCAGTCTGAATTAGTAAACTACCTCGTCTTAACAGTCGTTTAGTAAAAATGTTTGATGGTCATTATCCTGTAGTATCATTTTCTATCAATGTACTTGAGGATATCATGCGGTTTACAATACGGAGAGTTCTGCGTATATTACTGAACTTCGACGAAACCTGTTTGCTTAACAAATAAGTGGCTCTAGTGTTGATTCCGGATCATTGTTCTTGTCATAACTAGGCTTTACTTTGATTTACTAAATCACTTATTATGTTCTAATTCAATGTTTTTTGCGTTGGCTTCAGTGTTAAATCAACTGGAAGGGGAAATTTATTTTATGCAAACGGCTATTTGTTTACGCTCAACACGCTTGACAAGTTCCGTGAGATGGATAAACAGTCGCACATCGACGAATTCGGTCGGAAGTATATTTGCGAAGAAGCCGTCAACGCACAACATGATTTTCTGCGAAATCCCAATCAACTACTCACTTTTTCTCTCCTGACCTACTGTGTATGTACCTGGGATGTATACGAAATGGTTCCTCTTTTTATTTTGTTTTATTCTTTTAGGACCTGAAACACCACAAATTTTGCTATTGGTTTTCATTCCCTGCTGCGGTTCAGGATAAGAAGCCAAAACTTTTTTCCAAAGCTTCAATCATGAGCGAGTTTAATAAAGTTCAGGTAATCCAGTTTTTCTTTTTGAATAGCTCAAGAAATTGACCCTTTTATGCTACTATGATATCTCTTCAATTTCAACCGTTTTTTACCCATATTTTGTAAATATCGTGATTAGTGACCCAATCATTCATATTTCTTTGAGGCGTTCTTAATTATGTAGCAAACATTCCCTGTTGTGTGCGTCTTTCCATTTGTTTTTCATTCATGGTACCGTCTATTTAACTTCTTTCGTGAAAGCAGGGCAATTAAAATTGTTTTTATTGCTCATTTAAATTCATTAAGGGCCATCATTACGCACTCAGTTGAGTATCAGACCCAATTATCGCCATTATTCATGAGAATTTTACGGTTCAGGTGGCCAATCTTCTTGTGCGATACGACGAATGGCGTAGGCAGAGCAATGATGCCTTCTTTTGTCTTCACTTCACCCCTGATGACCTTGAGATTGCTAACCTCGGTACCCTCAAAATTGGAAACGAGGTAAGAATTTTTTATCACATATCGTTCCATCACTTCGTGTTTATCCCATTTTCAGACTCATTACATTGGATTTTGCGACCCTTCTAGCCATGAGGACTTTCCAGGATGGGGCCTCAGGAATCTCCTCTTTGCTCTTTCAACTATCATGTAAACCTGTCCTTGTCGTTTCCCTGAAAATTGACTACGAATCAAGTGGTCAATTGAGCATAAGGAGCCACAATTGTATCATCTTCCCTCTTTGCCCTATAGAAAGGAAAGTCAGACCTTAAAAATATTGTGTTTACGGGATCGTTACGCCAACCAGGAGCGAATCATATCCAGTAGCTTCGTTTTACGAATTAGCATTGAGCCAGAAGCTCTCTCCAAAGGTAATGTGTGACTTCTCACCTGGCTGCCTGACACAGAGCTATTTTTCAGGTGTCAAATTCGTGGGTTGGGAGAAGTGGAAAGGCAAGCTACAGCCGCGAGTGGTCAATGTCAGTTCGACTATGGACCCAGTTAAGTAGGTGTCATAGTTACCACAGCCCCCGTAGCGCGGTCAGTATTTGTCGACCTCGTGCCTTTTACTTTGCAGACTAGCTGACTCGGCGGTGGATCTAAATCTGAAGCTCATGCTCTGGCGCTCGTTGCTCATCATCGACCTTAATGCACTCCATAAGACTCGTTGCCTCATTCTGGGCTGTGGTACTCTAGGCTGCAATGTGGCGAGGCAACTGTTGGTGAGTTCTTTTTCTCTCTGCCTTTTCGGTTTTTTTTCTCATGCTTTTCAGTTTAGCTAAGAGTTTAGTTAATTTTAAGGCGTTTGGTCGGGGTTTTGGGCATCAAATCACTAGCTTGTGCTCCAAATACTCGTGCATTTCTTATATTATAATTTGTTCTTGCTATGTTGTGGCATTTGGGATAGCGTCTTTCTTAGAAACGAAAACTTGATGTCAATTCAGACTGTGCGTTACTTTGTGTTAAATTACCTAAATTTGGACTACACCTTCTAATAATAAAGCTTAATATTAAGATTTACCACTTTTCGAAGTCATTAGTGGATCACGAGCTCCAAAACTGTGATGCATTATCTCAGTTGTGGCTTCCAAGTTTTTGAAGGACCTTCACTTGACCGTTTCCCATTCATTTTAAGGTTTGAACAGGAACTACCCCATGACTGCGCTCTGTGATGTATTATGCGGTTCTTGTAGGAGTTTCGTTTCGTTATTCCACCAAAGGATTTATACTGATTGTCCTTTAAATCAAATCCAAGTTTTAGATACGATTTACTTCCGATTAGGGTTTGTCATTCACGCCCTTGAGTTAATTCCAAATTTGTTGACTGAAATCAAGGAATGGTAAGAGGCGCATGTAGCCAGTACAGAGGTTCCAACGTACTGGCCGTGCAAGTATAAATAGCGCCAAAATAATACGTCATTGGTTCGGTTTGATGTATTCGTGTGTCGTGTTGTAGGCATGGGGTTTTCGAAGTATGACCTTAGTGGACAACTCCACCGTCTCTTACTCGAATCCTGTGCGACAGACCCTCTTCACCTTTGAGGACGCCAAGTCTGGAGCTGAAAAGGCTCTTGCTGCTGCCGAAGCCGTTAAGCGTATACTTCCCACTGTGGTGCGTTTAATTCTCTACAAAAATTCAACTACCATTTCGACTCATTCACATCTCTCATCTGTGTCGGTTGGTTTGTTTTCTACTATCAAGAAATCAAAATCTGGGACCCTCCCTATGATAAGTATTTGGGTTAGCCCAACCTGTTAATAAACCTCACTTTATTATTTTTAGTAGATTGGCAAATTCATTTATTTTTACACTGCCCATTTTATTTGTGGAACTGGGACTTGTTGCAACTAAGTTGCGATTTAGATGAAGTTTTAAACTCTTCAGGTCTACTTACTACAGGTGTTTTTGCACTTTACGAGCAAAAAGTTGTTCTATACCGCCTTGATTTATTAAGACGGCACCATTTTATTTTTAAGCCTTCCAGTCTTATTGTTGGCAAATTCAAAAACACTTTATAATGCTTGGATATGAAGTATTTTCCCCTTCCTTCCTTTTTTGTGATACTGTGATATTCCACTCATCACGGATATTTTTCTGTACTGATTAATCTTTCATGGTTATTAACTGATTTCTTTCATTGACCATCCATGAGCCATAAGTTTTTTTTCAGGATGTGAGGTCATACAACCTCACTGTTCCAATGCCTGGCCATCCTGTGTCAAATGCTTCCGCCGGCTCAGACGCATCTAAGCAAGTCTCCATAGTGCGTGAAGCCTGTCAGAAGTTGGATGAACTTGTTCAAAGTCATGATGTCATCTTTCTTCTGCTGGATACTCGTGAAGCGCGTTGGCTTCCCACCTTGCTTTCTACGTACCACAATAAGGTAGGGTGTTGTTTCATCGAAAAATGTATACTTATGTTACATCAGTAGGTTCGTAACCTTTATGCATTCAGTTGGCAATAACGACTGCGCTGGGGTTTGACAGCTTCTTGGTTTTGCGTCACGGCGTGCCTCGCGATCACGGAGTCTCACCATCCTCATATCAGGCTCCTTCAGGTGATAATGTGACCAGAGGAATCGATGGAAGTCGTTTGGGTTGCTACTTTTGCAATGACGTGGTTGGACCTGCCAATGTTAGTGCGCTTGAGTGATTTGGTAGCTGTGTCTTAGTGACATTGAATCGATGTGTTATTGTCCGCGTGCCTTTTAGTCGACTCGAGACCGTACTTTAGACCAACAATGTACCGTTTCTCGCCCTGGTGCCTCAATGATGGCTTCTGCTTTGGCGGTCGAATTGTGTGTCGGTTTACTGCAGCATCCTGAAGGGTATGTGCTCAAAATAACACTTTCATACTTTGTTGAAGTGGCCTTTTGTTAGATTGGTAGAGTTGTGATTTGCCCCTTTCGGTGATTTCTGAGTTTTGGGGTATTCTCCTTCTTTAGTGCTATGAGCACTAGCTTCGACCTTTGATCATAAATCCAAATATTTTAGTGTGCTAAAAGGGTCGCCTATAAAACAGCAAAAGGTTCCTCAATACTTGATATTATTGTGGCAAATATCCGGCTTTTTTATAAGCTATCTTGGGTCATTAGCACGTATTGACTTAAACCTGGATCTTCGAACGGTGGGGACGAGCGTTTATAGAGAAAACGGCAGTTTTCGAAAATTACAATGTTCGCCGTGCATCACCCTTTGCTCTGTAGTGCCACACTTATCTGAGGCGATTCTGGAGTACGCGAATCTGGAAGGAGCTATTGCAGGTTCAGGGTAGTCTTGTATTACCAATTGCCTAGTCTCGTGTGATTCCAGCTTTGGTCTGGCGTTCTGCAGTATTTGTGCTACTACTCATGACGTTTCAAGACGCGTGAGCCGGAAAATGGTTTTTATGGAAGTAGAGAAGGGTTGGATAGGCAGTAACAACTAGGTGGAGGCCAATTCATGAGATGCCGAACGGGTGAACATTACTACGTCATCCATTTATCATGTACGACACTGCTGGTAAAGGTGCCATGATCTGCCTTCGTACTTTTGCTTTAGACTTGGTGATATGTTCGATAATACGCTACAGGAGCTTTGTCCTGAAAACGCTTAGATCGCCTTTGGTTACCTGGGATGATTATCACTGGCCGTTTATCAATTTTCATAGCCATTAGCATTTTTCTTCGTTAGACCTTTTGCACCTGCCGAAACACGTCCAGACAATGGAAGCACGATATCTCAAGGTCTCACCTTCAGCTTCCTTCCCCACCACATTCGCGGTTTCTTGTCCCAATTCTCCGAGGTTGTGCCTTGCACAACCGCCTTTTCTCGGTGTTCTGCGTGTTCGCAACCAGTGGGTTCTACTACATGTTAAAATCTTTAATTATGGCTTTTCTTCACAGGTGCTTGATGCCTATGCGAAAGAGGGTTTCGATTTTTTGCTTCGAGTTTTCGATGACGCCACCTACCTGGAGGAGGTTTCAGGATTAAAAGAACTGCAAGTCGAGACTTATTTTGATGAAGTAAGTTGTCAGCTTTTGTTGCAGTTCAATTCCCATCTGTAATCCATTTATTTGAACTATTCGCTAACGCATGAAACTCGTGCCCATATTTCTGACTGGAAAGTTTTGAAGCCGATTTTAAGGCCTACTTTGATGGCATTGAGCTTTCCAAATTGGAGAGATGTCTTGCCTTTGCAAATTATTGACTGTATATCAGCGAATAATATACGTAGTCAACTATTTTAGTTATTTTTATTAGGCATCAAATCACCTCTTCAATAAAATCTGAATTGACGGTCGATATGTGCTTTGCACTTCGATGGGGGTGCTGATTTGCCCTATCCATGTTACTCTCTCTGTAACCTTAACCCACTTGTGTGAATCGGTCTTAGAACGAGAATGATACCATTTTCAGTTCCATAAACCTCGTCTCTTTTTTTTCTCACTTTAGGTCCTTGCACTAAGTGACGGGGACTCCGATTACTCTGTCCCCTGAAGCTTGACATCTAGGGTGCTTTCTGTTTGATGCCTAGTCTGATCGCCTCCCAATTCGACGTACGCGTTGTTTTCTGATTGCATAATAAAACAGAGAATTATGTCATTTCACTCTGCGCTTTTGGTCTCATGGATCTTAAAACCCTACTATTTTTTTTTTTTTGTTATAGTCAAACAGGTTTGGTTCACTGCAAGGGCGAAGTTGATCTTCAGTGCAAAATTTCTTCTCGGGGTTGATCTTAATCTGATAGGCCCCGCACACTAGAACCTGCTATCCTGCACATCTTCCTCGAAGGGAGAGGAGTCGTACGATTTAGTTGGACATCAAGCCTATTAGTATTTGGGGTCAATTATTGTGTAACTGTCATAAGTTTTGCAATAGCTGGAAATTAGCGCAAACCTCTCCTTATAGGGAGTGGGAGCTCCAGTTTACTGTCGATATTATAGATAGCAGAATAGAAATGCGGCTTAATTGGTGCGCAATGGACGACAGTAGAATGGTGACTTTTGTGCCTGTTACGAGGTTGATTAAATTCACATCTCCCCGACAATCTTCCCGTCGGCCAGGGGCTTCCTCACTCGCTCGTTGGCCTGATATGCTGGCCCAGTTTTGCGGTTTTAATTAGCCCTCTTTGGTACATCCGCCTTCCTTGAACGTCGCCTAAATCAACGCGTCCTTGATTATGCTGATGGTGGGGGTGGGGTGGAGTAAAGCTGCCTCTTGTAAAAAATGTGTAAACTGAAGGAGAAGGATGTGTGTGTGTTTGCTTTTTTGATTTGGGCGAAGTGGGCCATTTGATGTACCCCCAGAGCTCCATGTCTGTTTGTGAGTTCTGCGCGTCTGCTCAAAGAGAGCAAGGGGTTGCGCAGCACCTCTCACCTGGACTATACGATGAGTCCCAAAATGGAACTCGAGCCCAAATGGGCATTATTAACTCCAGCCTGTGGGAAGTGGGCAAATCTGATTGATGGTCTCAGCAAGTTTTAAGATTTCTGAAACGAGGATTTTTATCCACTTAGCTGATCTGCAAAAGTCCTTTGTTTATGTTCTTGCTTACTTAAAGGGGTTTTACCTCATGTTTCCTTTCAGCATTCATTCGCGTCTGCTGAAATCACGCTCAAATAACGTAAAGCTGAAAAACGGTTTTATGGAGGGTATAGTGGCTTGCCTTCTACCATTTCTCCCACCTTGCTCCCTTCCTCCCCCCGCTGTCCTTCACTAAGTGGGGTTCAGTGGAGCGATAAATTGCAGAGAGCAGAACATCTGGCTTTCACTTAGGTGAGAAGACGAGATGTGGGATTTCTTGGCGCAAATAGGTTTTGATTTTGAAGGAAGACTCTCCGTCGCCCCTCTCGCAGCCCTGCAAAAGACCTCAGAGTTGCAAGGAATCGACATGGTTCTTACCTCAAAGCGCACCATCAGAGGGTAGAAGCTCTGTCTGTTTTCTCCTCTGTTTTCCACCAAAGAACGTCGTGGGTTAAACTTTAAGGTCCATTATTGTGAATTGCGATAATTAACTTACTAATAATAGCAAATTCAAGGGTCCACGTTTATTCCACACGTAAACCATTAAGCCAAAAAGTTGTGTAGATGGGAGAGTATATTTGATAACAGACTGCTCTCCCTCTTCTTCGTTCAAAACTTGTTCAACACTTTTTTCTCCGCCGCCTTCAAGAAAGCAGGGAATTATAAAAGCGTTGGCTTTATAGCATCGACTGTCTTCAGTAATTAAAGACCCATTGAACAAACGAAGTTATTTTCGGTGTCACCTCATACGCTGTGGTATTCAAATGCAAGGCCATCGGTGTGACCGACGATTCGTGATTGTTTAAATAATCATTAGCTCATCATACGCGTTCGTTTGTATATCTAATGAAACAATAAATTACTCCGCTTCATCAATGTTCAGATATTCCGTAGATAGCGTTAAAAGGTGACGCTGCCATTTTGGATAATGATCTATACGATGTAAGCAGTGAAGCTTATTAAAAAAGACCATTATGTCGTTCTTAATTTAAACGTTTTCCGCAATCCGCCTACCTAAGATACGGAGAATACCTAATCCTTCTATCAAAACCGAGCTTAAGAAATTATTTTCTAGACACTGACTCTTTTACTTAAGAAATATGATAATTTCCAACACATGCCTTGTTTGTGTCAAAGGTTGTTTGTTAATGAGGGATTAAGCACCTAGCCAAATTTAAACTTTGGTTTTAAGAAGATCTCTTCGTAAAAATGCAAATTTTAACTCAAAAATCTGTCATTGACAGATTTGTAACAGTTTCTATCAGATACTCTCAAAAAGTTGGAAGTAGTTAATAAAAACCTGTAAAAATAAACCACCATGTCTCATGACTCCATGAAGTCCATCTTCTTTTTGGCTCCCAGAGGTGTTAATTAATTACGTTCTATTTGCTTGCCTAAGGCATAAAATCGCAAAAATGGCCATTCGTTTAAAGCGATTTTTTAGCAGTAATACCTTTGAGATGTTATAATTAACTCAAATTATCCGCTTCTTCTACGCGAATAAGGGTTTTAGAACTTAAACCGTGAGGATGCAGTGATTACCTGATTTCTTATGGCTGACTCTCCCGATTCACTCCCGATCCCCAATAAATGTGTTTCGCCGGCAAAACAGACCAATCGGAACACGGGTAGTAGAAGACGTGTGATTGGTTTGCCCGAAGCGCGCTTTGCACATGCCTGCCCTGCGCACTTCCCCTCCACCGCTGCAATTTATTTTTACTATTTTTTGTTTCACTTCAAGCACACACGTAGGAAAAAAGTTTTTCAAAGTGAGTTCAGTTCAGCGTTAAGAGCATGGCACATCCCAACTCTGGCGGTGGTATAGCCAACTGCTGCGTTGGATGCGAGCGACCAATTACGGACAAGTACTATCCATGTATCGATGATCAGATTTGGCACCAGGACTGTCTTCGCTGTGTGGTCTGCCGCGTTCAATTAGTGGGCCGGTGTTTCCTCCGAAATGGACAGTACTTTTGTAGAAACGACTTTATACGGTAAGCACTAAGCACCTTCCTCTAGTCTGCCGGAGACGCCTTTGGGGTTTGGACTTTTCCACGTAGATAATCGTCTCTTTGCCATATTTTAATTCAACTTTTACCTGACAATACTTATAAGCAGGGTTCAGCTAATCCACTTTAGTTTTATGTTCATTGTCACTTTATGCGGCTTCATGTGTAGTTGCCTTATGTGTTCACCAGACCCAAGGCTGTACCGTAAAATATAGCTTTGATTTATTAATCAAACGAAAGCTTACTTTAGTTATCCCATGTCACCTGCATTATTCTTATAATATTTGTGGTTTACTTAATCATTTAGCTATATCATATGAAAAGCTTTCTTCATCCTCTCTTGCGAAACATTCCAGATTTTCTTGCCTTGGCTTACGGCCAAATGCGATTTTATAAGCATGAAAGCAATGCCTGAATCTTCATTTACATCAAATGGTTATAGCATAGACAAGAAGATTCTTTCTCGTATAAAAATTGTCTGACAGTCTTAGGCTGGTTGAGTATGGTGCGGCTAATAATCAAAGTCAAGCTTCATTTCCACCGAACAAAACGAAAATGCTGAAGTGATAGCCCTCTGTCCAACGCTATGTTTTCCTTATAAATACATTTGTTTTAGTAAGATTTGAGAAAGTACGGTAAAAAAATACGCCTTGAGTCGTGGAATAATTGTCTGTACTTTTAAAAGCCACGCATCAGGCAGGCAAGTCGGTCAAACTACAAAGGAAACGGTAACTACGACCTTGAAGGGCTGGAGAAAAATGTATACATACAGAGGTTGAAAATACGCTTGTGCTGTTGACTACAGCTTCTGTGAAGGCGCCCACCCTCTTGCGTGAAGTAAACAAGATAAAAGGTCGCAACCACATTAAGACCCTGCGTGACGGTGCCGCGATTTTTCTTTTAACTGCTATTTACTTCGCCTTCTCACATATACACCTGTTTACGTGCTTCACTTTCCGCAGACGTTGAAACTATCTGAAGCCAGACTTTTGGTGCTTTGAATGGTTACGCTTGTAGTCTCTTCAGTCCGCGATGTCCCACCTGCATGGAGACGATCATGTCGACAGACATGGTCCGACTGCTAGGATCTGTTGCCTATCACGCTGACTGCTTCCGCTGCGTCCTCTGCGCGCGCTGTCTCTCTACGGGGGATGAGTGTCGATCCCTGGGCGATGGCGTACGATTTGTCTGCATGGAGCACGGCACCTCCACCACCAACCAGAGACTCTGCCATTTAGACACTCCGAGGAGTCCCTCTCGCTCCGACAGCATCTTTGAAGGCAGTGGTGGTGGTGGTGGTGGTGATGGAGTTAAACATGGAGGTAGGTAAAAAAATAAATGTAGAAGCTTGATTGTCATTTGTCTTTAATGATGAGTGAGCAGGTGGCTGATGGAAGCAGTGCAATTAATTGCTTTTAGTTTGTTTCAGTATCTTTAAAATCTTTTAGTTTCTGCTATATTAGGCCTCAAATCAGAAAGTTTTATTTATATTTAAGCAGTTTACACTTTATTTTTTTTTGTTTTGAATGTGTTGCTATGGTAATTAGTTTTGTTATGTAGATTTTGTGTTAACACTATAAGTTGCAGGTAGGTGGTAACGCTCCTTGGCCTCTTGTGTCCCATAAAATGGGTCTGAGATTCTCCAAATTGAATAATGAGGAGTAAACAGCCTAGGAAATTTTATGTTTGCAAACAAAAGGGTGTTCATAAAACTGACTGGGGAGACCCTTATACTCTCCAGATAAATCAAAGAGTTCTGAGGTCTTTACTTGGCTTTACTGTTTTTTTTTGTTTTTCAATGAGTTTAACTGGGGGACACCTTTACTGTATTTAAAATTGACTTGATAACTACCTTCCATTTGGATTGCAAACGCCTACTTGTGGAAAGTATGAATGAGTCTAGTTGCATCATTGCCACTTATTTTTTTATCCTTATTTGGTCCCTTTACAACCAGAAACAGACAGAGAAACCATATATTACGAGCACCAGGACTTTTACGCTTCCACAGAAGCTGGTCTGGGTCACTTCGTATCCAGCGAACCGGAGCAGGAACGGGAGATCGACTCGCCCATGTACACGAGCAACCTGGAAGGCGATGACCAATCGGAGGAGTGTGGACTCGAGCTGGCCGAAGTGGAGGGAGAGGTGGAGGGCGGATCAAAAGCCACCTCGGGACCAGATGAGGCTAGTGGTAGTCCCGCCTCCAATGAAATTTCGGTTTCTACCACCACCGCAGTGTCCACTCAGGCCTCATTGGAAGGCAGTGGAAACACCCTCGTCACAAAGCGACGCGGACCTCGTACCACTATCAAGGCTAAGCAGTTGGACACCCTAAAACAGGCCTTCGCCACCACACCAAAACCCACCAGACATATTCGTGAACAATTGGCTCAAGAGACCGGTCTCTCTATGCGCGTCATTCAGGTGAGCCTCCTACTCCAACCCATGCTGCAAATGTATAGTTTTGTTATGATGTGCATGGCCACGTAACTTTAACAGTGACAACTCTAAAATCACAGCATGAACTTTGGTAGGTCTAGGGTCAATTGAATGTATTCCACCTGATCAATTTGATATTACTGGTACAGCCTGCTTAGGGCCGGGACAGGGTCTTGTGGCTCTGGCATGATTTGTTTCTCTCACCGTTATTCACTCGCGGGAGTCGAGTGTGCTTATGTGCGTCTGTGCATGTACCTCGAGCCTCGTGACTCCTGTCAGCCTTGTACGGCATCACGCACCTAGTCTGATGCGTCCCGTGTCTTTGACGTCCACCGCATACGCCCTCACCTAGGGCCCTGCCCTGTGATAAACGCTTGGGGTCGCCCAGAGAAGGCTTTTGTATTAATCATAAATTGTCGCCAAATGCAAAAGTACTTTTCGGATTAACCTCTGCGCTTAACTTTTTGCACATTTGTGCGTCTATGGTTTGGAGTTACCCTAACTAGTAAATAATTCAGTCAGTAGATGGCAGTTTCAGCATTGAAGTAAAGTGGTCAAATTCTCTACAGGGTTAAACGTGTAAACGGCTGAGGTTTTGATGTTGGTGCAAATGCATGCCTGCGAATAGGCGGAAGCCAATAAAAATGAATCTCCTCTTCTTCAACTTCCGTTGGCATTTCGCAGCGCTGACACCTCGACAGACGCAGCAAGCGGCGAGTTGGAGTGAATGTCCTTGTGCAGAAAATTACTGCTCCCTCCTTCCCCTCCCCCCCCCCACCTTCCTTCTCTCCCACTTGTCGAATATGCAAATGAGCAGTGAGGAGTTCGGGGTGTAAAATTGCTGCCCTATTGTCACTACCAGCATTGGACACTGGGTGAACAAGGCGCAGGATGAATCTAATGCTTTCCTTCTCCTTTGGATAAAATCCAGATGCAAGGGACCCTATACCTTTGGGATAATTAAAAGAATTGTGGAACTGTGCAGGAATCTCGTGCATCCTTAGGCCTTGAAGAAATCATTTAAAAATATCACTTCTCTTAAACTTGCTTCCCAACGTCTATCATACCTTTGCATAAGTAATTAACATGTTCATAGTATGTGTCCAGGCTGCGATTAAATGGGTAAACAATTTCAGAGTGAAAAAGCTATTCTTTCTCTATCACAGTTATTGTTTCCAAACGCTTTGAAGATGAACTCCCATGGGAGCCTCTTTCTTTTCTGATCTCGCCTATCAGAGGTCGGAAAGGGACGAAAAGATAGCCAGTGAGCATAAATGCTTTGCTTTCGCCTCAGGAAATAAGAAGTGTTAAACAAAAAGTCCAAAAAAATATGTAAGTATAATTTAACCTCCCAAATAAAGTTTTAAATGAAATTGTGAATATTCTGAGAATCCGTGCTAGGCTATTGCAAAGGTGAACAAGTAGACAGTTTGTGTACGAACTGCTAGAAGGGCGAAATGGGGGGGGGGGAATGAGGAGGTATTAAAGCCAGCAGCAAATGCACTAATCCCCGACTTAAATGGCATCGACAGGCTTCACACTAGCCATTCTAATCCCTCTCCCGCCTGTCCATGTGCGTACGTGCGTGAGCATCCGTTTCCTGCTTGCGTCTTCGACTCCGTGACGTGGCCTTCCCGACTCACCTCCCTCGCCTTCCCCCCCCCCTCCCCTGTGCCCCCTTCCATTAAACGGAGGCGCAATGAGAGCGGATTATACGCTTTTCATTTGCTATTGTTGTGAGTGAAAATCTCACTTCTCTAGTTTCATTCACTCACGCCATACTTTAGGATCTGTGTTGAACTCTCGGTTTTTTATTAAGTGCATTCCACCTTCCCTAGTATCGTTTACAAACGCTGCCTATACATGTGTCACTGAAATATAACGAAATTCCTATTTTGGAAATTGGATTCTTTTCCAAAAATCCTCCGTTTCAAGAATTACACATTAATAATGTCTGCTTTTATGCATGCTAAGGTGTTTGTGGAATGCGATCCCCGGGAAATATCTCAATTAAAAATCACACCAGCTCGTTTTTTTAACTGTACATTTTAGCTCCTCCGAAGTAAATGAGAAAGTAGTTATTGAGTAATTGTGTGTTATAGGTATGGTTCCAAAATCGTCGCAGTAAGGAGCGTCGGATGAAACAGCTATCGGCGCTGGGAGTACGAAGGTCCTTCTTCCAGCAGCAACATCACAATCACCACCACCCTGTCCGACGAATTCGGATGGGGAGCGGTGGCGGTGGCGAAACCAGTGGTGTCCCTTCGCTTGAACCAGCCTCCTTCGGGCCTGACGACCTGCCTCCCGAAGTAATGGCGGAGCTGTTACATATACCAGTCCTTCCACCGCCGCCGCCACTACTTCCACCTCCAGGATATCAGACTGGTCTTTTCTGCGTCGAGGCGCAGCGAGTGAGTTTGTCTGCCTGTCCACTAACTTTTTTCGACCAGGAGATAATGTTGAGAATATATGATCTAATAAAAATTGGTCTATTCTCAAAATAATTACCTCAGAAAATATGGTCCTTTTTATATCCCTAAAAGTGATGCATAAATGGGAGAACTTGCAAGCTGAATGGGTAGATCGCTGTTTAGAATAGGCAAAACTATTGCAGGTGACGTTTTGAATATCGAGAAATCATCAGCAACGCTAATAAATTATACGTTATTTGCACAAGCTCTATCAACGTAATAAAAGTCAATCATTTTATTTTCAATTCAGGAATTTTACAACACAATGGCGGCCGAGGCTCCGAGTACATTCCCAATAGGCGCTTCGATGTTCTCCTATGGACCTTCACTGTCCCCACTACCACAATCAGGATACCAGAATCCTTTCACCGGAGGAGGTCTTACTTACTCCTCACGACACGAGAGCATGGTTAAGAAGGTACCTCTTTCACCCGAGCATCCCCTTCTGCCACAATTGCCCTGCGAACGGGAGCCCGGAAAAGCCGCTGATGATCAAATTAGTAAGTGACTGGTTTCTTGGGGTAAAGGTGCCTGCCATTCCTTCCTTGAATGGATATTTCTTCAGAAAATCCAACAACCTCTTAGATACTACATGGTAGCCAATGTGCTGTGGCTCTCGAGTTGGAGGGTATGAGGGTTACGCAAAGCATGAGTTGAAAAAGCGTTTGACAGAAAGGTCTCCACCGTGATCACTCTTCTGAATCTGTCACGACACCTTTTAAGTGCGTCGTTGTCAGCTGCGCGACTGGGTGGGTGATGCTAGGATGGACTTGCGTCAAATATTGCAAAAGCTCCTTGTGGCATTACCAGTGGGAAGATTTGGTCGGATTGTTGAATGTCACTCCCTTAATCAGGCTTGCCTCACGTGCACAGCAAGGCTTCCAAAAGCCTTATTGTTTCTGACCATCTTCAACTAGCGATTATTGCATTTCGAAGTTTCAGAGACTAGTTTTACAGCCTTGGACTGATACAATTTCATACAACACTTTACTGATCTGCATTAACTATCCTTTTACATCACATTCACTTTTCGAAAGGGAGGTAAACGAGACCCGTTTAATGAATTTCTAGGTTGATATTTAGCATCTTCGGTACTGCAAAGCGTAAAGCTTCTCTTAATTTCATTCGGCTGAAATGGTTTGGGTGGCGAATTGGCTAATCACAATTGAGGGGCGCGTATTTTGATGTGGAGGACAGCGCTTTTATAATGAGACTGGACTAGGATGTTTACCGTCATTTTTTCTCTCACCCTTCTCGCATTTTGGAGGGGTTGGGAGGGTAGGAGCGTGGGAGCATGCGAAGGAGATGCTGGAAAGAGGCAAAAAAATTGGCCACCACAGGGGATGGGTAGAAGGGGTGAGAGAAGGGGTGGGCGTGATCGACTTCGCGGTCATCCTTTGGGAAATGAAGGAGTAGGAATAATGCTTCATTTGGCTGCGTGAGATGAAATTCTTCATGCAGGGCCATATATATATATATGGGGAGGGATATGGAGGGACATCGGCAAAGTTAATTAGCCCGAAAGTTAATCCTCTGTCTCGAGTGATAGGCCGCCACAGCTATCAAGCCTGTCAATCCGGGAAGTGAATCGTTCAGGCAAAGGTGATCATTGCGTGCTTGGTCGAGTGGTGTAGACCATAATTTATCTCAAAGCTCAGAGTGCAATCGCTGTCTTTTTCACAGATCGCATTAATATTACCGGTTGTCTAATGCGGCCTTGTGACAGGCGGACGGAGTTGAGTATGACAACCTAATATTAATGTTTAGTTACTCAGAGGACTTCACACCAGCTCATTTTAATGGCATCGTATTAAACTATTCCTTATGGACTACTGCTTCAGCACGACCACCATCTCCTCCTGGATGTCCTGTCATTGTTTTACAAAGTTTCACTTCAGTCGGTGAAAACTAATTGATTGTTTTGGACCTCTTAGCTCCTTCAGCCGTAGTATACGAGATGGTAGTAGTTCTTCTCGGCAACAAGAAATCTTGAATGAGTGATTCGTTCAGACCAGTCTGAGGGCAAACGAGAGAAGTAAAAGGAACCTTATAGAGATAATGTTGGCCACTGCATCTACGGTGAAGATGGGCAGTTTATTTATGCCAGGCGGTAGGATCCGCTTAAAATGAAGAGATACGATAGGCAACTTTACTCCTTCATTGATAAACGGGAAGAAGAGAAGATGAAACGGAAGTTGAATTACTTCGATGAAGTGATACAATTTATTAGTATCAACCCTTAACGCTCGGTTTCTATACCCCACGCTGAAAAACTTGACAATGTACTTTTCGGCTCGTTCGACTCCAAGGTCTTCTTCACGATCATTTCAAAAACGGCTCATCTCTGGACGCCATGAGACGCACCATCCAGTGGTCCCATTGGGATCTGGATTATCTAACTTCCATTTCTTGCCATTCTGACGCAATTACGTATTCCTTGCATTTCAAGACACCAGGGATGACATTACTGCGGAGCTTTGTGATATGACATCCCTATCAAGTTGCCGTTATAGTCACTGCTCCATACAAATCTAGGTGTAATTTCAACTACTCTATTTTACGATTAATACAAAGCATGCCTTTGATGTGTGCAACTCGTTGATCGAAACTGATTTCAAGCTAAATTTTGAAAAATGGTCCTTTATTTCAACTATTTCTACATTCACTCAACACACTATCTGTTTGTTTAAGCTTTCATCCAGTCAAGATTTTTCCTAGTCTCCTTTTTTATTTTGCGCTTTGTTGTCCTATCCTTCTGGGAGCGAATCCCAAACAGTGTGGCAGTACTGTAACCTTGACTCTCCCCTCCCCGTATCACAAAGCCTCGAGTGTGGTTATTCCCTAACGCATAGGGAAGCCTTACCAGTGTGCTGGAGTGTCGAACACTTGCGCAAATATCTTCTTACATTCCTCTTCACCATTGCTGCCTATGATCGAGCAGTGAAATCTCTTCATCATCCTACGGTACCACTAGCCAATTCGTCAGCAACTAGAGCTCAGCGTTGGCGCGTTTTGTTCGTCTTACAACCTGAGTACACACACCGCGGGTCAAAATCAGCACCCGCGGCAACTTCCGGGCTCTAATAAAACTGACCTGCCTTACATCGCAGTCCCTCCACCTCAAACGAGATGAAGTGAATGAATACATGCGTGGCACTCGTAAGTACTTTACACGGATAAAATCTGCTCTACGTCGGGGATGGGCGCAGCGTAGTTGACGCGGATTCCCAGTCTTTTACTCCCACCATGACTGGTTGGCTGTGGCACCGGGTTGACGATTATGCCCCAATGATCTACATTCTGGCCCGCTGGATGCGCGTGAGGTGAAATTTACACCAAAACTTACCTACTGACGGTTGGAAATGAATTCAGACATTTAGCTAACTGCAACAAAGTGCATAAACAGTGGCCGCAAAATTTATTCTAAACCATCCAAGTGGCTTTCGTGACCTGCTACTTGTGATGCATTTTAGCCTGTGTATCAATGCTACTGTGGTCCATTTCTGGATAAATCCTGTGCTCTTATCAGAAGCTTTTTTTTCTCGCTGGCCTGACGTTTTCTTGCTACGTGGTGTAGTGCTGAGCTGACTCAGTGGGCTTTACGAAGTGACTAATTACGGCTCCCAATACTTTGGCATCCAGGGGCATTCCAAAAGTTTCATGGATCCTTCGAAGGGCGGTTTAAATTCCTTATGACCAACTACTTTCAGAGGCTCTGATTGTGGGATGGACTACTCTTTGCTGCGGCAAAGAAACATTTTCCATTCCGTCATCCGACGAAGTCCTGATAGGCTTCTCAAGCCACGTTAATTGCGCACTAACTTTGAGAGTGTCTGAACTTGTGATGATAAATTCTTCAAAGGAAATGTTCAACATTTTGCTACTGTCACAGTTATTTCTTCTACCCGCAAATGCATGGCGAATTTTCTTAATTTAACAGACCTATTGTAGCATCGATGCCATGTAGAGTAGGTTTCTTAATGGCTGAGACAAGCCTGATGGCAGCTCTTACTGCATTTTATTCCGTCACTACGCCTTCTCATCTTGAATTGATTTGCTCTACTGATTGTTTATTAGGCTTTCGTACAGTTGAAGATCTGAATGCTTAAGGACGAAATCGCAATAAGGTTACGAGCAACCGAAGTCTCAAGGTGTGGTTAATGTGATGGGCACGATTAGCACTTACTTTAGTCTTTCGCGCATTTTAGTGTTCTATGATTTTGTAATCAAGACTTAAAAATTGAAAAATACTTTCTTTGTGATGAGATTACTTTTTAATGTCTCAAGTTCTTACTTACATACCAACTACCCGGTGTATTTGTAGACGAGTCGTCAGTATACTTCTCTGACGGACCTGGGTACACACTGGAAAAGGCAACACTGAGCCCTCAGTCCGAACCCTTCTCCCATCTGGTGGGAAACCACTGCAATGGAGGCGCAGCGTTCATCGTGGCTCCCAATGAGCATAGCCTCCTCTCTTCTCAGGATACCTACCGTCAAAACCACCACCATTCGCATCCTCTTCAGCAGCAGCAGCACCACCACCTCCGACCCACACTAAACCAGCAACTGACGCACCTTTCCCCCATTAAGTCGCAGAATGCGTCTTCAGATCAACTTGCCTCTGCTGATGCACTCGAGTGCTCCTGGTAGTGTGAACCCCTCAGCCCCTTTCCCCTTCCTCCTCTTTCCTTCGTTCATTCGCTACTGTGTTTGAATGTTTGTGTACATATACATTAAATGCTCATCTCATCCAATCAGATTGGGTTTCTCTGAGCCCAGCACGCTTCACATTAGCATAAGCAAACATATCACATTCCTTCCACTTGCCTCCAGAGCATGTAAAATCCACTTGGGAAATATCTCCTTGAGGTTGTTGTCTGACGTCCACCAAACAGAACGCAGGAGGGTTATCAACACGGGCTACTAACAAAAATATGTAAAGAAATTCAAAATTTTCTGGTTACTGCCATTTTGAAGTGAAAAAAAAAACTGCAAATCACTTAATTTAAATTTTTAGGCAGGGATAGATTATGCAATGTGGAAGGATTGGCAGGATTAGCAGAAAGCGAAGGAGAGGGTGAAGAAGCCATAGGAAAATGAAAGCAGTAAGAAAAACCATTTAACATTTCGTTGGTGATTTACGTGGCAGCTAAAAGTTGCAGTGATGTGGACAGTTTTGGGGGTCATCAGGGGATGCACAAACACGTTCGATGCCTAATGCAAAGGGATAGATTCATGTCATATGCTTTTAGTCAGTATTCACTTTTTAAGTCGTCATTTTTGTGGTAGAGTCCGCCTTTCGGCCAACAAGGACTTTGAATGTAATCGCTAGCATAAGTGGATTTTTCACCGCAAACCCTCCATTTTAACAGTGGATCCTTTACAGGTAAATGTCAAAATACCACAAAAGTGTGTGTGGCAAATTACAGTATCCGTACTAGTAGACACACGGTAAGAATGTTAAAATTACTATAAATTTATAAAATAAGTCAACTTCTTCGGCATACAAAAGTATCCTATGCTATGTAATGCATCAAGTATTTGTTTAACTCCCGATTTTGGTAACGAGCCACTTCGAAGCTCCTCCGTTGTACTACCACCGGGTGGGCTAGTCTCTGGGCCATGCCACTAGCCTTATAGGCCTTCTCCTTGTCTGCAATGCACACATTCTGTCCGAGTATCATGTCTTATTTCGTCTTCGGGGAAGTCTTGGGGAGCCTTCGCGTTGCCAAACCAACGTGTTATGAGTTCTTACCGAGAAAATGATGATGACTCAAACTAACATTCGGGAATTTCTTAGTAATTAAGTAACTTTCAAGGGTGTCGGTGAATTCGATAACATTGATACAATCCATCGCCTGTAAATAAAACAATACGTTCTCGATGGCCATGGGAGCGCTAAACTTAAAATCGAAATAAATAAGCGCATTTCTTATCTAAAAAGCAGTAATAGAATTCATGTGAAAAACACCAACCGCTACATCCACGATTAATTTCACGGAGAGCTTAGAGAGGGATAATTTATCTTTAAGGTCGTCAGGGTGTTACAGGTGTGACCCCATACTGACTTATTTGAGGGTCACACCTGATTGGATCTTGCCTGCCGAAAACGCCTCTTTTCACCTCCCCTTTTGACACCGGTGTCACGCTTGATCTGCGTAGGTAATTCGCTTTAACTGATTCAGGAATGACACTAGAAAAACACCGATGCGTCGTCGTGTTCACTGACGCAGAAAGTCAAGAAAATGTGGGTGGCGACCAGGTTTGTTAAAGCTAGTTAAGTTTCGGACTTAAATTTACGAAAAGGATATAGTTAATCATAAATAATTGCTTTGGTTTAAAAGCCGTTCAAACCCATCGTTCTGATCCATTTTAGACCATATTGTAATGCACGATCGTTTAATGCACCTAATTTGGGTTACAAGGCGGCCAGTGTACCGGCATCGTCTTCCCTTCAAGGGTGCGCCAACTTTGGTATTCCGCAGCCCCTAACTACTATGCTGCATATCATACATCCCTTACGTAACACACTCATCTGCAACTCAGACTTCGCCTCGCAAATTCCGGAAGCCGGCAGTCGAGTGGGATGATAAAGTGTCTGGAGTACATTACGGAGAGAAAAAGGAATTTTCCAAATTTTGAGCATTAACCTAGTTACAGGAAGTTCTACGTTGATTTGATCAATAAATGTGGACGCAAATTTAGCTAAATATCGCAAGTCGTGAGTCACTATAATAAATATATTGTGAAAATCCTTTTTAAGCTATATGTAAGGTTTAATGATTAGCACATTTGCTTGACCCTTTGTTTTGGTTTAGCAAGCACTTAACATTCCTCCGACTGTGCTGGAAGACACCCTGAAGCCCTTCTGTAATACGATAGTGGTTAGTTCCTCGGCATTGGTGAGGCGCCACTTTGTACTTTGAATTAGCCCCCTTGTACGTCGCTGGGTGGGCTGACCTTTTGAGCCATGCCAATAGCCCAGACACCCTCTCTGCGCTGAAAATATATTCTGCCCGAGTATTTTGTCTTCTTTCTTCTTCAGGGAGTTCCGGGACGCTACACTTCTGTGCGTTGACATCACATTTTCTGCCCGTGTGTTATGTCGTCTTTTACCTCCGGAAAAGTACCGGGTGCTACAGACGATCCTAGGTTATTAGAAGTATTCTCTAAAATGATCGGCGGTATTTAATCTCTTGAAATGGTTTGGGAAACACGAAGTGGAGCACTTAAATGTAATGCACCAAATAAATTCCCCAAACGAGGCTGTAAACGTTCTTCTTTTTTTACAAAACCAGATTACAGATACCTTGTGGGCCTACAATCCAGTTAACTTAAAACACTCAAATACACAAATAAAAGTTTTAAATTTATCATATATCCCCTAAGGTCTTATGACTTTTACTCTGATTGGTGCAATTTTATTGCACTATTATTGTGAAGAATTCAGGTACTATGAGATTTTTATCTGTTACCAGTTTCCTAAAAGAATATTCTAATTTTTTAATAACCTTGAAAATCTTATACCACTTGAATGTTCGTAAGACTCCCAATTAAAATGTTCAATTTCCAGCGCATCGTTTAAGCTCTCGACCAATAGGACGGGGATGTCCCTTCCGTCGCTTGAATCATTCTAATTTTGTTTTTAAAAAATCTGTAAGTTTGTGCAGCTTTAGTGCTTTGTACCCAACGCCTATCTCAAAAGACCTTGCGCATACTTGGGTGTAGCATTTTAGTACCTGTTAATTTTTTGTGTTCGGATGTATTCATAGCGGTTATTCTCTTGCTTGGCGAGGTACTAATAGCGGTTATTCTCTTGGTTGGAAAACCTGTTATATCTTAATTTTTCTCACTTGGACTTGTTCTGATTTCTGTTTAATTTGCTCCTCATTTCGCATTATTCGGGTGACACTTGTTTACGACCCTGAATGTGCTGAGTATGTCATTTATTCCATGTCTTGAAGAATTTAACCGCTTTTGAAAGTACCTAATTTGGATTTGTTAGTGTTATGCGAATTAATGGGTACTTACGTCTTCAGTTTAGTTGGTGTTTCACTACATTGAACTCCTTAATCTTTTGGATATGTATTTGTCAATCTCCAAATTCTTAAACGATTGTTAACTAAAATACAGTGGCGTTATTTTACTTAAAATGGGCTGAAATGCAACAAAATTATCGGAGCACTTTGGTGAAAAAAGCCAAATACTCCTGCATTTTAGTAGTGTTTAACAAACGAATATATGATCAGCCTTTCCTCGTAATTATTTTTCACTGTGGACCTTAAATCTGCCTCATCAGATTAAAATTAATCACTCCTAAGTAAGTGTTTTCTAGGCTGCTTCGTCTTTCATTCATTAACACTTGTACTCAATCCTTAAGATCTTGCACCTGACAATCCTGGTTTTCGCTTTGGTTGCATTAATTAATCCACCCCTTTTTCCTTTCCATCCTAGTTCGTCGGAGTTCTTTACCCTTAATATTGTTCTCCTTCGAGCACATTGTTTACTGATTCCGCTAAGATGCTTCGTCCAAGTTTCATCCCATTAGCGTCGTCATTTCGTCGATATGCATGATAGCGGCATGCCTTGCTAATCACCCGTAGTCCTTTCCTTTATGCATTATATTTTGCTGTGTTTGCAATGTCTGTCCAGTCAAATAGTAGCTAGAATATTTTTTATTGATGTCGCATGCTTCAGTAGACTTTTGGATATTTCAAGGCCTAACATCTCTGCACGATTTCTGCCTTTATCGCCGTTGTTCGGATACTTTATGCTTATTCATACCTTTTCCTTTATTCTCTATTCTCATCTCTTTGTGCGGTCCTAGCTGCTAATGCAATTTCACCCGTCCATAATTAGAATAAACATTAATTCCCTTCTTTGTGAAGCATTTTATTTGAAACCCGCTTTGGAGTTTTCCCCTCCTCTCAAAATGTATATTGTGATATAATGCCGAATTCCTCTTCCCCAAATGCGTGATTGACAAGGTCTGCTTTCCTCTTTCGCCCTTGCTGGTGCCAGATCATCTACTAGGCCTTCCTCTTTCCTGTGCTTTTTCTACCGACAGTGGTTTGCCGTTGGTAGCACATCGAGTCCCTGTGTAACCTCACGTTAACGAATATATTTTCCTCCATTTTAAGATGGATGGGACGTTGGGAACCTCAACTCTTTCCTAAAGTCAACAAATAAGACTAATTCTATGGTATTTTTAGAAGCATAAAGACGCCACAATAGCGTGTCAATGAAGCTTTACTCTACTTTTTCGTTTCCTTCGTTTCTTTTTGTAAAGGGCTTCTTAAAAAAATACGGTTATTTTGCTTTGCTTTAAAGTAGTATTTTTTCTTAGAGTTTAGTTTGATTTCTTCTACTACGGGACAAAATGTTTAAAGCTGCATTGTATTTATTCGAAGCGGAGCGAGAGAGGTATGCGTTGCTATTCTTTGGAGCCTTGCTCCAGTTTTTTTCCATCTTGTCGTAGTACATCGCTTTGTTCTCTGTAGATTTATCTCCTTCTCTTGCTCTTCGTACAATCAATTCGACAGCATGGGTGTGATGCTTCTCGTGCATCTTCTGTCTAACACAATGCTGCACTATGTACATAAAGTGAATTTTATTTCGCTTATATCCGGCTTACTCCGAATCAAGACACAAGCGAACACGATGCAATAAATCTAATCCCTACTCATGTGGTTCGGTTTCTCGTGGAAAAATGTTTAGGCAATAGCTTACTTCTCCATTAGGGGCTCTCATTGTGGAGTCGCATGTTTTGTTCTTTATTCGTTATTCTTTTTCGCTGTAGATATAATGCCAGAACGCCTATAAGGCTGTCGCTTATCGGAAGCATGTGGCTTGTCAATTGCCTGTGCATCACTTCTTTTATCTTCGCGTTACTCTTTTATCCCGTGCTGTCGCAAATTGCAACAAACGATTCAGGTAAGTACGATTTCTCTGGATATTTCTCTTAAATTGCCCTTTGGTCCCTACCCTCCTTCCCAAATGCCATGACAGTTTCAATTTCGTTTCATTATTGACTGCGCTCATCATTATGAGGTGGATTAATGTGTAATTGTGCTATTCCAATCTGGTTTACTGTCCTTGAGCTTCAAATCAATGCAGTAAGGTCACAAGAAAGGTCGTTCTGAATGCACAATGCAGTTTTCTTTTTGACGGGTTTCACCTACGTGCTTCCCATATGTGAACGTGCTCTCTGCAAACTAACAAACGGATGAGCTAGACCAGCACACGGCAAGCGCTACAGCGCTTGCGTCTTGTTTGGGGGTCCCCTGTAACGTTTTCTTCTTTTCTTTTCCTTTCTGTAACGATATACAGACGTGAGCGTGCGTGTGGTGGTGCCAGACCCCCTATCCCCATGTTTTGTCATTGGAGGATTAAATCCCAAATTTCACGTGCCTGCCCTTGCTGGAGAATGTAACAAAACATATAGTGGAAGCAAAGTTGTTTAGAATTGGAATGTATGTGTGCATGACGATTCATTTCACTAAGCAACAACCCTTTCCCACTCGCTTCGCATGAACAGATGTGCTTGAAGTGCCTAAGACTCACCTGTCCCTGGTTTCGTTTTCCCTCCCTAATAGTCATTCTGTATCAGTAAGTACATTGGAGTGCGTGGGAGCCTACTGCCCATTGGACAACCCCTCTGTCTAGCTAGGCGCAAATCGCTCCTTCACTTTTCGTGGAGTGGTAGGAGGGGCCGAGGCGCGAGTATTAGCTGCAAATTCCAGCTTTTTCAACTTTTTGGCAGCGGCGCGTGTCTAGACACCCCGCCTGTCCGGGTGCGCTGCTGAAAGTGCTTGACTATAAATACCTTAAATTGCCCCGTGATTCATATCGCTGCAATTTGGGTATACATTTCCATAGACATTTCCATTCCAGTTGGAATCAAATCTTGGCAGTGCTGTATTTTACCCTGTTTCTGTGTTCTTAGCATTGCTCTCATCAGTGGCTTGCACTTCTCCGTGGAACGTATTGTTTTGTAAACCAAAGCAATTTACTGCCTTCTACCCACAGGTTATGTGCAAGAGTGCGTGTAAGCTTCGAATACTGCAAATGCGTGACTGTACACCCCGTTTCTGTCAATTAACTCGCTACTTATTGTAAAATTTTTCGGATGAAATACGAGTATGCAGTGATTGGCCAGTGTGGAGAAGGAGGATGGTGCTGCTGTGCAAACACATTCTTACCGCTTAAAAGGGACACTCACGTGTCTACCCACACCCCGACATGCACACATTGACACGTTTACACCGCCGAAATTTGGTATAACACGACCGTAGGGACTTGCAACAAGCCACCGCTGTCGCAAGTCGGAACAATGGCTCTGTCTACTGCTTTTATCTTTGTTGTAGTGGTAGTGGTGATGATGGTGTTAAAGCTTCACTGTCACCTTTTTTACAAGTGGGGTGTGGTTTACACAAGTTCCGCACCAAACAATAAATTGGCGCCTCCTCTCTTTTTTCTCGTCCGTTGTGGCTTACCGCCCAATGCCCACGATGTTTTAAACCAAAAGATGTGTCGATTGACGTCTTGAGTTTGATATTCTTTGATTTTTCTGAGGAACAGCGTCTGAGAGTATTGATATTATAAATGGTGTAGTCTCTACTTTAAAGAGTGTTTCCTTGCGACTTCCTTGGATTATAAAATTAAATCACTTTGTTTACGTTAGCTGTACTGCTCCATAAAGCTGTTGCTTTCTTACGAACACACGTCTGTTTACGGACGATCCTCCAATTGGGGATGGAGTGGTTTCCAAGTTTGATTTCCTCGAGTCTGCCGTCTTGTGCACTTTTCGTACTTCCTCTTTCTTGGTCCCTTTCTCCCTTACTGTCTCTTAGCCTAAGTAGTCGTCAAACCGAACTTTTATCATCCACTTTTTCTTGTGATGGAATTCTACTTCATGAATCATCTTCATACGAAATGTGGATTGGTTGCGCCTTTCAGAGCAAGTCTAGCGACTTTGTATGCGTGCTGTTTGAGTGCCTCCTAAAAAGAGTAAGGGATTTTAAGTCCTCCCAGCTAAATTGAAGGCTTTGCACAATTCGTACACAGCCAAGCTGAATTAGTTGAAGCTGCGCAAAGTAGGCCTGAATTCGGCCATCTACCTAGCCGGTTGTCTTCACGGTGGTCATGTCACGCTCCACTTATTTCGTAAAAACTCCGTTGCAGGCATTAGTGAGAGGAGAAGGCATTAAATTAGAGCTCTCCCCATCCTCTTTTTCAGATGCTCAAAAGTCAAAACGATCTCCACTGGCACCCTTCGGATTAGGCGATTCACCAGCTCCAGGGGACACCTCCTCTATCAATTGGCGCCTCTCTTTAGGCAACATCAACACTACACACGTTGATTTCGCGCCTACCGCTTCGAGGTCCGTGAAGCAGCACTTTCGCAATAAGGGTGAGTTTCACGTCCCTCCCCCTATGGCTGGAAATTACGAGCTCACATGATTCTGTATACACGTTCGAACACTAGTTTTGAAGGGGTTCGTAAACATAGGCGTGTTCTTTTGGTGATTTACCGTGTGTGTATGTGCGTGTGTACATAGTTTTCACTAAGTATTCGCTAGACTGATGACTCTTGTGTCATTTGCACCTTATTCAGTGGTGTGGTCTCATATTGCATGTTTATGCACTATCATGAGTCTAGTGTCCAGATTGTTTGTCCATTTTTGAAGAAAAGTAAGAGAAGAGCGAATTGTACTGACGAAGCAAAAAATTGCCTTTCTTTCCTTCCCTCTCTCTACATCAGGCATCTACGTACGGGTGGCGAGTGAGGCAGCCCTGCCAATCATTCACGCCCTAAACGCTGTTTCTCTGCTTAACACGAGCTGTGAATGTTACGTTTCAGTTATTTTTTAATTTCTGGGAAAGGGACGAAAGAAGGTTTAGTTTACATCGCCGCACTTACTGTTTCCCTTCCTTTAAAGATCACAGGTTGGCACCATTCGCAAAAGAATTTGTTCTTCACTTAAACGCATAGACGTAACCTTGTCCTTTTGTTCATGTGCGTCTGTAGAAAGAGTAACAGCAGCTACATGTTGACCGTTATTTGTGTTGCTACACCTGCCCTTATAATGCAAATAATTTAACCCCAAGTAATGCAGTCCCACAGAGCTTCGAGTTTCTTATGTCAAAAATTAGGCGCTTCTTTATGTACATTACGTTTTGCAGCCTCGTGGCGACCGGAGGTAAGGATAATCGGTGATAACCTAGCGGTGAACTTATCCTGGCCTTCAAGGAACAGTCAGCAGCGTCAACTCAGTCACTACCGTATCCAGTTCCGCTACCGGGAGCCGCATGAGCGCCGTTGGGATCGGCCCTTCGTCGTTGTGCAGACTCGCCTCTCCGGCAGGGTAAGAGCCTTCCCCTTTTTTTCTATTTGAGATTGCGTACACAACCCAGAACTGTTGTTCAATACGTCAGCACCACCGTCACTCATATGTGATGATCCCGTCTTTTAACCTGAATTCTTCTATTGCACGCAGATTTGTTGCAATCGAAACAACAAAGAAGAGATAGGGTGATTTTCCTAATCTGGGGATGATTATACTCATTTTTGTGTTATTGAGTGGCAGTTGAATTGGTCAAAACACAGCGGCACTTAGACGTGCTTGAACTTTTGCACTGGTAGCGATTGTTACCACTGCGTAGTTTCAAGGCTGTTCCTGGGTGCATAGCAAAGTGCGGTTGGGAGATGTTTGATATCCTCAGCACAGCGAGTACTGACAGTGGCGACAAAGCTGGCATCTCTTGTTTGCGTGTGGCACTTCTTCTGCCGGCATCCTGTGCGGCCGAGCACTCACGCACGCGCGCCCACCAGTATTGTTGCCATAGCTACGCAGACGCACCCACCGCAGCTAGTCACCATGCTACCCAGACGGGCAGGCGTTAGGTGGCTGGCACGTCAGCCGGCATGCTAGTTGGGTAGGTTTTGTACTTACGCGCACGCACACCTTCTGAAGGCGAGAGAGCAAGAGGACGGACATGCGAATACACTTCTGCCGCTACCGCCGCCGCCGCCTCCGCCTTGGCACGTGTGGTCGCGTCACACCTTTGCCATGGACGAGTTTTCAACCTTGTTCGTCTTGACCTAGTTAATACGTGACTGACTATAGCCATACTGCTTTTTGGTGTAAAAGAGTAGCAACTTCACCTTCTGCGTTTCCGTGCTTCGTTTGGCTTTAGTATGTGGCCACAATTCAGTCCATTTGCCCTCGGCATTGCAGGAGCAGGTAGGAGAGCGCACTCAGACTGAACCCTTTTGAAAGGCGATGTGTATAGTATGGGTGCTAGTTTATTCGGGCTTTGGGTTAGTTCAAAACCGTGTGAAAGGTGAGTAAATTTAATGTGGCGACCAAGAGCGTGGGAGCAGTCTATGCAATTTATGTCCATTTTTCATTATCAAGCACGTTCTTGTAGCACTATTTTAGGATTTGCTAGTGAATTTTTTGCCACTATTCGCATTTTATTGTGTCCCATGTTTTATGCAGTAAATTTATCTTCATACGCTTATTTAGTGTTAGAAATTCCGGCTTGTAATCGTCCTCTGTTCCAATTTGGATAATGTCCGTGTCAACCCTGGAAACAGGATGGTGGTCAGGATCACTGTGCATCACAGTCATTCCTTGGGAAAGGTGGTTTTATTGCCACATGATAATAACTACTTGAACGTATGCAGCATGATTTTATCCCCTTATAGCGAATAGAATTGGGACAAAACGTCTCAGCAAGCCTGTCTGCTGACATGTTTGTTTTGTCAACATAGGTGCGGGAGCCCTACATGTACGTGACGAATAAGCAACCAGGCGGACTGGAGGCTGGCAAGGTCTACCAATTCCAGGTAGTCGCGGTCTTTGTTGATGCCCAGGCGCCAGAGGAGAAGAGTCGGTGGTCCGCCGCCATTTCCTTCGATTACATTTCTCCTGAGCCCCCTCTTGTGCGAGTTGCACGACGACTGGTGAGCCCCTCTAAATTCACCTCGACCGCTGATGTAATATTCATTGCTGAATGGTCCAGGCACGCACCTGCAAGCCTCACCGAGGATTTGCACATTCATGACCTTTATTGACTCGCCACTGTCAACTTCTCATAGTTCAGCAATTTTAACCCGTTTTCTGCTACCGCCACATACGTGTGATACCCCGATTTTATTATCCAAACTCGGTATTACAAACATGGTAGCTGGTTACACAAACTCATATGCTGCACGCAGATTCATTGAGTTCAAAACGATAAAATATATTTGTAGTGATGAACTTGGTCTGGAGTCAATTGTACCCGTTTCTAGGTATTAAAATGACCCAAAGGATTAATGGCACTGAGGCACCTAGGTGGGGTTTGGTGGTCGCTTACTGATACTCTAGTTTCTTCCACGCTTAGGTATGGTTACGTTTCATATTTCGAGTGATTAATTACGTTGATTTCAGTGTCAACAACCCCTATCATAAATTATTACAATAGCCAGGTGAATTTTTGATACCTGAAATTGGCAATCCCCTTGTCGCCGTCACGTTGGGTACAGAGCTGTTCTGTCTGGAAAATGTCAATTTCTATATTAGGGTATGAGTGCATCCAAATATATGTATTATTTCAACTGACTGCTTATTTTTCAACTAAAAGGGAGGTAGAAATGCTCATTTAATTCGATACTGGGAGTGTCCCAGTTTCATCATTTGCAGTAGAAAGCAATTTGTGGACTATACAATCTGCCGTTCTGCTGTTTCAGTCAGATCCGTGACAGTGCCCGTACAAAAAAGGTTTTTTTAGCCTGGAAAACCCTAAAATGCGTGCCTAATTCAAGTATTAGTGAATCCCAAAATAAGTGTAATTTCAACCGTTTACGACAGTATGGCAACCTATTTCGAGTGCTCCGGACTTTTGCATAGGGGATGAAGGTCACTCCTTTTTCTTGCAGCCGGACGGAGCAGTGCACATCAAGTGGTCGAGGCCCTGGCGACAAAGTGACTTCAAGATAACGCGCTTCATAATTCTATTCCGCAAGGAAAAGCGGCTCCCAGGCGGGGAGACCGCTTTCCACGGTTTCCGACACATCACTGCACTAGGAAACCTTGAGGTAAGGCCTCTTCTTGAACTTTTCCACTGTGAGTTTGGGTATTTATTTTCAAGATTTTTCTTTCGCCTCACAATATTTCAAACTGTGGTAGGCCACTATGCCTCCTTTGCCATCCTAATCATCTCTCCTCCATTCCCTCCCCCTAAAGTTTGCCCTTTAATCTTCCTCTCGCCTTCATCTTTTATCTTTCTACTCGTGGGTGGCCTCAAAATGAGCTGGTCTTTCCCCAAAAAAAATGAAATTATTGCTCTCTTTCTCCTCTCACTGCGCCTGTCAATATGGCGTTTTGTGCATTCATGTGCGTTGTGGTGATATTTGGGCGAAATGGGAAGATAACCATTAGTGTGGTCAGTGAGTCACCGCTGTATTGGTAGATATATAAGTGTCTAAAGGTCAGTGGTGTCTGTGCCGTACTGCGCTTTACATACGCCTCTACAAATACCCTAACGGTCAGGTGCTAGGCAAATGGCACCCCTTTCTCTCCCTCTCGCTTTGCTTCCCTCCCTTCCTCCCTCTCCCTCTCTCCTTCCTCTCTCCCCCCCCCTCTTTCCCCTCGTCCATTTCCTGTAAGGCAAAGAGCTGTGAAAAATCGCTGGATTGGTCTTTACACCGCTCCCCTCGGGTAGACTGTTTCTTTCAATGCTTACTAGTATGTGCTGGAAAGTATTGTTGAACTTTAGGAGGTGTTCAAATGACTAAGAAAATAGCCAGATTTCTTTTTAGCTTTTATCCATTTTCAGAATCTGGCCCCTCAACTCCTTAGCTTAGTTCGTAGATTATACAGGGATTTTCATGTACGTTCTTTCTGGCTTTTTACTCAACATTTGTGTAATTTGAATCACTTATTCTCTTCTAACCGACAATCCTATTCGAACTCTCCTTGGGTCGAATCTGCGGAAAGCTGTTGGAATCCGTGCAGTCCTCATATAGCTTTAAATATGGATAAATCATAATTTTCGCCTGCAACATTTCTTGAATAATTTTACACCTAGTGTCTGCAAAGATGGCGTTCTTAAGCACCGATGATGCTACCTCCTCGATGTGTATGTGGTGCCAAAGGGGGCTTATGTGACATTAACCTTGAATCGTGCAAGCGCGTGACGCCAAATGCTTTGAAGTATGTCCGTTCAAGCTCCTGTTCTAGCCCTGTTCGTACGATTGGAATGTTTGGAAGCACCTTTTATTTATTCGGTATTTCTACTTTCCGTTCAGTGAATAAAAATGTATCTTATTGAGGCGACAAATTTTCGGGTGTCCCTTTTGAATATGGTCAAGGGTGGTCGTGAAAGTGGGGAATCAAACCAAACTCTTAACTCTAGCAACTTTCTTCAACTATTGCTAGAAACGTGAATCCATGGCGCATTTTCTAACAAACGAATGGATAAAGTCGATAAAGTCTGGAAGGAAGAAGTGTGGAAACTTAGCAGAAAATATTCTTTACTTCAAAAAGAATTCCATGAATTAAATCTAGAACTGAATGACCTCCAATCGCTTCGTCACCATTGTCTCTCACTCTTATCTCATCCGGGCAACGTGGGTAAAACTAGTACTGTGGTCCACGGCTAGCCGTTTAAGTCAAAACACCTAAATTGTCTTTGAGTAGTCTGCTACTTGGAAGATTAATTCTGTACACCGGATAAATTTCTTAATTAAATCCTCTAATCTGGCGTTTCAGTGTAATTTGTCTTGAGCGTTACAAGACCAAAGACTGCCTTGTGTGCGGTGGGGCTCATTTAAAAGGGATTCCGACTTCTGATAGCTAGCACCGGGGTGTGGCGGTGATGGTGGTGGTGTCGGTGACGGTGGGTAGCCATCACGTCTCCTCGCTTCCATGAGTCATCTAATGTCATTAATCCCTCCCTATCCCTTGTCTCCTCTCCCCACGACTGTGCCGACGACATCAAATTTCTCTTTTAATCACCCCAAAGCCTCTTCACCGTGTGCTTTTACTAGTTTCCACTAAATACTCTATTTGAGCTACGGATTTTAAATCCTTGTTACATAATTCTATCTGCCATTTCGGTTATTTGCGATTTCTGCTGGAGTCTGTTTTACACTGCGTTAATGATCCGGCCATTTTTGTTGATATACATTTGACATTTTCTGAAACGGTGGAAAGGAGTTGGAAGAAAGGAATTTGTGCAATCAAGGTTCTCCCCCTCTTTCTCTCCCATATCTCTACGCTCTTGTGGGTTGTTGAATCACTCCCCTCACCCTCGACTGATATCCTGTGCGCGCACACACAACTACTTTACTACCTCTTTGAAAAGGTCGCTCCTCTATACCCCCTCTCTGGATCCTTTTAAAGTATCCTTCTGTCCATGCGTTTGTGCTTTGCTGGGTTTGGTTTTCATTTTGCCTCCAGGTAGTAATGGATTGGTTTGCACCCATTAGGAAGGCTGCCTCGAAGTTGACCTTTGTGGCCACTGGTTTGACTCGTCTGCCACTCGTGAGTCATGCGCGTGGAAACTCACGCATGCAACAGCCATTAGGGTCTATTTGATGGATATCTCGGCCTCCTCTCGAAAGCCGACGTTTAAAAGGTTGCACACCTTAATCTGAAACGGATCTCTCAAGAACCATTACTTTTGAAAAACACATGTTCTGTAAAAGCTGGATATTAGCCCAAAAGAATTACCAACAGCTTACAGTCTAGTAGATGAATAGGACCACGAAGCTGTTTCGATCGGATACCAGTGCTTTGTCAAGTCACTTGGAAATTTTAATTCAACCACAGGCCAAGTCAATACCATTGTGAAATGGAGTCACTACGCATCCGTCCAAAATATATCAAGACTCCTTGAGAATCACTATTTAAGGAGAATGAAATTCGAAATTTACGAAAAAAGGTGATTTTTTTGCGGTTAACCAAGGCCCCTACAGGCTTATGACTCGGTTATTCAATGAATCGAATGTCCCAGTCCGTTCCCGTTTTTGCAGTGTAATTGTCAGGCTTTGCCTTTCTTGTAATTGCGTGTGCTGAGACATACATATTTTTTATTCACGGAGAGCCAGCGGTAAAGGAAGTCATCTATCATGTCGTGATTTAGCCTGTCTTACTTCCTTCTTCTTGCTTTCATTCCCTCCTCCTCCTCCCAATGAAGCGTTTTTTGTGCAGTTTACACCACGCTGGGGTTTCCATCACTTTAAGGCAGCTATCTCCCTACAACTAACCTCCAAGGCTAGTTTACATCATCATGTTTTGTGGGTTAATGTTTTTTGACTTTGGAGGATCATCTGCGACGGCAGGTGGAAAAGCCTATCCTCATCACATTTAGGCATGATTAGCTGTTCTGACGATTCTGTTAACCGCCGGTTGCCTAAGCCTAACTACCAATATCTACCTGCTGAAGTGTTTCTTTTTTTAACAAATTACTCTAGGGAGGCGTCAGAACTTTGCGCCACCTTCATTCGCCTACTTGCTTGAATTACCGAGGCGGAGCCTTAACAGGACTCCAGGCCTGTCTCCCAGGCATGCCCCATTAAAGACCCGTTAAAGGCGATTTCCTTGTAAGCATTTCACATCAAACGGATAGTGGGACTTGAAGACACGGGATTCCCTAAGGTATTTTTGTTGGAGGAGTCATATAATGTTTAGAATTGTGAGCGCCAGCGGGTCTCCTGAAAGTCCCCTCCAGACGGATGAAGCGTCTGCTGTTGGGGATGTAGGAGTAGCTGTGGCGGCCGCTGTGGTGATGGTGACTTTGCATCCTTTACGGGATATATTATTCCTTCGTGGTGTGTGTCTGTGTGTGCACCAATCATTCAATTGCGTGCGTGCGTACGTATGCGCTAGTGCGTGTGTGGTGATGCTGACGCGTTCTTTTCCTTCTACCGCTGCTGCTGCTGCTGTGAGGGTGAAGAAAAACGTGGAGGAGGCAGTCACTGTGCAGGCCTCGAGTCCATATTTGACACACTGGTGCGTGCAAAGCACCTTCGTGCACACACGCTTACACGAAGAGAACCGCGCGTGCTTCTCCCCGTTGGTTAGTTGGCTCGAGGGTTAACCGGCTAGCTGGCTGGGCGACTGAATGAATGCATGAATGGCTGACCGACTGGCCAGTTACGACGACCGGCACGCACATCTACTAATTCTACTTTCCGATTTTTTGTGTATACTTGCATGTATGCGTATAATTGGGTGTGTAGTAGACCCATCGCTTTTTTAAGTCTGTCGGGGCCCCGCCAGACGACGCTGTGTGTGTGTGCATGCAGTCACGCTGTGCAGTGCCTTGGAGAGAGAGAAACGCAATCCGTTCGTTTGCGTAAAGTACTTGTGCCCAAGGCTTCACGTTCACTTGTTTGTCTGCAGAACGCGGGGTTAGGGAGGGGAGGGAAACCTAAGGTGACCTTTCTCTACACTCTGCTAAGATAACATTCCTTCAGGCAGCAACAGCACCCCGTCTTCTTTGTGGCCCTGATTCAGCATCGCGTTATTATTTTCTCCTCCAAACTTACACACTTTAAGTGTTTTTTTTGTCTGTATGTGTATGTGCGTGTGCATGGATGCCTGTGTGGTATAGTAACGGTAAATTATCGTCGCTGTATTTGAAGTCTCACATGTACTTTCTGGCTCCTATTGTTCCTGCTGTCCTTTTTTCCAGCTAAAGCCGTTGAGACGCTTGTACGCTTGTATGCTGCGTGAGTTTGAAATTAGCATGCGTCTTATGTGATTTACTCTTCAATCACACACACGGAGAGAAGCTTATTCCCCTCTCATGCAAATTGACCACGCTCTTGCTTGAAGGTAACTTCTGATTTACTGTGTTGTTATGACTCTTTAAAAGGTAAACTTTTTCGGTGTTGCATTTGTGGTCGTTCTTCTGTCCCTTTTTAATTTAAATTCAACAGCAAAAGGACGTATGAATTGTTCCTGCATCCGAAAAAGTGATATAGCAATTTCAGTTTCAATACACTGTCTTAGAGTAATGGAGAAAAGTTGCCCCTGGTTTATTCATGCAAGAGACCAACAGCTTTTGCATGGATTGTGTTAAACTACCATTATCTGGGATGGAACGATTAAGCTTTAACTCATGTTGGAAAAATGGTCTGTTCTGGTGTTGAAGTCACAGGTACCGGCCATTTTGATAGTCAAATTTTCCATAACTCAACTTCCTTGATAAATTGTGTCTATGTGCCGATAAGTTGTTGGTTGATGAAATCTTGGTCAAAGATGATCATGAATTCGTTTGATCACTTACTTAAGCACACTAACCCTCTTTGAAAATTTTAGCGTTTTCTGAGGTCACTAATAGTCCCTTAAAGATGCTTACACAAAGCCCCAACCGGAGTACAAACAACCCTTAAATAATGAAATCGTCAAGGCATCGAAGTCGTAGAAGACTGGTGCTGACTTAATTTGAGAAATGGGAGAAATAATTTAGGCGGTTGTTGGATGGTGATACTGCTCTGCTACATTTATGTGCACATGTTTATTGCTAGGGTGTGATTGGGCATAAAATTTTCCTTAATTTGGGCTTTTTTGTGCAATGCAAATTCCAAAAGGTTCATGTAGCTATGCATTGTTTTTGCTTGCTTTTGAGATCTTGAACCAACTCTCTTTGTCCCATTAATGAAATATTCTTCTGCACGTTTAAAAGCCTATTCAGCTGGATAACCATGGTTGTGGCTTATTGCTAATGTAAACAGGGCGTCTTGAAGAAAAATTATCATCTGTACCCTCCGATAACGGCTGAAGTTGAGAAATAAATAAACCTAATTTTTTACCACAGGAGTACAAGGTGACGCGACTCGATCGAAGCGCCGGCTACCAATTTGTGGTATACGGGGAGAACACACCAGAAGGGGTCGATCCTTCGAAGGCTCTATTCACGGGTGGCCTTAATGGTCGAAGGATCACCGCCTTCAGTCAGGAAGTCTTCGTCCCCATGGCTGTGGTGAGTCACCTCTCGCACCTCCGTGTGGGTGCATTTGATGTCCGAAGACACCTCAGTCTGACACTTTTGACATGCCGGTGGTGGCCTCTATCTTTTGGACGCTACCTATCTTCTCCATGTAGTGATAATATATGGGGACGGGCCCTCTGTCAAATAACTAGTGCTTGCCTAGGGGATGTGGTCCTCCCACTTCTCACCTCTGTGACACCTTACGTCTAGACACGCCCTGACCTCCCCCATCCTCTCTATATGACGTGCTGTCACTCAAACATGAGCGAACTGTCATAAGCTGACTAATGTCAATGGATTGATTGTGATAACTTTCACCGGCATCCAAATTTAGGCGTTGGTACCAGAGGCATATGTTGTGCACCAACTAACTCTGGCGTCCGCGAGGCAGACTAATTGGAAGGTCTTCGTTTCGGGCTAATTATTTCTCTGTGCGCAGAAAAAAACACTGATCAGTTGCACATATTCCCGCCTCAAAAGCTACGCTATTTCGTGTTAAAAACAGAGCTTCTGCCAAAGACCCGAAAACCTTTTACAGCATAGGTGCTGCATTATGCGCCACTCAAACAGATTTGCTGCCAACGGCATCACAACATATCGCCTAGGGCATGAATCCACTACACAAAGGGAGGACTCTCCATTCCTATCGGTTGTACCTCCATTTAGCAGCCGCATTCATTCATCCAGTGTTCGCTACTTGAGATGAGGGTTTACAGCACAGGATGTTGCTGAAAATCGCCTCCTGTTTTCCATTTCAGCGTGCTACAGCTACCAAAGAGTTCGATGGTGGTGTCAGTGGTGATAGTGGAGGGAGTTCATCCACCTTTAACAACCCACCGAGTCTCTTGGATATGAACACCACCTCTTCCAACTCCCTGATGTTCCTCATTCTCGGTGTGTTAGCAGGCGCGATGCTCATCGTCATGACATTTCTCATCGCCATCTGCTTCTTCCGGCAACGCAAGGAGAAACTACGGCTCCTCGCTCAAGTCAACGACAAAGGTGATCGCTCTATCTTCCCTGCAAGCAAATAGGTTCCATGTTTGCCTTGTCTAGTGTCTGGTTGCGGGGGGAGAAGATGGGAATGGAATGTGTACCTTATGCACCATGTGTAGGGGGTGGGGAAACAGATTTTTCCGCAGCTGTGTGGAACATGCTGCTGTTTTCTACCTGTGTAAGGGCATGAAAACGTGTTTTTTGCGTCCAGAAGTCTATATAGAGTGCTTTACGAAAGGGATCTAGCAAGGAAGCGAAAGGGGCACTCGTGCAATCATGATTAATGTCTTCGTGCGCAGGAAACTGAGGAATTCTTTGGGACACGACAACTGTTTTCCCGCGGGAAAACGAATCGTTCAATGGTCTTTACTTTACCCTGGAGAGACCTCAACAAACTCCCTTACCATTCCCTCCCCTCCCCCTCCACCGGCACATTATTCATTTTATATATCTTGTAAAAATGCCTTGTGCCATTCTGCAAAACAGGGCATGTTACAACTGTTATGCTCGCATTGTAAAAGAATTATCGCTTATCGTGATTATACCTTATTACGGACCTTCGCTGTATGCATGACCAGAAATAGAACCAGATCCTATGTTCAAGAATTTGCAGTAGATCGACCCTTACGGCAATACGTGTCCGCATTTCCTGGGAAAACCTGACTCCTCATAGCGTTGCTATGGTTTCATGAGACTCCATAATAATCAAGACGGAAGCTGCCTGTTCATCTTTGCATTGGCTTTATCCATTTCTATGGTGAGGTTGTTTTAAATGATGAGAGGCTTTGGTACCCTTCTTTTGTATTTTGCCAGTGGCCATGCTTCCCGAAACGTATGGTACTGAGTAATTTTTTGTGTCTGAATAACTGGGGGATGGGGGGTCAACGCGTCCACGTTTTGCGGTAATTTGGACAGGACAGTGAAATCTTCTCGTTGACACAATAGGCTGCTTCTTGTGTGTGTTCATGTTGGTGGTGTATTCCTGGCTGACGTTTCTCGTTGAAAAGGTCTTTGCGCCTAGAAGCGGGTTCGTAGATCCGTATATGTGCGTGTGAAATTTTACGGGATTTTGATGGTGATTTTAGTGAAGCATGTGACACCGACCTCCCACGTCTTTCAAAGCGTGTGAGGGCAATGCCGACACCTCATCCCCTCCTCTTTAACTAGAAAAAAAAAATTTAGCTTCCTACTATGTTTTAATTGCACCAATTGAAATTCAAGCAGCAGGACGATCTAGCGACCGAATACGTTTCTCATTAACGGACTTATTCACCTATAGCCTGCCTAGTTAGCAACTCAGCGTACAAATGCTGTCGCTAAGCTGCGATATGGCATGGGGGATAAGTGTGTAGACGAGCAACAGCGATAGCAGCTCAGCTCTCAGCCCCTGCATACACTTAAAAATGGGTGTATCGAATGTCTTGGGGAACAGCATTTCCCTTCGTCCTCTATCTCCCGATGACTGTACAATTGTGTGTACGAGTCCTTTCAGCACGCCTGAGTGTACATGGGCGGGTGTCCGTGTGCGCAATGCTTGCGTGCTTGTTTTTTTGGAATCATAAGGATCGCAACAATTACAGCAAGGGATATCAGCTTTCCCTACTTCGTGTGGCTGTGCACGCAACTTGCGTCCATCCGGGACCCAGTCCTTCCTTTTGATGTTTGTATATACGTCCACTTGTGTTCTCTCGATCGTGGATAACAGGAAAACTGCCGTGCACCTGTCCTCTCTCTCTCCGATTGACACCGACTACCACTTTCCCAGCAGATTATTCCCCTCCCCCTTACCCCCCATATACACAACTCTTTCTCCCTAATAAGCAGACGTTTCTTCCTCAGTTTACATTCCAAGCTTCCTTATTCTCAACTGTTGTGTGGTTTGTAAGCTACGATTTTCAAGGTTTCATTTGAACCTGCATCGACCTTCGAATCTCCTCCATGATGATAGGTTCTTCCATACTTTATAATATTGTGCGACTCTAGTCATGTTTAAAGCCGCGCTAAGATGTTTGAATCTGGACGTGACCCTATTGTGAAACCACTGAACAGCAGGGGGATCTTTAACGTAAATAGCGTGAACTGACTACCACAACACTAAAGTGGCGACCAAAACCTTGCAGACTAAAATACTGTATCACGTTGCATCAATTTGTGAGTTCATTGAGGCATCCTAACTGCCCTTAACGTGTGTGTGGTTTAGTGATTTGGAATGCCTAACCAGAAGTTCTGTGTGGCCAGCGCGGCGGGATTTTTGCATTTCATTAAGGATGAATCGTCCTTTTTTTCTTGCTACCGCCTGCTCAGTTGTAGTTTTTCATGTCATCCTACCGCTACTCACCCTCCTTCCTTTCACTTTGGACACTACACAGCGCATGACCAGTGCCAAATGAAGTGCTGTGACTCACGCCGTGATTCGCATGATGCCACCTCGACACAATTCGCCGAGGTGGGTAGGGGGATGGGTTTCCACAAACGCGTCTACAAGCTCAAGTCTTGGCGGTGATTCTGGTTTATTTGACTTGCTGCCTCACAACCTCTCTCTAGCCTCGGATTGTACTTTTCTGTGGTTAGACGCACCACTGTTGCTGCAGAAAACGTATTAAATGTTTAACTTTTAGCAGGCGTTTATTAACAATGAAATGGAAAAAGAAGGAGGAGGGACAATTTTTTGTGAGCGTAATTTCGGCTCATAAGTATCATCATAGTGTTGTAGTTCAGCCTTTTTTTCCTTAATGCCGACTGAGCTAGACTGAAACGGCTTTTTTAAAAGTGCGTGCAGTTCCAAGAGCATTTGTAAAGTGCATTCTGTGAAGGCTTCCAAGTAGCGATCGGAATTTGGATAATTCATTTTTTTGCAATAGTTTTCTTTTCTAAAATTAGTCGTTTTTTAAAAAAACGGTTCAAATATGGTTGCAGCAGGTCTCTTAGTATTTGTGTTTGACTCGAAAACTGATACGAGGGACTATAATGTGATGGCTGTCGGGCATGCAATACCATGCTTGAACGACTTCATGAAAGAATTGTGATTAGCGTCGTCTATAAGGCATGCGAATCCTGGCACTGACTTTTCCCAAACATTTCAGCCGTATACACACGCTCGCATGTGTGAATTTTCCCGTCTATGCATGCACTCACGTCAAACGCAGGTCAGGAATCACAATTCTGTCATAGAGATTTAATTTCTGGAATAACTATTAGCATAAAGAGCGGCCATGCTTTCGTGTGGGATTATAAGGGCTTAGGGCTTCAGCTGCTGCCGGTGTGCACCACAGAGGTCCCCACGCCAGTCTCCAACTCTGCTACACTAACTTCACTAATGGCTGTGCCCTCATTGTCCCATCTTCTGATCAACAAAAAGCGATTTCACATAATTCCTCATATCTGCATATGATATACGCGTGGTACATTCAACTCAATTTTTATCCAATATCTATAAGAGAGTCCTACGCAGAGAAGCTGGAAGACCATTAGTATTGTTGGAATGGGTAGGGCTCCGTTCCACTAGCACGAGACCGAATCGCAAGACATACACTAAACAGCTCCATTGTGTTTGTTCAGCAATATTGACATTGACTTCATTCTTGCCTCTCTGTCCAGACATCCGACTGGTAGCGGGGCCGCCGGGAGCTAGCGGGGGAAGCAACGAGGTGGCGAGAGGTGGTGGTGGTGCTGAGTCGGTGGGTTCAAAGGCTGTCGCACCGAAGGGAGGAACAGGCTTCCTCCTATCAGAGTTGACTCCGATTGCTGTAGCAAATTTTCGCACCGCGTCGACGCAACTCACCTCTGTCGCGGAGGAACGCGAGTCTCTCCTCCTACCTCCACCACAGCCCCCACCTCCTCCACTGCCACCATTCTCTGCGTGTGAGTCTTGTCCTAGTGGCAGCTCCACCACTGCACCCAGCGAGTTCAACGCAGCGGTCATGGAGATGAAACGTGAACCCCCTAGTGGGGGATCTATCCATGAGGAGTCCGATGGTGAGTTAGCCCTTCCCTTCCCGGGTCGGTTCCAACGTACTTAATTGCTGTTCGTGCACCAGTACGTTCGAGTTTTGATGCAGTCCAGACGGGGCGACAATATATTTTCCCCCTTTTACTACTTATGACTATCTTACAGACTATGATGCCCAAGTTACCCCAGGAATCGTTATGAAGCATAATCTAGAGATAGTTTGTATCAACCTATAGAAGTACTGAGAAGCTTGGTGTACAGGTGACATGAACTCAACGTCATGTCATCAACGTGGGATCCAAAACGAGGGCGGCTAGAAAGGCTCGTATGATCAAATATTTAATCAAAACAAACATACGCGTATATTGTTCCTATAGTTTGAGTGTCATTCTCCTAGTTTGTTCATCTGAATGCCATCAAAGTGAGTTGGAGTCAATCATGATGAAAAGTAAATTTGCTTAATCATGTTCTAAACTCATTTCTCCTTTTATTGCTGATGTCGTTTTAATGTTTTTCAGCCACCGCTTTCCACGTAGAGGTGTGTCAAGTTATTCTTCAAGTCCGATCACATACAATTGGTGGTGAGACTGGAGAGCGGAGGCTTGGGAGCTAACGTAGTTGAATACACTGTTAAAACAAGCACCCTTTTTCTACATAACTATCTTGTTAAGCGTCTTTGCCGATGCTCGCTCTGGTCACTCTTCTGCTACACTTCTCGTGGGAGAGGGTGGTGTGGAAGCAGTTCTGAATGCCTGACGGCGTACGCTGTATTTTATTCTCTTTTGGTGGTAACATTTACCTAAGAGTCACTTATTAAGGGCGGTTTCGTGTTTTTAGGTAATGAAATGAACCGCTATTTTCATGGCAAAATTGTGAGTACCCATTTAAGAGATGTTTCAGTTTGTTCAACTTTGACCTCCTTTCCATCACCGGCTATTACACAGACGTTGAAATTGAGAAGGCATCACTTTTGATGATCCCTTTGCTACAATTTTTTTGTGGATTAGCCCAACTACAGTAGATGTCTTATCTCTAAAGCAAACAGCTGGTAAAATCAAGATTGCTGTCCTTTTGAGGTGCATTTGTTCATCATTCACGATCAAAGCAGATCTCGTGTTGTGCGAACAGTCGTTTATTTACCAAAATTCAACTTATCTTTAGTTATTCTGTGGCTTCAAGCGCCATGTGATATCCTTACATGTCCTAAGAGTAAGAAAATGGCTGTACTATCAAGACATTGACGGATTGGGTGACTGATTATGTAGGTGGCGTGAAGAGTCTATTTTTACCGTCACAAAGGCCGAATAGTAAGAGGTTAAAACATTCAGAGTTAAAACAAAAGCCATTTTACCACACTTGAGTTCAACACTTAGTAATGTACACTTCCCTCAAATACACTCGTTACTGGCATTACTAATTGCCATCAGTAAGCCTAAAACTTTGCCTATTTCAGACGACACTGCGAAGCACGCGAAGGATACAGTGGGGGCTTCAACCCCTCCTTCTACCCACAAGAGTGTCTTCTTCACCCAGATCCCCTTCCACCTGCGGGCGTACCCTCTGCGCAACTTCCACCTCCACCGCCGTCCACCCTCTCCAGCATTGGGGTCAGGGTCTGGGCTCCAGCGCTCCAGTCGTAGCCACCCCCATGGCTGCAGCCACGACGAGCTGACGGGGTGGGGGCTAGCTGCGGAGGCAAGTGGCGCCCGACTGAGCAGGCTCGGGTCCCGTACCTTTGCCTACCCAAGCTCCATTACTAGTGCGGATGACTGGCTTGCGGGCCGACATGCCTGTTCCACCCCCACCCACTTCCCTCACCTGACCTCGCGCGGTCTCTCCCCGCCACCTCAACGTATTCAAGCCATCGTACCACAGGTGGATCGGAACGAGGTGAAAGGAGAGGTGAAGAAGGAGTTAGAAATTTTACAGAATCTTAGAGGGTGTGTTTCAGGACTGGGTTTTTGCCGTTTTCGCTCGGATAGTGGATGCAGTATTCCTATCCACTCTTCCTTCCTCTTCCTATCATGCTTGTTTTACATGGACACGTTTTTGCTGGAATATATACGCATAATTAGGCGAAATTAATGAGCTCTGGTAGTGCACACATTTCACATGGATGCAATTTGATTGTTATCTAATCCAGATTTCACCTGTTATTTTGTTTTCCTCATTTCATACTTATTTTTGACCAGTTACTGTCCGTGTGATTGCTATGTTGGGGACGGGAATAACTATTTTTTGAGTATCATCTGGAAAGAATTGGCAAAGCATGTCTCTAAAAGGGTTTTACTGAGTAAAAGATTACCGAATTTTCTTTTGGAATTTAAAGTAGGAACGGAAAATACTTTTTTATGGTCTGCATCACGCAGTTGGTAACAGATTGTTAGATAAACCTCACTCATGCTTTGTAACACAACAGTTAAGTCGCCCTCTGATAATCAGTAGGTCGACTTCTAGTGTTGCTCTCCGACTACCATTTTCATGCTATAATTCAGTAATCACCACCCTGAGTTGATTAGTGGCCTCTTGTTAGTTACATTTTCGAATGAATCATACAGCTTCTTGTATTTTGGTGTGGACAGTTCCGTGGAAGCGTCATCCGCCCACAATGCGAAAAG